CTCTCGATTCCGTTCCTGAACTTGAAAAGTGCAGTCCCCCAGACCACGCCCCCCATTTCGAAAGAAGGCCCTTTGTTGGGACAACATGTTGTTTGTATTAAGTACTATATATACAGAGTGTTGATGTCAATTCTTATGGCCCGACCAGATTGATACTCACATTTAGTGACAGCTTCTTCATAGCGAACGATTTGTGTCTGTTTCTTTTGGCTTGTTTGCTCTCTTTTTTTTGAGAGAAAGAAGTCGTTTGTTTGCGTTTCTAATTATTGTATAATGTCGAAACTAAATGTTTGCTTAAGTACTTTTGTTTGCTGTTTAAGTACTTGGTGTAACACAGTTTGGTTTTATTGTTTGCCTTATTAGGGTTTCCTAGTTTTTAAGTTGTTTGGCCGCAGTTGTTTGCGTTTAATTGTGGATTATCTAAAATTGAAATAAATACGTTAGCACTGCTTTCCCACGAGCTCGGTTATATTTTCTTTGATTGACAGCGTCTAATTCGATTTTAATCACTCTTTCTTGTGCAATTTGGATTACTGATGGCAGCTTAAGCAAAAGATTGACAGCAATCACCGATCAAAGTCTCGCGGCCTGACGTCTAAATTTGCCTTTAAAATGTATTCTTTTTTTTGTTCGTATTCCTTATAAGTCCATATGTAAACTGGCATGATCGCTGATTGTCATTTATTGTTATTAATGTTGCTGCTGCCGCTGCCGTTGATTAAAATCATTTATATGCATCGGAGATGAACGGGTTGCCGCTGCAGCAGCAAAAACAGCAGTAAAATCAGCAGCAGGGCCCAAGTTGCTACTGCTGATGTTGATTTATTTAGCCGGTCCGATCGCTTCGCTGGCTGCATTTAAAATGTCGGAAGTGTTTGCACGCAAAAAATAAATACAGCCACATATAAAGCACACATCATACCAGAAAATGTGTGTGTTGCGTTTCTCAGCATAAAATATATATTTCCTGTTGCACACGCACTATTAAAGCGATGGCAGCGATAGACGCCGGCGATTAAATGCGAGATTTCGAGGAAATAATTCCCCCAGTCGGCAGCAGGGCCTTAAATTTCGAGCTCCGAATGCCAGTCCCTAGGGACTGTCTGGGTGTATGGGTGTGTGGGTCCACTTATGACATCATCGCCGGATCAATATCGGTCGAGTATCAACGAAAGTTGTTCTGGTCGCTTGACAACGACAACACCATGCACCATACAGCACAGACGGCACACACAGCACACAGCACTCAGCACACACAACCACAACACACACAGAATGAAATGGAACAAAAAAGGCTGACCAGCATGAGGAGAAGCAATAACCAAAAGAAACCCAGATTGATGCTGCTGTTGCCGCTGCTGCTGCTGCCGCAAGGTGGCAACATCATGCGAAAAGGGCAACAAGGCAGTGGTGATTTGATGGCCATAACCAGCAGGTAGTTTTGGCTACCCGCTTCTCAGCCTTCTGGCAATTCGGTCAACTGATGCAGACAAAGATTACAGATTACAGATTACGAATTGCAGACACAATTGGTATTTGGTATTGGAAATTGGATGTTGGTTAAAAAGCAAAATACAAAGCATGCCCTGCATTTACAAACGCATTAAGCTTATAATTGTTATTTAATGTTTCCTCTTTTTTGTTTTTTGGTCCCCCAGTATTTTTCCACATTCGATCGGGATTTGTGCCATTTGTGATTTTTTTATTTTCGCTTAATTTCGCTTGATGTTAATTGCTGCCAATCTTGAAAGCTGCTCCAAGTTCGAGTTGTATGTTTTTTTGTTTATAATAAAACGTTAAACGTTTATTACATTTTCGTAATTCTGTTTGTTGTTTTCGGAGGAGGGAAACTTTGCGTCCCGTTCGATTTTTGTGCTGGGCACCGACCGGCACGAGATTGCGGGGTTACAGGTTATAGGTTGCGGTTTGCACCGTGTTGCAGGTGACCTTTTCAAGCGGTTTTTCTTGGCTCTTTCACTCGCGCGCTTGCGTTTGGTAAGACTGTAGAAACACTTGTTGGCTTGGTATAATTTATTTCGGACACACACTTTTTGCCCTAATATTCTTCGATATATGGAAAAAGAAAAACCGAAACCGGAGTATCTCAACTTGGCTGCGATGCTTACTTGTTGCTTCGCGTTTAAGGACTACGTCGCAACTCGGCGGTAACATTGTATTTTAAGTGAGCGTACCGCTGGCGCAGTCGACGTCGCTGTCGGCGGCGACGTCAGCAGCGCTCTCGCAGCGCTTGAGACTGTATCTGCATCTGTATTCGTATTTGTATCCGTATCTGTGTGTTGTGCTGCTCTTGGGCGATCCAATTTGTTGCCGCAACATGTTGCTGCAACACAGCGATCTCATAGATACAGATACTCTCTTTTCGTCTGGCTTTTCTCTCTCTCTCTTTTTTAACCACTTGCTTTCGCCGGTATAACTGTTCTTGGCTCAGTAGGGTTTCCCCTGTTTATACATATATAATACCTAATTGCTAATCAATGCAATTATCTGTAGCGGTAATTGCAGAGTAATCTCCATTGTTTTGCGCGGGAATGGGAAAATCTTCGGCCGAAAACCTCAGGTGAACGATGACGAGGCTTTTTCCACCAACAAGCCGGAACTAGCAATATGTGAACATGGCCTAAAAATAAGTCCTGAGAGAATAGCTGAACTTTAAACCGAGACAACTTTTATGAATTTTCAAAATAGTCTAAAGGTTTATTCTTTACTTTAAACATAATATAATATTAACATCATTTTAAAGGACAACAAAATTAAACTGAACTAAATTATTGACCTTAAAAAAGACACAAATAGTGAAATTAATCAAATTACATTAATTTAAAGTTCCGGAATTTTATTATACAAATTAGTAATTGGATTTTACGATTATTTTCTGACTATTTTTTAATTACTTCAAATACACTACTTTGAAAAATATTACATTTTATTAATTAGTTAAATATTAATGGCCTACATTAGTGTTATGATAACCAAAAATATGAATTCGATAAAACTTAAAAATGAGTTATACTTTTACATGAAGGTCTTTATTTAAATCAAATTGGGTTAAATTCCCGTCGAAAGTAAAAATTGTAATATCAACCTGATATTTATAAACTACTTGTCTTTTATTTGAAATTGCTCTATTTGAGACCTAATGGAACAGAATCCCCAAAAAGGGTGTTAATCAATTTGATAATATTATGCAACCTTGCCAATATTGCGTAGATTAGCGCATCGTCACTTGAGTGACGATTTCATCTTTTGTTGATTAATCTCATTAGACGCAATTAATCATGCAAGCGTACTTTTTCACCCCTCTGGACTTCCCAGTCTCGCAATTGCTGTTATTAAACAGAACCGAATCCAATTAATGACCAATTTTGGTCATTGCCGTATTGGGTGGGATATTGCCGCCCAATTAGCATAATTCGATAGCAGGTGTTGTGGTCAGAGGATCCCGGGGGGACATTACAGGTATTTATTCTATATGACTCAGTTTACCCATATGAACTGGAATCCAAACAAATGGAAAAAAACCGATCAATGGAAAAATATTATCCAACGGGGTTCTGTAATGGTTTATGGTCACTTATATAACAGAATTAGATTTTCTCGTTTATATTGTGATGATTATTCTTAGTAAGGCAACGTACATTTTTAAGCTGACTAACGGGTTTCGAAATTAAAGTTTAACCTGTATTGGGTTTCATTGTTCGACTATTTATAGAGTAAATTAAAGTTTATCTTCAATGCTCCAAACAGTATGCAATACGAAATGACACATAAATCACGATGACTCTAATGACTCTATTAAAGGCTATTAAAATAAATATGGAGAAATTTGTTTTCACAACGAAACTTTTACGGAAAAGTCATACAAGAAGATATGCCAAATATGACAAGTTCAAAAGGCAATTATGTTTTTATTATAATAAGACATAGTGATAAGTGATATATTAAGATAAAATAAAATGAATCATTTAAATGAAATGTACAAAAGTTATATTAGGTAATGCCAGGTTTAATCAAATAAAACAATTTTACATAAGTAATTTAATAAAACGATTTCATTCATCATGATCAGATTAAAGAGTTTCCCACACGCAAGAGCTGATCAATTGGGATGTGAATTATACATACTCGTACATAAAGGCTGTGGCATAGCAACACTTTACACGTACTCACAAACGAACATAATGGGGCACCCATTACAGATTTAAGTAACGGAACCGGAAATTGCCTTAAGAGAGTCTTGACTTATATATAAATGTAAGCACACTCACTTGGACTTAAACTGAAGCATACCCGAATTTCTGACAAGTAAATAAGTATTTTTCCCAAAAGCGTCATTCGCTCAAACTACTGACCTTGTAACAATTTCTTTTTACACGAATTGGTGCCCCTCATTTAAGATACGATTTAAGTCGGAAACATAATACAGGGCCAGGGACAGGGCCGCAGACTATTTACGAATTCACTGTACTTGATCGTCCCAGTGTTATTAACCTCCAAGTGGGCCAGACCCGCGATTCGAACAAAAGCTGATCTTGTAAAAAGGGTGTGAGACCGCTAAATGCAAATGCAAACAATCAACAAACGGATATATTCGCGAATATGATCACAGTTCACTGTGCAAAAAACGCAATCAAAATCCGAGAAGATGTTCCTTTCAAAATCAAAATTTCTCACAGGTTTTATAGTCTTAGGATAAAAAATCTACAACAAGACGATTTTTGGTGCCAAGAAATTCATCCAATATTTTAATGGTGATGGAAAGATTCTTTAGAAATTATTCATTAATTAAAGATAAATTAAGTTTATTCGTGGATGGTATTTAAAGTTATAGTTTCTTGAATAGAGTTTATGTATTTTGAATACAAAAAATTTTGCGATAATAATAAGTATACGTTAAATTAAGTATACGTTAAAATTAATTTTGATGAAAACCCAATTTTTCAGAGTGTTGGAATGCGAAATGGTATTTTAGCTGCTCTTACCTTAGGCGATTATTTCGGGTTTGGTGCGGGGTTTTCTGTGGACTGGGCCACCCAAACTTTCGGATGCTTAACGCTGATATTATTGTGGGTTCTGCGGGATCTCTTGAAGTTCAGGGGGGTATTGGGGGTATTGTTGTTGTTGTGGGGCAGAAACGAGTTTGTTTGCTTCACTTTTTTTTATGAAGTGAACTTTTTTATACCCGCGGCGACTCTCTGGTACTCGAGTTTATCGCCATTTTGTGTGGATTTTGGTTAGGTCCTTGTGTTTGTTGTGTTTGTTTGATGTCCGCTGATAACGCGTCACAGGGGGCGTCATAAGGGGGCGTGCCCAGAGCGAACTTTTTGATTGCTGCTGCTTCCACTTCATTCGCTCCACTCTCCGTCGCTCCCCTTTCGCATTTTCTTACGGTTCACACGCGACACTCTCTGCTTTCTGCTTTCCACTCTCAACTCTCACTCTCCTTCGCCCACCGATTTGTATTCGTGCGTGGTGGAAGAGCAAAGCAAAACTGGCGATAATCGCAGCAATGAATGGAAATGAATGTGAATTGTCGCTTGTTTGTTTGTTTGTTTGTTGTTGCTGTTGTTTTTGTTGGTGCTGGCGGTAACTGATCTACACGCACTGGAAAGAGGGCTGGCCCACTCCCACACTCTCGCTTCCTCTCTCTCACTCTTTTTTAGTGACATTCAGTGCCAGGAGGAACTCGCACACTCACACACACGCACAGGGTGTATCTTTGTAAATATATTTCCACATAATTGACACTCCACATCGATGTTACAATTACAACTGCACTGCGAACTTGCAACGCCAGAGCAATTCTCACGTTCGCACTGATTACTTACACACATACATACATACTATCTGTATTTGCGTATTTATTTAGCTCACATATATTTTAGCTCAAAATATTTGCATATCGGTTGGATTGCTATATCTATAGCTATAGCCAAGGCAACGGACGCGATCGCGACACAAGGATTTTCCGGCGAAACCAAAGGAAAAACAAAAAAGAGGAAAAACCCCAAACCGCATGAGAAGCGAAAGCAGACTAACTGCAAACATGAAATGTCAAAATGCTGGAGACCGTTCTGCCATGCACACCATCGCACACATATAAACACAAACGCACACCGACCACACGAACATCATGTGAGGGGACGAGGGTGGAGCGAAAAGTTTGTCAAAAGTTACACCGCCAAAAAAAATACTGCCAAAAATAACACCGACTAAATTAGGACATCGTGACTTCGAAATTTCCTTACGTGTTTGAGTTCCTGAATTCTCACAATTTTCTTTGACAATTGGCAATAAAAATAATTGAGGTATTGACTTGGACTCTGTTCACAGCACGCCATTAAGGATAATTTTTTAATTGCTAATATTTATTAGTAGTAGGTGGATCTTTTACATGGGATTATGGGATGTTCAAAAAATATCTTGAGTACCATATAGATCTCTATATAATTAATAACATTAAAAAAATTGTCTGAAAATATATGTACCCAAGAGCCATTAGGGTTCCAAATATATCGTAGCATACTTTCAGGAGCCTCTATTAGTGATTCCCCTAGAGATTTGATGTATTTGGTTTGTAAAAGCCTAAAATAACTGAATTGATATCTCAAAGATCGCCCCACGTTGGATATATGGAACGCTTATTGCTCGAAAGACAACGCATGTACCAGCGGTTTGATTCGCTTTTCGTTTCGTTTTCGAGTGTGTGTGTCTGTGAGACAATGCGGCCCCAAATCTTGCCCACCCACCCCACTGTACCACCACCCCCTCGATCGCCCCCTTGTCCACCCCCTTCTCCCCTGGAACGAGGAGACAAGCGCCTCTAAGGGGTCTTTAGACGAACAAAGGAAGTGGCTCGAGGGTGATAAGTCCACATGCACATCCATATCCATATTCACAGCCACTTCCATCGGCGAGTCATGGTCGTTGTTTATCGGATTATCGGGGTATTTGGCCCCCATTCGCCTGCATTGACTGCCTATTCGACGCCCATGTCCACTGACTTCAGCTCACCGTGTCACAAATACACACATGCTCACGTTCGCTAATTGAAATTGAAGCATGTAACTGTAAGTCAGGCTCTCGCAAGGAAAACGTGAGCATAAGCCGCTCTCTGTCTTTTAATTCGAGAGCGGCTCCTCCCACCTTGGAGAGTGCAGAAGAAGAATGGCAGTTCGGAAGTTCGAGTTCGAGTTGCCTGGAAATGCGATGTAAGGCGAGTGTAAAAGTTTGCGTCGCAAATTATTGCACATTTCCGTTCTATCCCACTGTCCGTCCGCCCGTCTGTCTGATTCTCCGGCGGCTTGTCTTTCCGTCCGTTTGCCCTAGCACCCGCAGAAGCTAATGAATGCAACCCAATTACAGACAGACTTCTGAAAGTCGAACTTGAAAAATTGTTCACTGGATACTTATCAATAAAATGAGATAAAATAAGATATATTAAATAAATAATAGCTCAAATAGACTTAAAATTTATTTAAAAGTTCTGTAATTCTGAAACATTTGGTTTTTTAATATAGTCACTACATTAATTAAAAAAAAAACTTAAAAAGATTTGTCAGCGATATGAATAGGATACTTTCAAGTATTCGGAAAATAATGGATTTCTTGACTATGAAAATAATATATTCTGAAAATTATGGGTTTCTTGACAATGAACCCTATCTAAACGCTGCCATTATTAACTTTTTAGAACCCTACTTTTATTTAAAGACCTGCTTTTAAAACCGAGTAATATAAAATTACGTGTGAAAGTTAGCGGCTCTAAATCGAATCCAAATTGATTTTAAGACCCCTTAGTAAAGTTATGGTAGTTGGACTGTAGATAAAGCTACGAATGAAAAGCAGTATGGACACACAATGTAGGCTTGTTCACAATTAGATTTACGAGCATTCTACGCTCAAGCCTTACCCCCGGCTCATATATCATTCATTTCTTATATGTATGTTATATTACATATTCAAGTTTTGCATGCAATAAAAATATTACGTATACGTCAGCGGAGTGTCAACAAACTTGTAATCTGGCACAAGTGTGATTCAACGAGCCGTGGAGGGGGGGATGGTGGGTCCCCAGGTGCGATCAGAATATAGTACGTGTCTGGGTCCCCCAGTGGAGTTACATATGTGGTTCGCAGTCCGGACAAGGTTATATAACCTCCCACAATCGCACAGCAATAAGACATAAGAAACGCTGCACCGCCAGCCCAAGTTGACTTGACTTGACTTTGACCGGTCGGTCAATTTAGCTGCAGTTGAGCGGGCTAATTGCCGCTTTCAGATCTAAATGAGCGGCGCACACGCAAATGATAGAATATAAACACGGCTACGGGCACTTGAGCGGCACACATTGTAAGGAAATGGCAGGCACAGGCACAAGATTTTGAGATATTTAGATTCGAGATTCCAAATTCGCGACTCGGGCACTTTCTCAGAGCCTCGCAAAGGTCAAAGCGAAAACGATCTGCAGATGTATCTCAATTCGTGACTCTGACTCGTGATGGGCACTTAGGAAATCCAGATATAACCGATGCCATTTAGAGAGAGACGCGCCGCAACATAAATAGCAATTCCAAACAATTTTCAATTGCCAAATGCCCGAGACGCGATGGCTTTTCCTCTCTCTCTCGCCAACGCCGCCAAACTCGTTTCCACTGTAATTGAAACTAGATCTATTTTTAGATCCAGTCCAGCCAGACGCCAGCTCAGAAAGTATTGCCAAAGCCCCTTGATACTAACACTTAGCCGCCAATCGACCACAAACGATCAATGGATCGATGGGTTTATGTGTCTATTTCAGCGGGTTTTGCATCCCACACAGAACTAAAGTGTGATATTTATTGGGAAGGATGGAAAATGTTCTGTTGAAAGATAGATTACTTTATGGCAACTGTCAAAAATTTTGAGAGATGACTGAAAAACTGACAAAAAGGTTTTGAAAACTTTACAATTAATATTCTGATTCCTGTTAAAACTTTTTCAAGTTAAAATATATTTTACTATGTTTTTCACATCACCTTTTAACATTGTAAGGGATTCCCATTCGGACCAAATCTATCTTATTCGAGTTTTCAACTATAAACTTTTAAAACTGTATTTCCCAAAGATTTATCTAAAGACTTTTTAAGCCACATTTAGAGGCTTAAAACGATATTTTATTTTCGTACTCACCATTTTGAGAGCCCTTTTATTCGGTTGACGGATTAGCGGAATGAACAGACTATAGATTCTCCGACGAGACTAGCACAAAACTCAGTCGATGCCAAAATGTTTGCGAAACTTCTGGCCAAGTGGCTTTTATACGCCACTCGCATCCAGCGGATGCAAGGGCTTGGGGTTGGTGGTTCGGCTTAGTGGTGGTGCCGATGGTTTTGCATAATACGCGGTTAGTATTGGCTGATTACAAAGAGCCCCGAGACACAAACACAAGACAACTCAAACTGAAGTCAAGCCAAGAAAACAGTATAAATTATACGATTGTGGCCCCTTCAGAATGTCTGTTCTGGTCATATGATTATGATTACGTTGATTAAAAGGCGCTCTTATCGCCACTTGGTCCGCTGCTGTGTGTTAATGTGTGTTGTCCCATGCCGAGTGCGTCCTCCTCCAACATTTCAGCATCTTAGAATAAAAAACATCCCGCATCCGCCCCGTGCGCCCGCTCAATTGCAATTGCTCATACGCCGCGTTGGCGACAGGACAGTCCGCACAGTCCCGCCTTTCAATTGGCTCACAAAAGGACATCGTTAGGCAAACGGATGATGGATTCATTATGCACATCGATATGCGCTTATTGAGGTCTCAAGGCTGTGGGTCCCATTAACCCTATCCCTTTTTTGCCCTCCTTTCTTTTCAGAGAAATTCAAAAGACTGAGAAGCTTAAAGTTCTTTCCGTTGGCAAACATATGGAAAACCAGGTTTTTAACTAGTAAAGATATGGATTGTAACAAACTAATGACCAAAAATTAAGTGGTTGTCAAAGTCTATCAAAAACCTTTGATCTCTTATAAAATTAAAATAAAATTTTTAGATATTATCAGTGGATATAAAAGTCATTGATTGGCTTGAAAAACCATTACATGGTGGATTTAATCTTCTGATTTATTGTTTTGTGGGATAAGTATTTAACTTAGAATTAAAAATGATTAATACCATAATTTCGTTGTAACCACATTGATTTATTTATATATCACCTTAATAAAATCATAATCGTTCGTATAGCTATCTCAAGTTAAACCTTATTCTTGCCATGATGTCCATGTCCATGTCCGTGTCCATGACCATGGCCACCGCCTCCTCCACCACCTCCACCTCCACCTCCTCCGCCGACGACGACTGGTTTAATCACCACCACGGGCTTGACAATCACGGGTTTCACAAACACAGGCTTGGGTTTGATGAATTTCGAGGGCAGAGCGGAGAGCAGTTGACTGGGATCCTTTAAGAAGGCCGGTTTTGGTGGCAGTTTGGCTAGCAGCTGACTGGGATCCAACTGGAGTTTCGGTTTGCTCAACTTAGCCAGTAGTTGACTGGGATCCGATAGAAAAGCGGGCTTTGGTGGTAGTTTGGCCAGCAGCTGACTGGGATCCGGAAGAGCTGGCAGGGTTTTCTGGATGGTCAGAGTGGCCTGGACTCCGGCACATAGACAGACTCCGATGGCCAGGAGCAGCAGGTGACTCTTGAGCAGATCCATTGTGAGTGTGGCGGCCCAGTGAGGAAGGCATCTATTTATGCTGGATGATGCTCCGGTATCGAGACCTCATTGGCATGCACCACCTGATGCCCGATCTTGGCGAGCTTTTATTCAAATTTTAGTCAATCGAATCGGTCGAAACTCTTCATACGGCAGCCGGCGGCATTCCACGCGTTCTGTCGGAAGAATTCCCCGAGTGTAAGTTGAATTCACAATTACCGGCAGGGCAGGGTTTTCCTTCTCGTAATTCTGCGCGACATTTATTCATGATCGATCTGACTTGGCATTCAGCAGGCGATTCGCAAGATTCAAATCGAACACGACATGACGTCTTTTGCTCCCGAGAATCAAGGCTTCCATTCGCATGCCTAATGTGTTGAGATAAGTTGACATAATTTCTGGATCCGAAGGCGGAAGTAATTCTGTACAACGCCAAATTTAGTGGTGTCTAGGAATAATATATTTAAATAACAACATACAACATTGTCCCTTTTTGACCTTTATTATATATTTTGAAACAAAAAAATTTGTAAGCAACATAAAAAAAATACCCTATATCTCTTTGTTGCTTGATAAAAATATCATTTGAAAGTACAGTTAATCTCTTTTGAATTGCTCTTATTTTTCTAAATATTTTCGTCAACATATTAAAGAAATAAATATAGTTAATACATAAATTAAATGTTTACCAAAAAGTTTAAATTAATAAGGTTTATATGTTTAAAATGATCGATATTGGTATTCAAAGATTCGTTTAAATTTAATTGTTAATAGTAGTTAATGCCGTCTGCCAATTCAAAATATTATATATTTTTAAAACCAAACTCGTACTTATGTTACTACATAGCCTCAAATTGTATTTTATAAATATAATATAATACTTTTTCTTCTCGGGCAGAAACAAACTTATAAATATTCTTAATTAAAAGCAACAAAAAGTAGGCCACAGTTTTGAAATTTAAAACATATACTACAGATATCATGGACCGATTACAACTATCGCGTCCAGCAATCGATAGCAACACTGGCTTGTTTTTGCGTTTGTTTTTTGTATACACGACAACCCTGCACCACAAGGGAGAAAAAACCAATTGTTTTGCAAACAAATCATAATTATCAGAGAAAATATAGTTCTTAACAGATATGGACGATAGCGTAATACTGCTGGACGATTCACAGAACAGTGTGGAGATCGTGGAGGACGACGTGGAAGACGGAGAGCTGGACGATGAAGTGGAATTTGTGCCGCCTGAAGAAGTGACCCAAAAATGGGTCGAACCGGCCGCCAAAACTAAGAAAACTGCAAGAGATAATGTCAGACAGGTGGGTGCTATAGGATATATCCATTACAAGGGTTAAGTCAGCAAACCTCTCATTCAGGAAACCACCAAAGAAGATGGGGACCACCTGGTTTTCGAGGTGAGATTCCACAAGAAGGAGCACTTCGCCAGTATGCAAAAACAAATGCTGGCGGTTTTGGAACACACTTTTGCCGAGAAGCAATTGCTTTTCCGGGCAAACCCAGAGGAATTAATACTAGCTGCCTTTGAGAACAGTGAGTTGCCGATGGAAGAAGACGCTGTGGACACCGAGGATCTATTCCTGATCGACACCCAGCCGGTGGCCAAACTAAATGCCTCCCAAGTTCCCTCCTACAAACGCTGCAATTCAGACATCCTGGATGAGCAGACGGAGGCAAGAAAAAAACTGAAAGCGGACGAGGTCAACAAGTGCTTTCGGCCCAAGGCGCAATCCTCGTGCTTCAATTGCGGCGACACAGATCACTCCCTGCGCGAGTGTCCCAAGCCGAGGAACAATGCCAGGATTAATCGGGCTCGCAAAAAGAACAGCAACCGCATGGAGCGGTATCACGTGGATACAGAGCAGCGCTTTGGTCACATACGCCCCGGCAAGATCAGCACCAAGACGCGCCACGCCATGGGCTATAGCCGCGGCCAGTTGCCATTCATGTTCTACCGCCTCAGGGTACTGGGTTACCCACCCGCCTGGTTGGAGGAAGCCAAGGTCCAGAGCTCGGGCATAGCTCTGTTTAATGCAGATGTAAGACGGTTAACTACGTTACCAGATAAATACTAACTATACCTTCATACAGGGCACAGAGGTCACCAAATCAGACGACGAAGACGGAGAGTCGGACACCTTTAAATACGACATCAACAAAATAGTCGAGTATCCTGGCTTCAATGTTAGGGCCTCTGACAAAGTCTTCGATGTAAATATAAGCTTCAGCTATTCTCAATACCCTTTAAAACCTTTTGATTCTCAAGGAATATAAGCATCACAACGTGCCGCCGTTTCAAGAAAGCCATTCCAAGGCTAACTTTATCAAATCACTGGGGGAAAACGTGATCAACGGTTACAAGCGCAAGAAGCTGGTGGATTTGCCAGCACCACACGACCAAGCTCCCATTCCCAGCGAGGAGCAGACCTGCTTTGGTGACTACGACATGGAGCTGGTGGACGAAGCAGAGGATCCCCCGCTGCCACCGACAACGCCTCCACCACCACCACCTCCACCAGAGGAAGAGGACCGTGATGAAGAGGAGACACGGTCGCCATCACCAAGTCTGGATGATTTGAGGGCACAGCAAGAGAAGCTATTGCAGCAGTTGGAGAGTAATACGTCCCTAAATACGACGGCGAATGAATCGCTATCACAGACTGACCTGGAGGACACCACTGAGGTGGAGGAACCTGCCTTGAAATCCAAAGAGATTGAGCAAAGGCAATCATCTCCTGCCGCCCCCTTTAAAGCGTCCTTTGAGGGAACCCCTCTGCTGAAATTCTCCGTTTACGATAAATTGCCCGTGGGCAGCAACTTCAAGGCAGGCGTCAGCGACGTCATTAACTTTGAGAATCTGCCCGATTCCACCGGAAAGTACGAACAAATGAAGGGTCTCCTGAAGAACGTGCGCGAAAAGATGGTAAGACTGCAGAACGAGAACTGACAAGCCCATGGACAAATAAATGCAAACCACTTCTCATCCCGCCCACCAATTGTACAATATTTTAAAGCCTCTTGTAAAATAAAAATAGACAACAGAATGACAACTTGTTTTCCAAAGTCTGTTTTTAAAAATTTCCAAATATGTTAGTTAATAAGCCGGTGTTTTTTGTTTTTTTTGTGTGCGGTCTTGTGTTTTGTACAATGTAAGGTATGTTTAATGTTTCTAATTTGTGTACTTTTTCTAATTTGTGTAAACGTGCTGAAGGAATTAACCAATTGGATTGCTCTGGTTCGAACCGCCATCTAGACATAGAGAATAATCTTGTTTCTCACTTGCCGGAGAAATAACAAAACAAGGAAATGCGTATTGCGAATTGTGTTGGAGAAGCTCAGGTTTGGCAGAAGCAAGGATCAACGCCGTGATCTAGTTGATGGCCGGCGGAGGAGGCTGCGGGGGCGGCCCTGATCCGTCCTGATTATTGTCTCGTCTGCCGCCGGCCCGCTTGTTGCTGCTGGTCAAATTGCCCCAGGTACTCGGATTCAATATGTACATGAACATTGCGACGATCAGAAAGATCATCGCGACGGTGAAGCCGCTGTCATCACCGCGGCCCGTGGCCTGCGCCTGCTGCGATGGTCGTCCGGAAACTAGAAATGTATGGGATCAAGATATATGTACATATATAATATATGCTATTGCATACTTTATGGCGACAGGCTTCTGAGGAAGAAAGACTTCTGAGGCCGTAATATAAATAAATTAAATATGCAATCTTAAAATCTCAAACCCTAAAACCGTAGGTATTTTCTTTTATTATCAGTAAAAGGCATAAAAAAAGCTATAAAGCTATCATAAAGTTTTGAATAACAGGCAGATCTTAAGAAAAGAGTGTCAACAATTTAATCACAATTATTAAAAATATTGCTAATAACTTATCAGGGTTTGTAGAATTAAGATTCATATTTAAATTACCATTAAATAAATTTGACAAAAATGTCTTTCCACAAAAAAACACAATTTTTCCCAGAACGTTTAGCCTATAGATTGGACAGTACTCACCATCGAAGCACTCGGTATCTGTGCAGGCATTCTGGTTCTGGCGTATCTGCAAGGAAGAGACATAGGATTAGATAGAGGAGAACCCATTAATCCAGGAACTTACAAAGTTGATAAGCCGCTGCATCGCATATTCTTGCGACCAGACGCACTCGCAGCCATCGAAGTCGTCGGACATGGTTTTGGATTGAGTCTGAGATGCGCTGCAAGGATCCAAGTTGATTTTTAAATATTAAACTTTTTTAATATTAAATATATTTTATTCTACAACTGTTGACGTGTCTTTCAAACAGAACCGAACGGAGAACGAAGATAACTGTTTTTAAACAAAACGAACTCAGCTGAGACTAATTTATTTACCAGTCGCAATCGAGCTATATAGTACATGTATATATGTTTGCACGATTCCGATAAAGTGGGTTTAAGTTCGCGAGAGCGGAGAAAAGAGAGAGCTTGGAAATCGGGCGGTACGTACTGGGTATGTGGAACTATGACTAAATGCGTTTTTATTCTAATACAATTTTAATTTTGGGGCAATTAGCAAAGCAAAATTATTTGGTTGACGGTAAATGCAAATCGAAAAAAGAAATCAAAACAAAACAAAATGAAACCCCCACAATGTCCACCCCAATAATTTTCTATATACACATACATACATACGTAAGTCCCAATGTTTTCTGTATAAGTATTTTGACATAAAAACGCGATTATCAAAAAACCCAAAACAATACGACAAGTTTTAATTATTGCCGAGCGAAATACGAGTCTTATCACAATTAATTACAAGGTCTTTTCCGTTTGAAGCTTCGCTTTTGAACTTCCCCAAAAAAATCTTATCTTTTAAAAAACGTAAACACAACTTTCCCAATGTGTTGTTGTTTTTCCAATAGGGGGCGTAAACAAACGCAGTTTCTGGGCGTAAATCAATTAAATATTGTTACCTCCCAAAACTTTCCACTTAAACAAGCATCCCGTGCATGCCAATCGTGTTTGTAATTAAATTATATTGCACTTTTACCACTGCCGCGTAACAATTTGACTTTTTCTTACCAACTGGAATGGGAATAATAATTGCACATATGGTAGTGCTGGGCAACGTCCAAGACTGGAGGAAAATATCGATGGAACGGCTGGCAGTGCTGGAAAGTTTAGGTTTGAAAAAGTAGTCGGAAAGGCGCCAAATCAAAATCTACACACTACTCTTAAATAAAACGAATATTTATTAAAATTCAAAGTAATCCAGAATTAACAGAAAAACAAATATCACATTTCGGAAACTGATCTAGCAAGGAATATACATTAAGGCTAATAAGTTTTTAACCTCCAGTTTTACTTCCTCGCCTATGCTTTGTGGTGGTTTATTCGATGGAGGTGGTAAAGTGCCTAATTACAGTAAGAGGCGTTAATTATAAATTAAATTATATACATGCATATGTATATTATCCTATTCGGGACACCAAAATTAAAATACCTTCTGCAGCAGTATATCAGCTAAATTCGTATTGATGCATTACCAAATCCCATTAAAAATTATAATGATAAGTGTGCTATTTACTTTTTCCGACTTTCTACTGCTGTTAAAAGAGGGTCAACGTCAATTCTGTGTTGTAATTTTAACTTCATACGACCCTGTAAACTTTAAAAAGCTTCATTCTGCCTCTGAATAACAACCACAATGTTACAATTTTTGCTTGCGTCGGTTCTGTTTCGTTTCGTTAGTGCTCTTAATACGGAATCCACCGGGGTTATCCATGAACTCAATACAGCTCTTCAAATAGAACTCAATGTACTTATCGATTTGGAGGATTTCTCTAGCTTGAATATACTTCAGAGACTGGATGTTCCTAGAATTCAAATTACTTCTAGTTCGGAGGAAAATAAGGATTTTCGAATATGTGGACATTTTACGGAGCAAGCTCTAATTATAGTTAAATTAATGGATTTTGGACTGGATCCTAAAGTGGCTAACTTCCTGCCGCTTTTCTTGGACGAACTGCATGAGCTGCATATAATATTTCTGAGTGTGGAAGAACCAGTGTTCCTGAAAAAGGACCTCTACACCTACTGCTATAAACAGGGTTTCGTTAATGTGATTTTAGTATACGGCAAGGACCTCTTCAGCTATCTACCATATCCATCTATTCAACCGATTAAGCTCTCAAATATTTCAGAATATCTCAGTACGAGAAAGAGCATTCGCAATTTTTGGGGCTACCCCATACGCATTTTTCGAACGAAAGTAGCTCCTCGTGATTTTGAGTATTTTAACGACCAAAATGAGCTGGTTCGGGCAGGATATTTATTCACGGCTGTTAAGGAGTTTACCTCTCGTTATAACGCAACTCTTGTAAATGCAGCCTTACCCGAGATATCTAATTACGCTTTATACTTTACCCTAGCGGATATGCTGAGCAACAAGGAGATCGACATTATTTGCTACTACAAGGAGTTGGGCTGGCCCGTTTCCAGCACCGCGCCTCTTTCGATCCTCACTGTAAACTTCATGGTCCCCGATGCCGTCCCGATCTCCAGCTATTTCTATTACTCGCGTCCCTTCAGTTGGACCCTGTGGCTGGTCATAGTTTCAACTGTATGTTATGGAACTCTGGCGCTGTATCTAAGTTCGAAAGCGGAGCGAAACGATATCGGGATGTGCCTTCTGTATAGTCTCAGCCACATCCTCTATACCTGCCATCACAAAATCAGGAACGCAGGCTGGAGAGTCATGACGATTCATATTATACTAACAATCTGTGGTTTCATACTGACCAATGTCTATCTGGCCACGCTGTCCAGCATCCTGACATCGGGATTGTACGAGGAGGAGTACGATACCCTGGAAGAACTGGCTAAAGCTCCATATCCCAGTCTGCACGACGAATTCCACTGGAAATATTTTCAAATAAACCCCTTTCTGCCCAAGTCCCTCCGTAAAAACAGCAGATCCCTAAATTACTCTATTCTGACGGCCCATCGCGATGGCCTCAACAAAAACTACATGTATTTGATGGGCGAGGATCGAATAGATCTCGTCCTGAAGCAGCAGTACCTGCTGAAAAGGCCGCGCTTTTATAAGTTCAGTCAGGCGGTAGGATACACCCTTGAATCCTATTGCGTGTCCAAGAGTTTGCCATATCTGGATATGACCAGTGAGTTCATGAGGCGTCTGCAGGAGCACGGGATTAACATCAAAATAAGGGCGGACACATTTCAGGAGCTGATCCAACTCGGAGTTTACACCCTGATGCGGGATGATGAACCTCCAACCAAGGCATTTGACTTAGAGTTTTACTACTTCGCCTTTGGCTTGTGGATTGTCGGACTGGCTTTGTCTTTTATGGTTTTTGTTGTGGAGTCTATTAAATAGTACACATCACTTATACACACTAACATTGTCTTGATGTATTAAATTACATGGTGCAAAACCCAATTATCTCTCATTTTTACCCCTTTATGGCATAATTTGGTTTTTGAACTCATCTTTGTTTTTTGTGGCATGGCAGCCAGTGAATTAACGTAATAATTGTGCCAGCAAAGGATATTGTCATGTCATGTGGACATTGAAAGAAACCTATAAAAGCTGCTTTTCAGAGCTTAGTATTTATCAAAATGTTATTTTTTTTACTGGCGTCGGTTTTCATCCTTACGATTGGTGCTCCCAATTCGGAATCCAATCAGGTGCTATATGAACTCAATCAGGCACTTGGAACAGAACTCAATGTATTTATTGATTTTGACGATTCTGGTAGCCCTTATATACTTCACAGTCTGGACACGCCTAGAATTCAACTCACTTCAAAATTTGAGGAGAGTTCAAAACTTCGAATACGTGGAAATTTTACGGAAAATGCGCTAATCATAGTAAAATTAATGGATTATGGACTGGAACCCAAGGTGGCAAATCTACTGCCTTATTTATTGGATAATCTTCATGAGTTGCATATAGTTTTTCTGAGCATGGAGGAACCAGTGTTTCCGAAAGAGGACCTCTACACTTATTGCTTTAAAAATGGTTTCGTTAATGTGATTTTGATTTTCGGGAAGGATCTCTACAGCTATCTGCCATATCCATCCATTCAACCTATTAAGCTTTTAAATATAACAAAGTATATTAATACAAGAAGGACTATACGCAATTTTCAGGGATATCCCATTCGCACCCTTCGAAGCAAACTAGCGCCTCGCGATTTTGAGTATTTTAACGATCGAAATGAGCTTGTTCGTGGTGGATATTTATTCACGGCTATCAAGGAGTTTTCGTATCGCTATAATGCCACAATTGAGAGCGTTCCTGTGCCCGAAGTATCTGAAAATGCATCGTACGGTGTTATTTTTGAGATGATGATAGCCAAAAATGTCGATATTGTTTGCTATTTTACACCGGTTGTATTTTGGAATAGTGTGCCCCACACAGCACCGATTTCGATCGTCACAGAGTACTTCATCGTTCCCCATGCCCGTCCGATTTCCAGTTATCTGTACTACTCCCGACCCTTCAGATGGACTCTGTGGTTGGTCGTGGCCTTGACTGTCATCTATGGTTCCCTGATGCTGTATCTGATTTCGGGACGGGCACGAAACGAGATCGGGGAGTGTCTATTGTATAGCCTGAGCCACATCCTGTATAATGGCCAACAAACAATCAGGATTGCAGACTGGAGGGAAATAGTTATTCATGTTATCCTTACAATCGGTGGTTTTGTACTTACCAACGTCTATCTAGCCACGCTCTCCAGCATTCTTACATCGGGATTGTACGAGGAGGAGTATAAAACACTGAACGATCTGGCCAAAGCTCCATATCCCAGTCTGCATGACGATTTCTACAGGATACAATTGGAGGCGAAAACCTTTCTTCCCGAAGCTGTCCGCCGAAACAGCATGACCCTTAATGCATCCTTGCTGATACCATATCGCGATGGCCTCAACAAAAACTACATGTACTTGCTGTACGAGGATCGCCTGGAGCTGATCCTGATGCAGCAATATCTGCTGAAGACGCCGCGATTTAATATGATTCGTCAGGGTGTGGGATACGCCCTTGAAACCTATTGCGTGTCCAAGAGTTTACCCTATCTGGAAATGACCAGTGAGTTCATGAGGCGTCTGCATGAGCACGGAATCAACATCAAAATGAAGGCCGACACATTTCGGGAGCTGATCCAACTCGAAGTTTATACCCTTATGCGGGATGATGAACCCCAAGCCAAGGCATTTGACCTCGAGTTTTACTACTTCGCCTTTGGTTTGTGGATTGTCGGACTGGCTTTGTCTTTTGTGGTTTTTGTTGTGGAGTCTATGAAATAGTACAAATAACTTATTCACACTAACATATGATTGTCTTGATGTATTAAATTACATGCTTCAAAACCCAATTATCTGTCTTAATTTGTTTTTGAACTCATCTTTGTTTTTTTTTGGCATTGCAGCCAGTCAATTATCATAATAAATGTGGCAGCAAAGGATATTGTCATGTCATGTGGACATTGAAACAAACCTATAAAAGCTGCTTTCCAGACCTTAGTATTTATCAAAATGTTATCTTTTTTACTGGCGTCGGTTTTCATCCTTGCGATTGGTGCTCCTAATTCGGAGTCCACTCAAGTGTTATATGAACTCAATCGGGCTCTTCGAACAGAACTCAATGTATTCATTGATTTTGACGATTCTGGTAGCTCATATACCCTTCACAGTCTGGACACACCCAGAATTCAACTCACTTCAAAATTTGAGGAGAGTACGAATCTTCGAATACGTGGAAATTTTACGGAAAACGCTCTAATAATAGTAAAATTATTGGATTATGGACTGGATCCCATGGTGGCAAATCTACTGCCTTCTTTATTGGACAAACTTCATGAGCTAAATATAGTTTTTCTGAGCATGGAGGAACCAGTGTTTCCGAAAGAGGACCTCTACACTTATTGCTTTAAAAATGGTTTCGTTAATGTGATTTTGATTTACGGCATGGATCTTTACAGCTATCTACCATACCCATCCATTCAACCAATTAAGCTCTCAAATATTTCAGAGTATCTGAATAGAAGGAGAATTATACGCAAATTTCAGGGATATCCCATTCGCAGTCTTCGAACCAAACTAGCGCCTCGCGATTTTGAGTATTTTAACGATCGAAATGAGCTTGTTCGTGGTGGATATTTATTCACGGCTCTCAAGGAGTTTTCGTATCGCTATAATGCCACAATTGAGAGCGTTCCCGTGCCCAGAGTATCTGAAAATGCATCGTACGACGCCGTTGTGGATATGCTGACAGCGAAAAATGTAGATATTATTTGCTATTTGACACCGTTTGGACTTTGGGAAAGAGTGGCCCACACAGAACCTCTTTCGATCGTAACACAGTACTTCATCGTTCCCCATGCCCGTCCGATTTCCAGTTATCTGTACTACTCCCGACCCTTCAAATGGACTCTGTGGTTGGTCGTAGCCTTGACTGTCTTCTATGGTTCCCTGATGCTGTATCTGATTTCGGGAAGGGCACGAAACGAGATCGGAGAGTGTCTACTGTATAGCCTGAGCCACATCCTCTATAATGGCCAAGAAACAATCAGGATTGCCGGCTGGAGGGAAATAGTTGTTCATGTTATCCTTACAATCGGTGGATTTGTACTCACCAACGTCTATCTAGCCACGCTCTCCAGCATTCTTACATCGGGATTGTACGAGGAGGAGTATAAAACACTGAACGATCTGGCCAAAGCTCCATATCCCACTCTGCTTGACGATTACTACAGGATAGAATTGCAGGCGAAAGACTTTATTCCCGAAGCTGTCCGTCGCAACAGCATCACCCTTAATTCATCCCTGCTGATAGCATATCGAGATGCCCTCAATGAAGACTACATGTATTCGCTGTACGAGGATCGCCTGGAGCTGATCCTGATGCAGCAATATCTGCTGAAGACGCCGCGATTTAATATGATTCGTCAGGGAGTGGGCTATGCCCTTGAAACCTATTGCGTGTCCAAGAGTTTACCATATCTGGAAATGACCAGTGAGTTCATGAGGCGTCTGCATGAGCACGGAATCAACATCAAAATGAAGGGGGACACATTTCGGGAGCTGATCCAACTGGGAGTTTACACCCTGATGCGGGATGATGAACCCCCGACCAAGCCATTCGACCTCCAGTTTTACTACTTCGCCTTTGGTTTGTGGGCTGTGGGTCTATCCGTATCTGTTGTGGTTTTTTTCACGGAAGTTGTTAGGAGCCGATTTTGTAGTAATATTTCTTAATTAGCATAAAGCTATAAAAAATTAATATTCCTCCTATGCAATAGTATTGGCTTTGATTTCCTACTAAACTCTATTATTATTACTATACATCATTGAACTACGAATTTAAGAACACTGCTTTAAACAGGGTTTCATTTTACCATATCCATCCATTCCATTTTGTTTGGATCTCAATACCTTTAGTTAAAACTTTTCAACTGTGTTTACAGGCATTAAGTATCCACGACATTTTGTTCAAACATTTGAATAAACAAATTTAATAAATGGTTTTTTTAAACTTACACAACGAAAAAAAATTTACGAAATATAAACCTACCGGCGATTTATATTTCTTAGAAAATAAACTAATAGCGACTTCGACTCAATCCAAGACGTCGAGATTTATTGGGTGGCATGCAAATCGGTGACATTTCCTCTGCATTTGGTATAATTTTGGTAGACTCCTTGGCCAGATTCGTGTTTCTATCTGCAAGCGGAGTACTAGTGGAAGCTGGCATGGGAGCAAATCGGGGTTTCACCGGAGTGATAGCGTTCCCCGCAGAAGTTCCAGTTGGCGTACTGCTCCGCTTCCTTCTTTTGGTGAGTGACAGATTCCTGGTAAGTGACAGATTGCGGCGAGCTATCACGGAAGTCTTGGTGCTCTTGTCCAGTTGCGGTTGTCCTATCGGTTGTGATGCCAAGGTGTTTAACTCCTGCGATTGGGTGGGCGTCCCAAGTGCACTATGGCACGAGATCGTCTTTTGCAATTTCAGGCCGCTTTGGGGATGATTATGTTGTGGGAGTGAGTTTCTTTCGCTGCGGCGCCTCTCACTCGAGGGAATGCCATCGGAGGTGTCTCTTCTGAGCTTGGGTGTAACCACACATGAGTTTTGTGTTCTCTGAGATTGCCTGGGAAAAACGGAGTCGTTGGATAAGTCATCATCCATCGCAAAAAGAAGGACATCTTCTAACGGAAAGCCGTGGAACTCTTCCCCAGATACATCAGAATCACTATCTTTTGGAGTATTATTAATATTTGATGGTTGATTCTCAGGAATTTTTAATGGAATCGCTGCTTCTACATCAGCCATTAATTTGGCTGCTCTAAGTTTCATTTCCTCAGATATTTCTATACGCTTGTTAGACGCTGTTCGGAACCCAAAGAATTCTGGATTGTTTTCGGTTTGCAATTTTCTATGCGCGCTTTGGCCTGTTTCTTCTGATTCGACTTTTATCTCCTTGGATACCATAAATGATTTATTTGAGGCTGTGCCAACAAAACTTATATCATCAGTTTTATTTCCTACAAAACCGTTTTGCAGAGTTGATTCTCCAGAGTGAAATTCAAACATAAATTGGGCCGCTTTCTTTTTCATCTCATCAGACACCACAATTGGTTTATTTGAGGCAGTGCGAAAGCCTTCAAAATTGGATTTATTTATGGTTTCATTTTCTACAGCTAGGGTTTGTTGATCAGATTCGACTTCAGCTATTAACTTAGCAGCTTTCCTTTTCATCTCCTCTGATATTACTATTGCCTTATTTGAGGCCGTTCTGAATCCCACAAACTCTGTTTCACCGGAAAGTTGGCCATGATTACCTGGAAGTTCTTGAGTCCGGGGATTACGTTTCTGACTAGGTTGATATAATCCGGATTCAACTTCAGCGATTAACTTATCGCCTTTAATTTTCATTTCCTCAGCCACTTCTAAAAATTTGTAAGGCGTTTTACGAAAGCCAACCAGTTGAGGAATGTTCGACTGACTTTTGTTAGGGGTCCTTATTTCAGGAAGCTCCACCTCATTTATATGCTTTGATTGCTGTATTTTTTCTGCGTCAACGGCATTTATTGAATCGACTTTTTCTGTGTTGATATGCTCAGGCACTGCAGTTAGTTTTTTCGAGGTTGATGGAAAATTATCTGAAATATCCATTGGCTGCCATTGACTTAAAGCGGTTCCCTGTAGAAATACCTCATCGTTTGATTGACTTAATTGGTCTACAGTTTTAAACTGAGCCAAGAAAATCGCTCCCTTACTTTCCATTTCTTCAGTGAACTCAATCGGCTTGTTTGAGGCTGTTCGAAAACCCACAAACTCTTCTGACACTTTCGGATCGATGCTCTTGGTATGTTCAGGCACTGCAGTTAGTTTTTTCGAGGTTGAGGGAACATCATCTGAAATATCCTTTGGTTGCCATTGACTTAAAGCGATGTCCTGTAGAAATACGTCATCGTTCGATTGAGTTAATTGGTCTGCAGTTTTAAACTGAGCCAAGAACATCGCTCCTTTACTTTCCATTTCTTCAGTGATCTCAATCGGTTTGTTTGAGGCTGTTCGAAAACCCACAAACTCTTCTGACACTTTTGGGTCGATGCTTTCTTGTTCATATTCGGGTTGATGTGTTTGCTCCTCTTTAAAATCAGCCAGCAATTTGGCAGCACGCTCTTGCATTTCTTTGGAAACCTCAATTGATTTCTTCGACGCTGTACGAAATCCAACAAATTCTGGAATCTCCATTGGTTGCCATTCGTCAAGGTGGAATTCTTGTAGGAACTGCATATCGCAAGTGTGTTGGGAAGTAATGCTTTCAGCGGGGCTTGGCTCTAATTTTACTATTTTTTGGGGTGGTTCTTTGGTTTCTTTAATTGATTCTTCGGGGATTTCCATTGCAGTTTGCCACTCGCTGATTGGGATGTCATCTAATATAAGGGTGTCAGTGTTTTCTTCCATTTTAACTTGATTTTTCAAAGTTGTGTTTTGTTCAGAATCCTTTTCATCTAAAGACATATTTTCAGTGTTGTAGTTTTCCATAAAGGAATCTGCATCAGACCAATTATCACAAACTTTTATATCTGTAAATGCAAGCTGGATTTTATTGACTATTTTATAAGGGAAACATTGTTATTTTACCAGTTTGAGAGTGTATGATTGCGGTAGTTGTTCTACCATCGCCAAATAGAGTATCAGCCAATCCTGGAACTATAATTTCAATGTTATGGATGTATATCTTAATATCTCTATCAATTTCTTACCTTCCGGCTTAATATCACAGATTTGAGAGGCTTCAAGAGTGAAGCCGTTCTCCAGGAGTTCGTTTTTAAGGTTCATTATTTCAGTATAGGTACATTCCGCAGTTGAATCCTTATGTGAAAGATTGTTTTTGTGTTCCCGGGAACATGAAGGTTTTTCAGAATCTCGCCGTGACTTAAGAGGAAGATCTATTCTTGATTGGACAGCAGGTTTGTGGGCGTTATTGGGGGTCGAGCTGGTGCTACTTAGAGAAAAGAATTGACTTAGATTTTGCAGGTTCTCCCGTATCTTCTGCGATGTATCGGCATCCAAGTTGCAAACTGCGGCCGTTAAAGATGTATTATTAAGATCCTCCTGCACGGAAAGATCTGAAGAGCAGCTAAGCCGATCCTCCTCTTCGTTTTCTATGACTACATGTATGTCCTCCTTCTGGAGAACCCTTTTCCTACAATATGTTTTGATCCTTTTCTTGCGAAATCTAAACCATGGCGGGGATTCGCAGTTGGGAACGTCCTCCTCCTCCACGAACGTAGGAGATGAGCAGAAATCTCTCAGTATCACTTGGACGATCTCCTCCTCGGGCGTAGGATCGGATTGGGTAGACAGGAGATCCTCTAAGCAGACGAATTCACTGGTGGCAGGTAATACCCGATTTTGTCTGTGCACTTGCAGGGTGTGTTGACCATCCTGACGGTCGGCATTATACATATTGGCCAATTCGTCTGCCGGAAATCTCAGATTTCCTGATTTCGGTGTTTCTCTTCTTCGGGAACGTTGGGTGGATGTGGAGGCATTATCCTCCCGGGTCCTAGGACTCGCTGGGGCTGAATCCTGGTCCATAACGTCCCCAAATCAGCTATAATATTGCATTTACCAAAAACAAGTGCCGAACGTTATTGTGGTTGCAGTTCGATAGGCAAGCAGGCGCCCCAAAACAATCGATTAGAGAGGAGCGTGCAGCAAGGAAAATGTGTGACTAAACTGAAAACTATTGAAATGTTTATTGATTAAAATTGTAATGTTATTAAAATAATTCAATTGTTTTGATTAATAATTTGTATGAGTTATTATTAAAATCATAAGAAAATATCGATGATTCGAACAATACAAAATACATCAATGTAATCGATAGTGCCATCGATTTTGTTTCCAGCTCTAGCTCTTGCAAGTAGCGACAATTTTTGCATATAATACAATTAAATAATAAAGGGCGACCGCCGAGGCTGCGAAACTTTGTTTTTATACTGCTGCAATTGCTGAAGAATCTAGTTTAGGTGCCACCCAAGAAAACCAAAAAGTGATAACGCAAAAACTACAAAAAGAGCTCCCAAAAAAAGCAGCGACGGCACAAAAGTGAAAGCCCCCAGAAAAAGTACAAAAGAGCGAAAGAGCAAAAGCAAGAGCGAGAGCGAGAGAACGGTGAAAAGAGTCTGGGCGAGAGAAAAACGATTTTTTCAGAGAACACCGCGATTTTTGGTCATATTTTTTGTGCAATTGCAAGACCTGGTAAGTGGGTAGATTTGGTCGGATCAGATTGGAAATAATGCCCGAAACGAACTTCAATCCGATCAGGTAGTACGAGGAGCCGAGGAGGAACAGGACCGGAACCAGAACCAGAAAGCCATCAAGATTCTCGGGCACTACTACACCGGGATCCAGATCCAGAGCCAAAGCCACGGCCACCAGAACGCAGAAGCCACCGCTACCTACAGCACCAACAGCACTCCACTAGCCGCCACCACGCTCCACAAACAGCCAGCAGCCATTATGTTCGTCAACTCGATGACGTTCCGCGGCAATCCGGCGAACTACCACCAGCAGCAGCCGGCCCTTAACCACCACACGCTGGCCGCGGCGCACCACCAGCAGCAGCTGCATCACCACGCCGCCGCCGCCGGTCACCTCGGCCACGTCGGCGGCGGCCATGCGGCCAGCAATCATCTGGCGGCCGCTGCTGTCCTTGGCCGACATGGCCACAACTCCCTGGGCAGCGGGCACACGTCCAGCTCGTCGCACTCCACCAATGTGGGTGTGGGCGTGGGTGGCGGTGCATTGGCCAGCGGCTCCACTGGCGGCGGTAGCGGTGGCAACAGCTCCCCGGACAGCGGCAAGATCTATATCAAGAACCTGGAGCGGTCTATCGACAACAAGGCGGTGTACGACACGTTTTCCGTGTTCGGGAATATCCTAAACTGCAATGTGGCCAAGGACGAGGATGGAAACTCGCGCGGCTACGGTTTTGTGCATTTCGACTCGGAGGATGCCGCCCGGGCGGCCATCGAGAAGGTGAACGGGATGCTGTGCAATAACCAGAAGGTGCACGTGGTCAAGTTCATACCACGGCGGGACCGGGAGCAGGAGAAGGCCACGCACTTCAAGAACCTGTACGTGAAGAACCTCAGCGAGGAGTTCACCGAGCAGCACTTGCGTGAAATGTTCGAGCCCTACGGCCGCATCACCAGTCACAAGGTACGTTGTTTTTGGTTTTGGTCACCTTCCCCAGCGAGGGGGTGTGAGTTGGGCCGGGTAGTTGGACGACAACCATGTGGCACAGATTCACACGCTCTTAAATCCGCTCTTGCCACATTGCTGCGCATGCCCATGAAGCCGCGAGGAGGTGGGGGCAGTTACACTGGGCGGCACATCTGTTCAGATTTGTTTATATCATCGATTTGCTTTCTCTGATCCTTGCAGCTCATGCTGGACGAGGAGGGGCGCTCCCGTCGCTTCGGTTTCGTGGCTTTCGAGAATCCACAGTCGGCGCTGGCCGCCGTGATTGGCCTGCATGGCAAGCAGCTGGGCGACAACAAGTTCTTGTACGTGGCAAGAGCCCTGAGCAAGGCCGAGCGGCAGCAAGAGATCAATCGAAAGCTGGAAGAGCGCAAGCGCCAGAAGGCCGGCCAGATATTCTACTACTAAGAAGGCGACAACGGCAGCTGATCCAAGGACATCGCTAGGAGTTGACTCAGAACCCACACACATACAATATACACCCATATATAAACCTATATAGATATTTACAAGAAATTGTATCGAGCAGCTGAGCGAACATTCAGGCAGCAGGCAGGCAGGATGCAACTCCTGCACATTTACATTTAGAAGTAGGCAAAAAGTGTTGCAACACAGTTGAAATTTGTAGAAACACACACAGGAACATAAACAGAAGGAGTAACAGTACACGAACTCTCAATCGAAAGGATTCTCTAGGCATTAGGACAAAAGTTTCTTAGTACTCACTAGCGTTTTTTTGGACTTAGATGTTTGTCTTTACTGTTGAATTTAGTGAGCAGAGGCTTCGCTGTCAGCTTCTCGCCTAAAGAACACATTGCGTACACGTATTTCGAATTGTATTTACCCACACCAGGCCCACGTTCACACTGGCCCTTTGGCATTAAGTCTAGATCGCGCGATCGCAACTAGAGCTACGCCCAGCCGAGTCCTGGGCAAAATATGAATATTTACACATACCTATTATATATTAAAACAAAACTAAAGCAACAAAAAAAAAAAAAAAAAAAAAAAAAATGGAAAAATGAAAAAATACAATTGATGTAACCCCTATTAACAATTGAAGCACTCACTCTACGTATATACATAAACATATATATTTAACGTAAAACCCATTACACGCTGTAGTTAAAAAGCGTTTATAATACTCACACACTCTACGCTATAACTAATACTTTTGACGAGGAAATCAAGTGCAACCATTGCGAAAGCGAACCCTACACGTAATTTATATAGTAGACGCAAATGCGGAGGAAAGAATAAATCGAAGCTGAACAGAAAAATAATTAGCAGGAAGGCCCAGAGCCGCTCCTGCGGACAGTACATGAGTATTAAAATTTTAGCAATTACAAGACATTTTTGTAATTAATTGTACATTGTTTCAAGTAGCAAAAACGAAAGTGAAACCACAAAACAGGACCGCAAAGACAGCCGTAATGTAACGACAAAACAAAAAAAGGAATAACTAATTGAATATAACCAATCCAAGGAGTGTACACAATGCAATGTTTAAAATCTTTTAGAATATTATTACGGATACAAGGCACGAAATAAAACCCCAAAAAAGAAAAACACTTTAAAGGCAGGCGTGTATACAAGTTCGGCCCATGGCAAATTAAACCGAAAGGAAAGCAAATACATACATAATTTAAGATTATTGAGCTTAATTTTTAAAATGTTTCCAAGAACAGAAAACGAAAGTAAAGAGAAAAACAAAAATATTAAGAAAACCAAACAATGCTAAACTCACTCAAAATTTGTAAGATTCAAGTTTTGCGTCTAGACATACACACAATGTATAGTTAAAACAGTACCACAAAAGAACAAAAAATGAAATTACATAAAAATAGTTATAAATGATGGCAATATTTAGGATGGCATAATTAATGTAACCCTCATTTGACAATATTTATTTTCCATTACATTTCATTTTGAGCTTAGGTTGCTCGCTCCCTTCGATCCAATGTTTTTGACTTAGGGAGCGAACGATATTACGATTCTAGTTTTCAGGACAAAAGTAGGATTAGGCCTCCACACTCTAACTCACACAGAACATATGCAATATGAATTTACAAGACAAACAAAAGAAAATTATGCAATTGAATAATATTTACACAAATGTACAAAACAAAAAAGAAAGAAAATGAAATTTATTTTCCTTTGCCAAGCAAATGCGACATACTTCTTATTATTATTAGAAATTATAATTGTAATTGAAACTTAATTTTTTTGGTAATTGCTTTTGCAGAATTTACCTAAAAACAAAATAAACAACAAACAAAAAGAAAAAGAAAAAACCCAAAGGAGAACCCTTTTATAGTGCTAAATTTTTAGAGAGTACAAGAAATGTTAATTCAGTCTTACAAAATTAATTGATAAACTACACAAAACGAATTCCATTTCGAAACCGCAACACCACACAAATTAACTCAATTTTGCACATTTGCTAAATGAGACATTACAACACCTGCATTCGATTCTACTCACGAGAACCTAGTTTTTATTTAAATTTTTTGCTTGGACTGGGGTGTGTGTGCCCCCTCGAAAGTCCCATTTTAATGACTAGCGAACCCCACACAAGAAGCACAGATAATACTGACACAGATGGCGTATAATATATGCATTATATATGTAATTCCATTGAAACGAAAATCCTAATTATAACATATTACAAATACCTACTTATTAACAAACCTAAAAAAAAAACAAGCGAAAATGAACAAGAAAAGGAAAACATTTAATGATGAAAATCAAGATGCAGTGAGCAGAGACATGTGAAACTTGAATAAAAATGCTTTTGCAAAAAGTGTTTGAAATTGCGACCTGTCGTGTATTTATTTATAAATTCATTCTCCAAAAAAAAGGGGGATTGATTTTGAATATATTTAAGTTAATTAGTTATGCATTTAGTGAAAAGACAAATTAGTTTTTATCTAGTTTTGTTGATGCCACTTGATGTAAACAATTTCAAAAAGCAGGACCAACAGGCCGACTATAGTTCCACCAATATAGGCAATCCACACGTAGTACAGGTCCTCCCAGATGAGGTCGTGATATGGAGGCTCTGAATGATCTTCACTGTAGTTCAGTTTTCCCACGGCTATCAGTTCGTGATAGGATCTCCTGAACCACAGATCGTACAAACCACTGGCCAGTGTGTGACTAAGATATCTGTTAAATACGTCACGGTATATTGAATTTCTGGCCATCGGCATTGTAACTGGCATAAATTGCATGAAGCTTATTTCATTGGACTTTCGAAAGACAGGTCGCCGCATTTTAATCTGTTTCAGTTGGAGAAAGGGCCACAGAGTATTGGTAACCGGATATCCAAAGGAGGTATTCAGCTCGTTCCGTTTGGCCAGAAACTCCACAACAGAGGGGGTAATCTCAAAGGCGTCCAGGTTTCTTTCCAGAACTTCTTTCCCAATAGAGTTATTGAGAGTGGGCAGCTCCTGCTGCAAGATTAAGATCTTTCCATGGGTTCTCCGTAGGTCTTCATAGCTCAGGATCTTGTAGGCAGCTGGCGGATTAACGAGCAGTGTCGATAGATTGGCACTATAAAAAGTACTAACTATTAGACCTGCCATCATTAGCAGGCTGTACAGTAGAGTTCTGCTGAAAGAGAGTCTGTTCGGCATGACGAAGGACTGTGCCAAGATGGCTCTCAAAACCTGATCCCCAAAGATGTCACCGCATCGCAGGGTAAGGTATCTTTCGCCCGACTCCAAACGATGGGCATTGACCAGCAGCAGGGCCAAAATGATCATCAGGCCCAAGAAGTATCGCCATCCCTTGAGGTTTAAGTAAAGACTAGAGTGCGGCATATCGGGATCCACGGGCAGCATCAAAAACCAACTGGTTATCTCCCCCACATAGCTGGGATAAAACGGTTCCGGAGCAAGTGTGGTCAGCACCAGTGGAAAGTCCACCAAACCATCCCGTAGCAACGCAGAAGTGACGTTGTGATTGGGTGCTTCGTTTTCCGGAACGAGATCCCAACGGACCCAGAGAGAAGTGTTCAGGCTCCTGGCAAAGTTCCCATAGAAATGGGTGAGGTATCCAGTCATCTGGCGACGTCCCTCATCATCTTTATAAATAACACATCGGGGCAGTAGGTTGTAAGGAATGGTAGCGATAGGATAACCTTTGAGATCCTTAACTTGGGGTTCAAAGAACCTTATAAGCTGACTTATTCTCCGCCGAACTAGCTTAAAATAAGGAAAAGCACGGTAGCTATATATTAACTCGGGGTTCGAACCTCTCAAGGCTAGAACATTTAGCATCTGATTGGAGCGACATTGCTCAAACAAACTGCTGATATTAGTTTCTAATCTAACCAGGAATAATATTGGAGTTCCCCGTATGTCCATTAGATTTTCACACAGTGCATTCAATATGCCCTCCTCTGCAGAATCCAAACAAACTAGAGCTAGTATTTTTCTATTAACTTTGCCTTTGAGGTAGTTGTTTTGATTCGCGTTAAAGTGAAAGTAGGCAGAGTTAAGATCAAAGTCAATTTGCTGCCAACAGATATCAGTATTTTCTCCACCACTAAGTAAAAGTATGGACCGAAATGATAGCTCCAGCCTTAGAGATTCTATGATATTAGCCAAGAAAATTTTGTGGGCATAAACTAAGCCAAAGGCAAATATGATATAGAAACTAATATTAAACCACATTTTTTGCCGTTTTCTTTCCAAAAGCTTTCCGGTAAATGTTAAGAATACTTCTCGTTTATTACGGGTTCGAACATGTCGCTTTTATAGGCCTAATAACTAATGGTAATCAATCAATATATTTTCATGACAGGCAAGTTTTTGAATTCCATAATCATAATCCCATAACCATAATCCCATGAAAATGACAGAGCGATTATTGTTTATTTCTGGTTAATATATGCAATAATAATATGATATCCCATTAGTGGTGCGTCTTCTTCGCATTCCACCTGTAGTATCCCAGCTCCGAGAAGAACACCAGGACACTCATGATGGATTTTCCCACGAACGCTAGCCAAACGTAGTAAAAGTCCTGCCACTTAAGATCATTATACAACTGATGGTTTTTATCTTCTTTGTAGGATATTTTGCCGAGGGCCATCAACTCGTAGAAGCTACGTCTGAACCAGTTCATATATAGACCGCTATCCTTTGTGAGTGTGACATATCTTTTGAGAGGCTTGTAGAATATTGAGTTCCTTGGCAGCTTCAAGCTTAGGATTAGGTGCGGTACAAAGACCATCTCTCGGGATCGGCGGAATATGGGTCGATGTAGCCTAACTTGTGCCTGCTTCAAAAGTGGCCACAACGTAGAGGTCACTGGATAGGCATAAGTTTCATCCAAAAGGATGCGCTTCCTCTGAAAGTCCACCGAGTCGGTGATTTGGAATATATCTTTGTGGGCATCTGCAAACTTTGAGCCTACTACGCTCTTCATGTAATCCGCCTCCGATGAAATCACAAGGATCTTCATTTTTCGACAGCGAATTTCATTCCAGTTTAGAATTGGATCAACATGCGGTGGATGAACGAGCCAGGTTTCCAGATTGGCCGTATAGAAATTGCTCAAAAAAAATCCAGTAAGCAGGATTAGCCAGTAAATAAACATCAGCTTGGCGGAAAGTCCTCTGGGTAATGTAAATGACTGGCTCAATAGTCCCCGCATTACTTTAGATACCAACGAATAAAAACTCAATGTGGAACTGCGGCCCAATTCTATGCGATGGGCATTTCTAAGGACTATTGAAAGTATGAGCACTAGAAGTAGCAGATAAGGAAAACCGAGTTTAACAAAGAAACGAGTTCGGGGCATGTACTGTTCCATGGGTAAGATTAAATACCAACTGGAGACCTGCATGGGAACGTCCTGTTTTGCAGACCTTTGGGTAACACCATTAATACCGAGCGGAAAGTCTATGCCATACATCTCCGAGAGCTTGGTAACATCAACCAAATGGGTCATACCCTCCTCCGGAACAAGATCCCAGCAAATTTGAAGAGTGGCGTTTATGGTGCTCACATAGTTTCGGATGAAGTGGCTGAGATACCCACCCAACTGGCGATGTCCATCGGCACTTCGGTAGACTACGGTCCTCGGGATTATGTTGTCTGGTAGAGTTCTTAGGCTATAGCCCCCCAGATCCTTAAGCTGGGGCTGAAAATATCTAAGTTCTTTTGTTACCCTTCGTTTTATGAGTTTAAAGTGGGGAAATGCCTGGAAGCTGTATATGTACTCCATATCTGAGCCTTTGAAAGCCAGCACATTTAGCATATTTTCACTAAAACACTCCAGGAATAGATTACGTATGTGGTCATCGGAAGATCCAAATATTATGGTGGGGGTATCTCGCATATCTTGAAGATTACTGTAGATTGCCTTCATTGAATCACTTTCCTTTTTTTTCAAGCAAACAAGCACCAGAAACCTTGAACTAAAAGTATCTTTTAGATACAAGCTTTGATTTGCACTGAAGCTTAAGATGGGATCATCATATTGAAGGGCTTTTCGGTTCCAACAAGCATCACTTTGAGATGAACTTTCTAAAAAAAGAAGAGTCTCATATTGGACCTGTTCCTTAACGGATATTATTATGTTTTTCAAAGAAATACTTTCTACATCAACCAAATTGGCTAGAATAAAACACAAAGCAAGACGCATTTTTAAGCCGACTGCTCAAAACGGGTTGATAAAATAAACTGCAACTTGAATGAACTTTCACCTAGGTAAGGGTTATTATGATAAAATCAGTCAAGCAAATAGAAATCAATAAAAATTCAAATGTCATAGTTTTTAATTGCAAATAGATAGACACCGTGGTGCTATTTATAAAGATATAAATTAGTAGGTAACAAGGTTGAAGTAATTAAAAAACATTTCATCTTTGTGTTCTTTTCCAATGCCACCTGTAGTATGCAATCTCGCCAAGGAACACAAGGAAACTCAAGGTAGTTCCACATATGAAGGACATCCATATAAGGCTAAAGTCCTGCCACTTGAGATCAAAGTAAACGTCGTGGTCGATATCTTCTTTGTACGAGATTTTGCCGAGGTCCACCAACTCCATGAAGCTACGTTTGAACCAAACCGTATACAGTCCACTCTCATAGGTTAGTGCTGTATATCTTTTAAGAGGCTTGTAAAATACCGAGTTTTTTGGCAGTGTCATACCTAAAATAATAATCTGGACAATAACCAACTCCTTGGAACGACGGAATATTGGACGTCGTAGCTTAATTTGTGACTGCTTCAAATGTGGCCACAGGGTGAGAGTCACTGGATAGGCATAAGATCGATCCAGCGACATTCGTTTCCTCTGGTAATCCGTCGAGTTGGCGATTTTGTATATATCCCAGCGGGCTTCTATGAACTCCGATCCCATTGTAACCTTCAAGAACTCCAGTTCTGATGGGATTGTAAGGACCTTTAGCTTCCGGCTGCGCAATTGATCCCAGCTTACGATTGGATCACCTGCGGGTGGATGGACGAGCCAGGTCTCCAAATATGCCATGTAATAGTTGGTCACAAAAAAACCGCTGAGCAGGAGCAACCAATAAATGACCATGAGTTTGATGGAGAGTTCATTGGGTAGGTTAAATGGCTGAGCAAGGATTCCTCGGAGTACTTTGTTTCCCACTACGTAGAATCGCCAGGTGGGACTAAGTCCCGATTCCATGCGATGAGCATTACTGAGCACTATTGCTACCAGTAACATTAGAGGTAAGAGCCTGTACAGTCGAAACTTGGTAAAGAATTGGGCTCGGGGAAGGGGGTGTTCCATGGGTAACATCAGGAACCAGCTGGAGATCTCCATAATTACGTTCTGTTTCAATATGTCTTCGTCAAGACCTTCAAGGCCCAATGGAAAGTGCACTTGTCCCGTCTCCGAGAGAATGGACTCCCCCCATTCAGGTATTATCCCATCCTCTGGAACCAGATCCCAGCAAATTTCGAGAGTGGCGTTTATGCTCCTCACATAATTCCGGATGAAGGGGTAGAGATATCCAGCCAACTTTAGATTTCCTTCAGCAGTTCGGTAGGATAATGTTCGCGGCATTACGTTGTCCGGAAGAGCCTTTAGGGCATAGCCACCCAGATCCGCGAGTTGCGGCTCAAAGTATCTGCGAACACCCATTGCACTCCGTTTTATAACACGAAATTTGGGATATGCCTGGTAGCTGTATATGAACTCCGTATCAGAGCCTTTAAAAGCCAGCATATTAAGCATTCTTTTCCGAAAACACTCTTGAAATATATCTCGTATGTGATCTGCAGAAGATGTGAATACTATGGTGGGAGTATCTCGCATATCTTCAAGATTACTGTAGAGTGCTTCCATTAAATCGTTTTCTTTTTCCATTAGACAAACAAGTACTAGCATTTTGGAATTAAAAGTATCTTTCAGATACACACTTTGATTCGCATTAAAGTTTAGTGTGGGAATCTCCTTTGGAAATGAACTTTGGTTCCAACATGAATCTCTTTGTGTCGAACTTTCAATAATAAGAATTGTCGCATAAGACAGTTCCTTCTCAAGGGCCTTCAAAATGATAATTAAGGAAACACTCTTTGCGTCCACCAAACTGGTGAGTATGAAAACCAAGACAAGCCGCATTTTTAGGTTGACTGTTCAAAACGAGTTTGTAAAATATACTGCAACTCGGCAGAAGGTCCCTTCAGGGCTAGGGTTATTACAATAAAATCAGATATCGATCAGCTGCACAATCAAAACGCAATGTTAATCAAAATGTCCCTGTTTTTAATAGCTTTTAAGTGCCTGGCAGCCCCTGCTTTTACTTGTTATTACGGAAATTCAAAACCAATCCAATACATTTTGAATAAAACATTTAATTCACAGTTTACAAATATCTTATATAGTATTAAAAACCAATAAAGTTTGGTATCCTTTTCAAATTCCACCAGTAGTGTCCAATCTCGCCTAGGAAAACTAGAAAACTTATGAGAGTACCTCCCATAAAGGTGAACCACACAAAGCTCAAGTCTAGCCATTCGAAATCGTGATACGCTTGATTGTACTTATCTATTTTATAGTTTATTTTACGAAGGGCAATCAAATCGTTGAAGCTCCGTTTAAACCAGAATTCGTATAGTCCGCTCTGCTGTGTGAGTGCCCAGTATCGATTGAGTGACTTGTGAAAGACTGAGTTTTTCGGCAACGGCATGGCCATAATCAAAAAGGGTATAAGCACCAACTCCCGAGATCGTCGGAAGATGCGTTTCCGAAGTCTGACTTGTCCTTGCTCCAGAAGTGGCCACAAAGTTTGGGTGACAGGATAAGCGTAAGATTGGTCCATGGATAGGCGCTTATTTTGGAAATCCTCTGAGTTGGATATTTTAATAATATTGCTATTGTCATTTATAAAATCGTTGCCTAGGACTTGCGTCATGATGTTAAATTCGGTAGGTACAGTTAGAACCTTCAAGTTGAGGTTTCGCATTTGATCCCAGCTTCGGATTACATAGCCCGTAGGTGGATCTACAAGCCAGGTTTCCAGATGCACCACATAGTAGTTACTCACAAAGAATCCATAAAGCAGGAGCAACCAGTAAATGAACATCATCTTGGCAGATAGTCCTTTGGGTAGGATAAATGGTTGTGCCAGGGAGCCTCGCAGGACCCTATCTCCCAGGACGTAGCAGCGCCAACTGGGACCCAGTCCCATTTCTATGCGATGGGCATTACTTAGCACCATAGCCATTAGTAACATTAGTGGTAAGACCTTCTCCAAGCCCAATGAAATGAAGAAATGAGCTCGGGGGACCCAGGGTTCCGCGGGTAACATCAGGAACCAGCTTGAGGTTTCCATCATTACGTATTGTTTGGTCGATCCATGCTCAATTCCGTGGATGCCCAGCGGGAAATCCACGCCATTGATCTCCGAGAGCCTGATTACTTCCGGCAGCTGAACCATTCCCTCCTCCGGAATCAGTTCCCAGCAGATTTTGAGATTCGCATTAATGGTGCTCAAATAATTCCGGATGAAGGGTAAGAGGTATCCAGTCAACTGGCGATTTCCATCGGCACTCCTGTAAACCACAGTTCGCGGTATTATGTTGTCGGGTAGTGCCTTTAGGGTATAGCCACCCAGATTCTCAAGTTGCGGCTCGAAATATCTACGAACTTTCTTTAGAGGTCTTTTAATCAATTGAAAGCTTGGGAATGCCTGGAAGCTGTAGATAAACTCTCTGTCTTGACCTTTAAAAGCCACCACATTGAGCATATTATTTTGGAAGCACTTCTTTAACAAATCCCGGATATTATAACCCGAAAAAACGAATAAAACGGTGGGTGTATCACGCATATCTTCCAGATTTGAATACAGAGCCTGCAGGGTTTTTCCTTCGTTTTTGTGAATGCAAACTAAAACAAGAATATCTGTGTTAAACGTATCTTTTAGATACAAACTTTGATTTGCATTTAAGTTTAAAACGGGAACTTCTTCCTGAATGTCTTTTTGTTTCCAACATGTATCACTTTGAGATGAACCTTCCAAAATAAGAATAGACTCATAAAACAGCTCTTCTTCAAGAGATTTTAAGATGTATTTTAATGAAAGACTCAGTGTCAACCGGATGGCAACTATCATATAAAAAGTTAGCCGCATTTTCAATTTGACTGCTCCAAGTGGCTGAATACGAGAAACTGCAACTTTCCTGTTTATGTAGGGTAATTACAGAAAAACACTCAAGTAATCGAACAAGTAACAATGAACCAATGACAATTCAAATGTCATAGCTTTTAATTGGAATACGTAACAACCTAAATGCATTTATGGTTTGTTTTGGTAAGGAAAAACATCTTGGCAGAACTTTAAGCTCCATGCAAGACTAAATATAACAAAAATAAACCAAGAAAGGAAGTAAACTCGGCAAGCCGAAGTTTATTTGGATTAAATTTGGAATCGGATTAAATTTGGTAAAGTTATGGACTCTAGAAGTCGAGTTCTGGGACCCCTTTTTTCAACTCATCGAAAACTTAGAAATAACTAACATGAAAATGGGTCAAAATTTTGACTAACGTTAAAATGACAAATTTGAAAGCAGTTTTTTAGAGAATCAAAATACAAGTCCTAGAGGTATGCCATTTTGGAATCGGACTAAATTTGGTAAAGTTATGGACTCTAGAAGTCGAGTCTTGGGACCCGTTTTTTCAAGTCACCGAAAACTTAGTAATAACTAACATGAAAATGGGTCAAAATTTTGACCAACGTTAAAATGACAAATTTGAATGCAGTTTTTTAGAGAATAAAAATATAAGTCTTAAGAGGTATGCCACTTTGGAATCGGATTAAATTTGGTAAAGTTATGGACTCTAGAAGTCGAGTTTTGGGACCCCTTTTTTCAACTCATCGAAAACTTAGAAATAACTAACATGAAAATGGGTCAAAATTTTGACCAACGTTAAAATGACAAATTTGAATATAGTTTTTTAGAGAATCAAAATACAAGTCTTAAGAGGTATGCCACTTTGGAATCGAATTAAATTTGGTAAAGTTATGGACTCTAGAAATCGAGTTTTGGGACCCATTTTTTCAAGTCATCGAAAACTTAGAAATAACTAACATGAAAATGAGTCAAAATTTTGACCAACGTTAAAATGACAAATTTGAATGCAGATTTTTTGAGAATTAAAATACAAACTTTAAGAGGTATGCCACTTTGGAATCGGATTACATTTGGTAAAGTTATGGACTGTTGAAGTCGAGTTTTGGGACCTCTTTTTTCAAGTCAGCGAAAACTTAGAAATAACTCACATGAAAATGGGTCAAAATTTTGACCAACGTTAAAATGACAAATTTGAATGCAGTTTTTTAGAGAATCAAAATACAAGTCTTAAGAGGTATGCCACTTTAGAATCGGATTAAATTTGGTAAAGTTATGGACTCTAGAAATCGAGTTTTGGGACCCATTTTTTCAAGTCATCGAAAACTTAGAAATAACTAACATGATAATGAGTCAAAATTTTGACCAACGTTAAAATGACAAATTTGAATGCAGATTTTTTGAGAATTAAAATACAAGCTTTAAGAGGTATGCCACTTTGGAATCGGATTACATTTGGTAAAGTTATGGACTGTTGAAGTCGAGTTTTGGGACCTCTTTTTTCAAGTCAGCGAAAACTTAGAAATAACTCACATGAAAATGGGTCAAAATTTTGACCAACGTTAAAATGACAAATTTGAATGCAGTTTTTTAGAGAATCAAAATACAAGTCTTAAGAGGTATGACACTTTGGAATCGGATTAAATTTGGTAAAGTTATGGACTATAGAAGTCGAGTTTTGGGACCCCTTTTTTCAAGTCATCGAAAACTTAGTAATAACTGACATGAAAATGGGTAAAAATTTTGACCAACGTTAAAATGACAAATTTGAATGCAATTTTTTAGAGAATCAAAATACAAGTCTTAAGAGGTATGCCACTTTGGAATCGGATTAAATTTGGTAAAGTTATGGACTCTAGAAGTCGAGTTTTGGGACCCCTTTTTTCAAGTCATCGAAAACTTAGTAATAACTAACATGAAAATGGGTCAAAATTTTGACCAACGTTAAAATGACAAATTTGAATGCAGTTTTTTAGAGAATCAAAATACAAGTCTTAAGAGGTATGCCACTTTGGAATCGGATTAAATTTGGTAAAGTTATGGACTCTAGAAATCGAGTTTTGGGACCCCTTTTTTCAAGTCATCGAAAACTTAGAAATAACTAACATGAAAATGGGTCAAAATTTTGACCAACGTTAAAATGACAAATTTGAATGCAGTTTGTTAGAGAATCAAACCACAAGTCTTAAGTCATCAAAAACTTACTAATAACTAACATGAAAATGGGTCTAAAAATTTTAAAACGACAAATGCAGATTTTTAGAAAATCAAATTTCAACTTAGAAGATTTTAATCATATAGTTTGCCTATAGTAACACAAATAGTTTAAATAATTAAAGGAATCCCCCTACCGAATGGGAATTTTTGAGATTTGCAGCGCGGTCACACTGATATCAAACGTGAAAAAAGTGAGAAAACAGACGGTTTAGTTTTTATTATTTACCAGGCACTCAAGCGAATGACAAATGGATTTTATATAAACGGTATAGAGCGCACGGCATTATCCGCCTCTTAATGATTTAACCGGTTGTCAATTGCATGAAATGCAAAAATAATTAGAAATTTCTTACTGAGTTGTGTAATTTGATTTGAAAAAAGAGTTCGAGGCAAAAACAAAAACAAAAACCAAGATCGCGCGATATTGCGTCGATGACGTAGCGCCTGCCTGTGTGTGTGTGTGCTAACTTTTTCGTTTTGGACATCAAAAAACAATGTGTGATTTAATCAATTTATTGACTTTAACCAAATCCACAGTAGGCTAACAGCAGCAATTTATGCGTTTTATTTACTTATTTTTTCATTAGACGATAGTCTTGGAAAGGAACCCGTTACATTGCGCCAACGATATTGGAAGAGGCAGGGAGAGAGATAAACTATAATCTTTAATCAACGCCAGGAAAGAAAAACAACAGAGGAGAGAAACCCGAGCGACAGAGAAACCAAAGATACACAATCTACAGACAGTTTGTCGGAAATTCAAAATTACAATTGAAAATTGTTTGGAATCGGATTGGCAGCCGACCCGAGCCACGCCCCCCGCCGCCCCTCGCCATCGCCATGAACGCCCTGCTTCGTCACAAGGGACGCAATTTGCGAACGAGTCATTTGGCCCAGAACGTCTACAAGCGCTGTAAGTTGGTCAAAACAAAAAACAAAACGCAAATCCAGAAAACTTTCCATTGATTTTGCGCCCTTTGTGTGTGTGTGTGCGCCACTTATCCAGTATTTTGTTTTGACTGCATTTTCGCTGGAAAGCAACAGCTGATTGACTGGAAACTACGACGTGCGCTGGAAATTCTATAGTGGAGGGATTTGAACAGTGGCGTAGTCAAAAAACATAAAAGCGGGTTTCGAGTATTTTATTTTTTTCAATTGACTACAAAATGTTTCTAGTTTTATATTATTATCTTAACATGTTTTAAAACTGGAATGCCCTTTTAAGATCCGCCATTGTTTTAACGTTTTTGGATCTAACCTGTTAATTTAATTAGTTGCCTTGTTTTTTGCGGCTCGTTTACTTTGGATCACGACATGTAATAGTCCAATCTTCTTTATTACACATATTCAAAAGTTTTTGTGAATAGGAAAACTAAAACGAACTAATAAAAATAATGATTCATGGAAAAATTGTTAACGGTTTAGATCAAATGATGTATATTTAAAACAACGATTTAGAAAAAAAAAATTAAGTAGTTCTAAAAATAATTATGTGATAAAATATGATAATTTATTAACTTAAAATTTAAAATATGTATGCTTAAAATTTTTTTTTTTTTTTTTAATATGAAAGTTTACATATACATACTTGCTAAACCAATTTTCCGAAAAATTCTAGTAAACAAATCTTTTCCCTCTACATGTCACTCACAATTTTGGCATTATTTGCGCGAAGAATTTCGATTTTTTAAGAAATACCCTCACAAGGAGCAGGTGCCAACGACAGGTACCAGAAATCACCAGACAAAGGGTCACTTGATGACAAGTACAGTCACAGTTCTGTGCAGAAACTATTATATAGACCTGAAAACAAGTCCGAAATCATTAAAGAGACCTGAAAATGGGTCGAAATCGCCTTCACTTTCTCCGCCACAGTTCCTTTTTCGTATTCCCCTTTTTTCACTCAACCGCACATTCATTTACCTTGAGCAATTGCCAAAAATCGGAAAATGAGAGAAAATAAAAGGAAAAGTGCGCTGTAAACAATTGCACTCGGCGCACATTTCTGAATGTTTGCTACATCGTTTATTTATAGAGATAGAAAGTTCTCAATGTTTGTGCGGACTTGGGTTCGCTTTTGGTGATTTATGTAAGCTCCACTCCAGGTGCTAATTTTCACCTGTCGTCTGCGATCTTTGCCTTTTCTATTATCAACTCGTTGCCTCCACTGCAAATCCCAACAAAAATCCGTAATCAAGGGGTAAAACGCTTATCAACTGCAAACTTTTCTTGTTTTTTGTTCGTTGTGATTAATAATTTATTGTGTGCTTTTATTTTTATTCTTCGCTTCTCATTTTTCGCCGGGTGTTCAAGATTGTTGAACTTATTTTATTTATTTTAGTAAGAAAGGAAATGTGTTTCGGAAAAACCTTTTGTCATATGAACGTTCATGACTATAGATTCAGTTCATTGACTTAAACGTTGCTTTTGTAAGCTTTGTTATGTGGATTTGTAAGGTTTTACTAATAACTACGAATTATTAAGTTTTATAAATGTGATATTTTTTATTTTAATTGTGTTCTGATTTAAACATTTTTCTACTCGTTTTCTTTTAAGCATATTAAAATATTTAATTCATATTAATCAACCTATTTTCAACCTTTTTGCAGATCTAAAATCGAGCTGCTGTGCATGCAGCTCGGCTAACTTCACAGATGAACGCGCTGCAGTTGATGAGCGGCCGCGGAGATCCGCGTCGACATCGGTGCTAGAAATTAGCAGATCGCTGGCCGCCAACCACCGGAGGTTCCAGCCACATGCCAGCTATGGGTATCATTATTCGGGCCACGGGTTCAGGCATTTGCACGCCAGTCGGACGATGCTGGAGACGTCTAGCTCGAAGATCGATGCGACTGTCAAGAAGCTGAAGAACCAGCAGAAAGAAAAGGTTGAGGAGATCATGAAGGAGGTGGCCAATGCTCAGGCAACGGCATCGGGAGCAAGCTCTGCACCTACCGCCACTGCATCCTCAGATAAGGGTCAAAGTGCAAGTGCGACGACAGGTTCCACATCGGCGACTGCCTCGTCGATGGCTGTGGCTCAATCTTCGGACAAGACGGTGGCCAAGCCAAAAAAGCCACTGGGCACACGCATTTGGGACGAGCTGGTGCACTACTATCACGGCTTTCGCCTGCTCTTCATCGACGTGGCCATCTGCTCGAAACTCCTTTGGCGGGTGCTCAACGGCAAGGGGCTCACGCGGCGAGAAAACAAACAGCTGCAGCGGACCACCTCGGACCTGTTCCGCCTGATTCCTTTCTCGGTGTTCATCATCGTGCCGTTCATGGAGCTGCTGCTGCCGCTGTTCATCAAATTCTTCCCCGGCATGCTGCCCTCCACGTTCCAGACCTCAAGCGATCGGCAGGAGAAGCTCCGTCAGTCGCTGGGCGTCCGCCTCGAGGTGGCCAAGTTCTTGCAGCAGACCCTCGATCAAATGCCCGTCCAGCACAAGGAGCACAGCAGCGAGGAGGCCAAGCAGTTCGAGGCCTTCTTCAACAAGATCCGTAATCCGACTGAAGCCGTGGGCACCGATGATATAATCAAGTTCGCTAAGCGATTCGACGACGAGATCACACTGGATTCTTTGTCGCGGGAGCAGCTGGCGGCCCTGTGCCGTGTCCTGGAGCTAAACACCATCGGCACTACCACGCTACTGCGTTTCCAGCTGCGGCTAAAACTGCGATCCCTGGCCACCGATGACCGGGTGATTGCCCGCGAAGGAGTCGACTCTCTGGATCTTTTAGAGCTGCAGCAGGCGTGCAAGGCGCGTGGTATGCGGGCCTATGGACTCACGGAAGAGCGTCTTCGGTTCCAGCTGAAGGAGTGGATCGATCTCTCGCTGAACGAGCAGGTGCCGCCCACACTGTTGCTTCTGTCAAGGACCATGCTTATTTCCGACGACAGCATCACCACTGATAAGCTGAAGGAGACAATGCGTGTGCTGCCGGATGCAGTGGGAGCTCACACACGTCACGCCATCGGCGAGAGCGAGGGCAAGGTGGACAACAAGACCAAGATCGAGATCATCAAGGAAGAGGAGCGCAAGATTCGCGAGGAGCGCGAAGAAGAGCACGAGGAGACAATCGCCAAGCGCACGGCCATCAAGGAGGAGCATCCCGCTCCATATGTGTTTGCTGAGAAACTGGCGAGTGACAACAACCTTCTGAATCGCAAGGAGCAGGCTTCGGTCTCCGAGACGGACAAAAGCATTTCCTCAACCGATGTCCAACTGCTTTCCGATGCACTGAAGACCCTGTCATCCGATAAGCAGCTGGTGGTGGAGAAGGAAACTATCAAGGAACTCAAGGAGGAGTTGGCTGACTACCAGGAGGATGTGGAGGAGTTGCGAGAGGTGCGCCAGGTCGTCAAGGAACCGGTGCGAGAGAGTAGAGCGGCCAAGCTATTGTACAACCGGGTCAACAAGATGATTTCCCAATTGGATACCGTGCTCAACGATCTGGAGCACAGACAGCATCAGATCAAGCAGGCGGATTCTAGCGATTACGTGGCTGCTAGTCCCAGTGTCGAGCCGCAGCAAATGGTGCACATCGACGAGCTGGTCTCTACCATCAAGCGCATGAAGGAGTCCTCCGATGAAGAGCGATTTAAGGTTGTCGAGGATTTGCTGGTCAAGCTTGATGCGGACAAGGATGGTGTGATTTCGGTGCATGAGATAACCAAGGCGGTGCAGAGCATCGACAGGGAGGCCACCAAGATCGACAAAAAGCAGCTGGAGGAGTTCACCGAGTTATTATCCAAGATGGCGACCCGCCGGCGCAACGAGGAGATCGTGCGCATTGATGACCTTATGAGTAACATCAAGGTGCTGAAGGAAACCAGTGACGAGGCACGTCTCAAGCACATCGAAGCCGTCTTGGAGAAGTTTGATTCCGACAAAGATGGCGTGGTGACCGTCAACGATATTCGCAAGGTAATTGTACCATACAAATTTCTACCAAATTTGTACTTAACGGATTTTGTATTCTTGAAAGGTGATGGAGTCCATTGGTCGTGATAATATCAAGCTGAGCGATAAGGCCATTGAGGAGCTGATTTCTCTGCTTGACAAGGAACAAGTGCTGCATGCAGAGCAGAAGATTGAAAAGGCCATAGCCAAGAGCATGAAAGAGGCTGAAAAACTGAAGTCTGAGGTGGACAAATCGGATAAGGATTTGGCCAAACTTGTGAATAATATTCATGATTCCGCCAAGGAAATTCAGGACATTGCCAACGAAATGCGTGATAAGGAAGAAACACTAACCGACAAAGCTAAGGAGAGTAAACCGGAGGTAATATTATAACAAGGCTTCTTTTAAAATACAAATATTTATATTATGTATGCCATTTTAGCCCGCCTTCCAGGATACGGCAAAAACATTAAAGGACACAGCCCCGAACCTAAACGAGACGGTGCCAAAGGATACCAAAAAAGATCCGAAACCACCCACAAAGGCTTCCGCTGGCTCTGGTCCAACGGGGAAGTCCGGCGGAGGTGCGAATAGTGGAGGAGGAGGCGGCAGTATCGTTGGTGGAACAACGACGGAATCGGCGCTCCGAGAGGCGGCCGAGCGGCAAATGGAAAAGATACTGCCCTCCACGGACATTGGCCTACCGCCCACGATACAAACACCACCGCAACCACCGACGTCCAAGAAAGCAACGGCCACGGCATCGACCCTGTCCACGACGATTACGGCCAAGAAGCTGCTCTGACCGACCGAGAAGTCCAAGGAGGGAGCGGATGAGACAACTCCTAAGTCTGTACCTAAGCCGAAGTGATGTGGTGCAGTAGAGGGCGGAGGAGAGGTGCTGCTCGTGTGTCCCATATTGTTCCGACTATACAAAGAATTAATTGTTACCACTTAACTAAACGTAGGGAGAATATCGAAACGAAAATGCGACTCTGTATTTAACTTAATTCGTGATCCGGGATCAGGATTAGGAGAGTGCTATACTTAACGCGTGGCTGTAGTACAGTATCTTCTCTAAGTAAGGCACAAATCAGAAACTAATAGAAATATATAAGAATAAACCGACTTAACCGATGTATCTTGATTTATAAATTAGTTTTATCCATAAATCAACATTCAACGCCTGATCGGGCGATTGACAACTTCACTTGGCCCAAAACAATATTAGAGAAGCGATTGTGATCATTAGGCGAAATGTTTATTTACGTTTTATACCCTACTGCTATTAATATGTATTTACCTCAAGCAAATGAATTAAGGAGACAGGTTTACTGAAAGATGGCGACGAGATAATGAAGTTTAATTGAAACCACGTGATAGATCTAAACAATAAAGTGTGTGCTTGAATTACCTAAAGAGAATTTGTAAAAGTGTTTCGCAATAAAAGTTAGTATACAAAAACAATTACTAATTAACCAAGTGTAATTTACGGGGTCAAACGAAATGGTTTTCCATGTACTATGCACAATTTCAATCTGGCATTATCAACAATTTTCCAGAAATTACCACTGAAAACCCATTCGGGAATTTTAAATAACTGACTTCAACCAAACAATTGCTCTTACAAACCGCATTGATTGCTCAGAATTATATTTTTGCATTGTTTATTGCCTCGGGAGCGGAATAGTGCTCCATAACCACCCCCGACAAACCCAGTTTGGCCAACTGGCCGGTTGTGATTCGCAATCGACAACCGCAAAACCCAAACTTTTACGGCCAAGTTAGTTTTGGACCAACGAGAAGCGGAGGAGCAGTGCATTTTCAGCATCACATCCTGGGCAATAGAAGTAATAAAAATTACCACAAAATGTTCAAAAATTTCATCTTTGCCGGACCACTGACCTATAAATTCCCATCATATTCAGCAAAGGCCAAGAAAGTGTGGTATTCGTAAAATATTTAGAAATGCTCTCAAATAGTTTGGCTTTCTCTTGGAACAAACAATTGAATATAATCAAATGAAGGCTGTTTTTTTGGTATAGTTTTGATCTACGATACCAAGAATCATTAATTAAACCCAATCATTGCGTAAACATGGGAAAACTTCCGACCAACAGCGGAATCGAAAACAAATAAACGCAAAGCGGCGGAAAAGAATGAAACGGAAATTTATTTAAAGGTAAATAAAACCGCCAAAAACGCGAAACAAGCCAAATAATAATAAACTTCAGCTCCGCTGGGAGGGAATTGTTGTTTGCAATCAGGCCAAGCCCAACAACCGAGCACCGCAAAAGGGTCGCGGAGGATATGGTAGATGGACAGGAAAGTTCTGCAGAGTGTCTCGGCGAAAGTTTGCTCAGCTCAAAGTGCTTCGGATGCAACAATGAAACTCGAAATCTGCCATGAATTGCAGACAATCAGCGACAGAGGACATAAGACAAGCGGACCGGGTGAATTTAAAGTATTTCGCCATGGAACGAAGTTAATAAGTTTGAAAGCCAACGTCCCAGAGAATCTCTTTCCCTCTCACTTATTTTGCTGTGCCAATGAAATGGTGCTGCAGGACGGCATAAAAATGGCACAATTATTTGAAGAAATGTTACAAAACAATTAAAAAGTTGCAGACTTTCATGAGTCAATCAAAAGAGCGGCAGCCGCAACGAGTTTTCTAAAAGTTGCTCAACTTTGCTGCACTTTAAATGCTAGACAACAACAGGCATGGGCGCAACAAGCATACGCCCCGTTGTACGTCATGTGAGCAGCAGACATCCTTTCGCCCCCAAACTAATGCAATTTGCTCTTGCTGAATTTTATTTTCTGGCCAATCAGAGGCAGAACTTGAAAAACTGCTGCATTTTCGAAAGCAGCAAAACAACAGAAAGTCGGAGGCTGTCTGTTAAAGCCCCTGGCATCTGTTCCACATATCGCATCGCAACTCGAGATGAGCTTCTCGGAGGCGCTGATGCACACCAGATGCAGATGCCTAAATGGATTGCCGCATTTTTACATTTAATTCGTTTCTCAAAAGCAATTATGTGCCATAAAGTTATTTTTCTCTGGCAAGTTTTACACATTTTTCACTTTGTAAATAAAGTTTTTATCTCGGATCTTTGGCCGTAAAGAAACATAACTGGGTCTTTAAAATTCTTTTAAAAATAATGAATAAATATAAAATTGGATTCAAACTTTGTTGCAAAATTTAGTACAAATTTACTTTAATATACCAGTAAGTTCTTGTCTAACTAATATTTTATTAGCTGTATTTGATTTAAATAAATTTGACCTTTAATGTTGACACATTTTAAAGCAACACTTAAACCTTAAGACAAGAAATTGGGACAGAACAGGGACATAATCGAGTGCACGAAATGTTTATTTAATCTCGTCTGGGTACTCGTTTCTGGAAAAGATCAGACTCCCGATGAAACCAGCCATATCGCCAGCTAGTCGCCTCGGGATAGTTGTACTTGTCGTCCGGACTCCGTTCGTATCGCCTCTCCAGGTAGTTGATCCGCTGGCCATTCCGTAGTAGTTGAAGCTCGGCCGCCGGCACCGATTTCATGGGAAAGACCAGACTTCGTCCAAATCCGGCTTCCTCCAAGTCTGATAGGTGGTAATGGAATACTCCGGAGCCGGCGGGTCGGTAAATTCGACTGGTCACTCCATTCGAGCTCCGTAGAGGAATATAGAACGTCTGTGATTTAATGGTAGCTGTGCTCCTGGCGATTCCCGATTTTCCAGAGGAACCTGTTGTTGGAGTAGAACCCTCATTTGTTCTGGACCTTATCTTTTTAACGACCTTCCCCGAAATATGTGGCTCAACGACCGCCAGTTTAAGACTTCGACATGGATTGGACTTGATCTTTTCGGATAGCGCTTTTTCCGGTGTCTTCTCGGAAACTTTAGGAGCTGATAGATGAGAAGAAGCTGAAGCAGTCTTGGCCACATTCTGTCGTTTCTCCAAATGGAAAAGAGAACGCAGAGCAGATGTGGACTTAGCGGGTTCCACGAACTTAAGTGTGTTCGACGGCCTTAAATTACTTGACTTTCCCGAGCATATACGCTTCATAACTGCACTTAAAAAATTTGGATGTTACTTATTTATTTGGAAATCTAAACGTTGGGAATAAGCCACCGAATTATAAATAACCAACAATTTATATTGACATTGACGTAAAAAGAAAAGAGCTACTGTGTGTGTTGGGCAAAACTGTTTTTTAAATTCACAAAAGCTAAGATAAGATTATTAAAAAGCAACATTATTTATATCAATTTCATCTCACCGCAATTTTCATATATTTAATCTTTATTATGTCATGCAAGAATCATGATCCTCAGGAATCCCCAAAAAGCAACTTAGACCTCATTCGACTTAAGTTATTTGGTTCTCAAACACCTGATAATTCCAATCGGCTAGCAAGAGTTTATGTCTTTTATAAATCTATATTTTGATTCTCAATAAATGCAAATTCGCAGCGCAGTTTCCTTTTCCCATCCATTTTTTCTCTCGTAACCCGAATTTGTGTTTATTTTCAATTTGTGTGGTAGTGTGAACATATAAAGTGGATTATACGGAGATAAGAGCGCTCTACAGACACATTTTTCTCGCATTTCCCATGTTTTTTTCTGCGCCTGGCCAAAAGGAAGCGTTGTCCCGCACGTTGGCCATAAAAATATCGCAGATATGTCGCCAGACTGTGAAATGTTTATATGCATGGGGTCGTGTGTCGTGGTTGCAGCCATTGCAGTTCCACCAGGAAACTCTATAAACCCCCGAGAAATCGACAGGGCTTCCCCTTGCCCTTGCAACTTTAAGAATATATATATATGTATTCGACATTGATTTGGTCTCGTTCCAATTGGCTTGTTTATTTTCGTATCCTTTCTGGTTACCTGGTGGCTTCGTTTGAGGTGTTTTTACTGGATTCTTTTTTGGGGCTGTCGGGATTTGGTTGTTTACCTACACCTGCACTTGCCTCCGGCAATACTGCATAATTTAGTTGCATGGCTGTTTTTATACATTTTTTTTCTTTCTTTCCCATCTGTGGGTGTCAAAATATATATCTGAAATATAACGAAACTTTTGCTGAGATTGCGTGTTCTATTTGACGCATGAGACAGTATCGCAGATTGATTTTGCCAAACTTCAATGTGATAGATGGGCGTAATGTCATGGCAATGCATTCGGAACTGAAAAATTGAAGGACTTGCAACTTTAATAAGACGAAAGTGCGCGACAGCTGAAGCACTCACATTTTCCTCGACCCTCGCTGACCATTAGCGGAAAACTCGCTCTTTCCACTTCGATTTGATTTGACTCGAATCGCTTCCATTTCCATTTTCTTTCGCATGCTGCATTTTTCTCCATCAATACCTTCCCTCCTTCTCCTTAATTTGCACAGCATTTGTCGCCATTTGGCTTTTAGTTAGCCGGGAAATGCGGGAAAAGCAGGAAAATCGGTGAGTCGGGGAGTCGAGGGACCAAGCTGCTGACTGATGGAGTTGCAGTTGCACTTTACTGCAATTGGTTGCACTTTATTCGCGGTTGCGTGAGTGGAACTCGAAACTTGGAAATGGAATTGGCAGCCAGCAAGTTTAAACTTCTAAATTGCATTATTGCAAGCCCCAACCCACAACCATTGCAGCATTGGCAACGTATTATTTCTAATTAAATTGAACACTGCCGATATCCGACTTCAGCTCACGTATTAATGATGTAACGATTGGCAGGCATTTCGAGATATCATTCCCAGTTGCTACTAGAAATAACTACTTTTAAGCAATATTAAATCTCAATTGAGAAAAAATAAAAGATAATAAATTGTTTTAAGAAACTTATTATTCCATCTGAAGAAACACATTATTGGAACTAAGGGTTTCTTTTTATTATAATTTAAATGTGGTAAAAAAACCAAATATATTAATCCTATTTATTTACTTTCTTGGTCCGTTGATTAATCGCAGATTTGAAAAAGGTTGAGTAATGAGCAAAATTGAGCGCGGCAGGTGCATCTGCGGCCGCCAAATTCAAAAGGTACCATGGCAATGAGCTCGAACGACCTTATAACCGAAAACTGAGTGGGGGATGCTGTTGGCCAAGCCAAAGTTCGTTGACTCAAAGTGGCACTTTGGGGCCGGGCACTGGTACTCACAAGATCTCCATAAGCAGCCGGATGATGAGCAGGAGCAGGACAAAACGGGACAAACGGGACAAACGGGACAAACGGGACAAACAGGACAGACAGGACTCCCCCCAAAGAGGTGGAGCTGCGGAAGGACTAAGTCAACAATGCCGTGCGCATTGCTAGGTTTATTAAAAAGGGCTCAGGTGAATGTCTGAGCGCCATTTGAAACATCCGGCGAGCCCCTCGTTATATCCCCTGTGTTTACTTAGCCGAGACACACGCAAGCATACATATACGTAATATAGAGATAGAGATAGGGTCGTGGCAACCAGAAGCCTCAAGTTTGCCCTGAAAGTTGCCACCGACTCGACAGCAGACTGCCGTCAATGGTCAAAGGTCATTTGCATTTTGCCATCGTCAGCTTGGCCATGGCCAACCAAATAAATATAAACGTTTGACTGGCTGGCGGAGAAGGGGCAAAAATATACAAATACAAAACTGATTAAAGTGACGAGATTTGAGGAGAAGTAAAAATGTTTACAAAGACCGCAACAGAACACAAAAAAATATTTAATGATATCCAGATACAAAGTTTTTTTAATATGTTCTTTATTTATTAAACTAGTTCAACCAGTATTTACTAATTTACTAATTCCTTCAATTAAGTTTTTTTCCTTTTGTAATAATTTTTATTTCAGTTAACTCTTATTAATTAAGGAACTACAAAAAACATTTTTGATAATAAAATTAATTAAACAATTTAGAAAGCATATTTTTAAATTATAATCTATAAGCGTTGTTTTCCATATAAAAAGTCATTTTTTCTACTGTACCGCAAGTTAAATAAATACTGAATAATGCATTGGGCGATAAAGCGAATAAATAAAGTAATGATTTAATGCAATAAATTCAATAATTTCAGAGGCAAGTCGGCCGCTGGCGACCCCAAGGTATAACAATAAAAATTATATATACTTTCTGCAATGATTAATTGACAAATTGCAGAAATATGTTTTTTTCGCATGCCACAGGCAATCGCGAGATGCCCACATTTTCAGCATGTAAACACATTTCCATCGCACAAACTCCCATCCTGAAACCCTCCCGATCCCGATCCCAATCCAAATCCCAATCCCGTCATGTTCAAATCGCTCGTCATTAATTTCCACACATCGGAGTGGGCGATGGAAGCACTTGAAACTGTGCTCCAAACCTTGTTTATCCACAACAGCGTCCTCAACTTTTATTGGGTCTTTAGTTGTGCCGACGACGAGGATTGTGTGTAGGGCGGATGGGGGGGTTGGGGGGCTTAAGTGGGTTTTTGGAGGGGTTTTTGGGGTGCTGGGTTGGGGACAAGAAAAACAACAATCAACACCATTTGACGCTACAAATTAAGCTGGAAGCAAACAAATCGTGGCAAGTTCCCTCGGTTTTGCCAGCGAAAGTTTCTGCTGTTTTTAGCACATGTTGTTGCCTTGTTTTATGTGGCTGTCTTGTCTGCTTTCCCGCTTTCCCGCTTTTCCGCCTTTTCCGCTTATTGCTCGCCTCAATCCCCAATGCCCAATCCCCAAAACGAATCCCATTCCACTTTTCGATTGTCTCAAGGGCAATTCGCTGTTCAGTGTGAAGGAGCCTTTTCGATTGGCAATGCTCACTATTTATGGGGTAAAAGTGCTTAATCAAATGCCAAACGGCAAAAGCACGCACCGAAAACACGGCGTATACTTAATTTTTGCTCACTGCCAGCGGGCAATGTCTTCTTCTCCCCAACTGTGTTTTTGCCCTGAGTGCTAATGAAGCCAGGCTCTTAACATTGGAAATTCTTATTTAATTAACAAGTTTAACAAGGGCTTAACTGTTGATAGAGGACTTAAGACATCAAGAAAGTGAACCTCGTTATTGAAGACATTTCATTTATTAGTACTTTTTGAAAGACTTAATAAAATTAAATGAAAAGAACTTATAAAGAGCAAATAAGAAGTTATTTCACAAAAATAGATATATATTACATTAAAAAAGGAACGTTATTTTTTTGTGAACCCATTTTTAAACAGAGTACAAGTATTACAAAAACGAATTTAAAGAAGAGCAAGTTAATAAATGTGAAATAATAAAATACAATAAATGAAATAAATAGTTTTTTAAATAATATTTTACGACTTTTAAAGTTTCCTACAGTTTATTGCTTAACTCATAACACAAATCACGCTATTTTTATATTCTGCGTCCGGCTAATATGCATTGATAAATGCCTTTATTAATTCATTTAGCGCTATGCTCGTGGCTGGCCCAATAAAATGTTAAATAAAAATGTATAAACCATATTTGCGTGATTCAACTTTCGGCTGGGCGACAACGTGTGTAAATTTAAAATGTCCGGTCGATGGGAGTATAATTCAATTTTTGTGATTCTATTTGCAGGTCGTTTTGTTTGCAGTCATGCTTAATTTATTTATATGGCAGCCGCATTTTTAGTAAACGTTTGTTTTGGGGATTGGCTATTTTTGGATGGCACGTGTTTAATCCTGGTAAGTATTCGCCACACCTCCAGGACATCCAGGACTCCTCGCTGTCCCTTTCTTCGGTGCACGGTTGTCATAAAATGTTAAATATAAATTTATGGCAGACTAGCCGCTGCTGGCATACTAAGCATCGCATCAGGAGTTCGCCGGCAAAAAGGAGTCGCAAAAGGACTTTCCCCCAGTTGGCTAAGCACATTAGCAAAAGGAAGCTGTTTCGATTACGTTTACATTGGCCAGAGATTTGCGCTTTTGTTGCACTTTGTGATTTTGTTGTCAGCGTTTCAGCCACAGGACCTTCGTAGACTTGGTTAACAGGGGAGCAGTTGCCAAGGACTCAGGACCCTTTTAAGTAGGGTCAGGTGCTGGGATTGGGTTGGCAGGAATAGTCAGTAAAACAAATTGAAATTTTCACTAAACATTGCTAAATTCGTTTTATTATTTCATCCCAACTATTTATGTTAACGATAATCTGATTAAAGTAATAATTGTTAATTCGCTTATATTTTGAATTATGCTAATTTATCTTTATTGCCGCAAATTGAATTACATGTTTAATTTTGAAGTTATTTAATTGCTAAAATACCTGATGACAATTGTAATTGAATATACATATGTTAAATGCTTTAATTGCAATTCACATGATAGAATTGGATCGATATTATAAACTTTTAAGTGGTTACATTTGCAAATAATGATGGTTTTCAATTTACAAAAATGGAAAACACATTTTTCACATTCTAAAAACAGATTCAGATTCCTAGCAACAGGTTATTTGTGAAAAAGCAGGCGTTTTAAATAATTCAAATACTTGAAAATTTTCAGCTCGCAAACAACGAATATATTTATTCCCATCTTTTTATTTCCAATTATTTAAGCCAAGTTAAATGGCCGAACGCTATGATCGCGCGGTGACCATTTACTCACCCGATGGCCATCTTCTACAGGTGGAATATGCCCAGGAGGCCGTGCGAAGGGGTTCCACGGTGGTAAGTCCCTGCCCTCCGGTGTTAACCATTATTTAATCGGGTGAAACCCACCAAAAGGTGGGCCTGTGCACCAACAACGCCATAGTGCTCGTCGTGGAGAAAAGGTCCGTGGGCGATTTGCAGGAGGCGCGAATGGTGCGCAAGATTTTCATGCTGGACGACCACGTTATGATGACTTTTGCGGGGCTCACGGCGGACGCACGCATCCTGGTGAGCCGCGCCCAAGTGGAGTCCCAGAGCCACCGCCTGAATTTCGAGAAGCCCGTGAGCGTAGAGTACATAACCCGGTGAGCAGAAAGCTTCTTTACCTTCGATTACACTAAAACTTTTTTTTTTTTAATTAACCATTAAAATTAAATGAAAGAAATAATATATTTTCTAAAAAATGGTTCTAAAACTAAATAGTTTTTTACATAATTAAGGACACCCACAAAATAAAATCATTTTCATTTTCTGCTCTTAAGATAAAGCTATTCATAAATAAAAAATGGCTGTAAACAAATATATTGAAAGAAAGACGGAAACTTTTCAGGAGTAAAGGATTTTCGATTTTTTATGGTATTTTCCAGAGTTTTTATTTAAACACCGAAACTTTATTATTAAATTAGCCTGAAGACGATTAGGAAAGTTTAATGAAGATAATTAAGACTAGTTTTAAAGGTGCTGGTTTTGCACAAACAAGTTTTGATTAACACTTTTTTCTGATCGCTTATCAGAATTTAAATAACACTGTTTTTTACCGTGTAAGCCGCAGAGTAATTTTCGATTTTTGTTGCCCCCTTTTCCATTTCGCAGCTTCATGGCCCAGCTAAAGCAGAACTACACGCAGAGCAATGGAAGGCGTCCATTTGGAGTGTCCTGCCTGGTGGGGGGCTTCAACGAGGACGGCACTCCGCATCTGTTCCAAACGGAGCCCTCGGGCATTTTCTACGAGTGGAGGGCGAGCACCACGGGTCGGTCGGGTCAGCCGGTGCGCGACTTTATGGAGAAGCACGCGGACGAGATTCTGGCCTCCGCCGATGAGCCGGCGGCCATCAAGCACATAGTCCGCTCCCTGATGACCGTGTCCTCGCTGAACCACAGCCAAATGGATGTGGCGGTGCTAAAGTACAAGCAGCCACTGCGTATGATTGATCCCAAAAGTCTGGGCGATCTGGTGCGAACAGTGCGCTCGGAATTGGAGGCGGAAGCGGAGGCCAATCGGAAGAAGACATAATCCCTAATTTTGGGACATGTCCCAGGGTCAAAATCCTCGCCCTTTCATGACCAATCAAAAGTTGATAACCATTCCTCACATTGCGTCTCCTCATTTTTTTCGCGAGCGATTCAATTTCGTCCAGGGAGATGGGGAAAAGTAATCAGCAGGAAAAATGTGTAAAGCGGGCAAATCACTTAATTTGTCTCGAGGGCGTATTTGTTTACTTTATATCTCAAACGAAGCCTCGTCCGCTCCTTTCAGGCCAACCAAGTTAAAAAGTTTTAAGTGAAAATGGGAATTGAATTTGTAGAGGAAAAAATAAGAGAAATGCGCGCACACATACAGAAAATATTTCTCCATGGTTTGATTTAATTTTCCTTTGATTTTTGGCAAATAGTCTATTACAAAATATCGCAGCTCTAAATTGCATTTAGAAGGGCAAATCAAGACTATTTTGTTTGACTTGAAAAAATGCTTGATGAATTTAAAAATAATTTCCTTTGGAAAAATTAAGTTGGAAAAATGTAATAATAAATTGTAAGGTAATAAAACGTTTTGTTGAATATTTTTTTCAATTTGAATTAAAACCTCTTTAATATTTTTTTGAGTACAAACTCGATGTTTTTTTTAGCTGTTAGTTCCATTTAGGAAATCCTGTTCCTCCTAAACTTTTAGTTCCCCAGGCTGTCATACTGGCCGTCAAAAGTTAACCCCCACCTCTTTTTCCTGAAATCGAGTACTTCAATCAAAAGTGCGCTTCGGGGGTTAAAGGTGTGTGCCTTTATTAGGCTATTCTCATGGCCAAGTGTGCGTTTAACCCTTTAAAGAGGTCATGCCGGCCTGCATTATTTCATCGGTGAGCAGAAGGTTGCTGGCAATAATGGAGCACGAGTCCAGGATTTGCCTCCGAACGCAGAAGTTGTCCAGTATGCCAATGGAAGTGGGGTCCATGGGTTCCCCCGTTGCCAGGTCGAGTCCCACGGATCCCTCCGTCTCCCGCTGGGCATCCGTCAGCTTGACAATTGTGTCCTGCACATCAAAGCCACTGTTTGTGGCCAAGGTTTTGGGTATAACCAGCAAAGCCTCGGCGAAAAGCTGAACACCCAGTTGAGCCTTCCCTTTCACCGAGTGTTTGGCATTCAAGAGTTCCTTGTGGGCCTTCATTTCGAAGGCTCCGGCTCCTGGCACAACACAGGCATCTAGTACGGCATTTTGAATGGCATGGAGACCATCGCGAATGGCATCTTTGATGGCTGAAATCTGGTGACGAGCTTGCCCGCGAATCACGATTGTTACGGAAGTGGGATTGCGACAGTGCTCCACGAATGTGTACTTCGTTTCCCCCAACTCCTCCTCGCGTACCAAGGCAGCGAATCCCAGATGCTCCTCCTTCAAATCCTCCAGAGAATTCAGGGCCTCTCCTCCGCAGGCTCTAACCAATCGCTCCATATTCCTGCGTTTGGCACGTCTCAATCCCAGTATACCCTCGTTGGCCAGAACCTCCAGTGAAGGCACATCGATGCCTTTTTGGTTGATGACCACAAATCCTTTTTCGTTGCCCGCACAGACTTTTTTCTTTAGTTCTATGATTTTGGCCAGGCGGAGGTCTATAAAGCGATGTTCCTCGGTGACACATTTATCCAGTTCCACGGCGGTTTTATAGTAAAACCCCGAGGTCACAGAGGTTTTCTCCAGTTCCAGGGACACATTGCAGGTGAGGATGTAGGCATCCTGCAGGATCTTCGGCATATTCACATGACGTCCGCCGTGATCCAGAACTAGTCCTTCAACGAGCTGAGTTTCCACACACGTGTGCTGCAGCATTTCCATCAGTTCGATCATGTTGAGATCTAGCAGATCCTTGCCATCGCCACGAACAGCCAGGACAGCATCCACGCAGATGTCCGTGAGCATGTCCGCCAGGTCAGGTTCCAGTTTAGTTCTCAAACTGGTTCTGGCCACCGGAATCAAGGCTTCCCGTTCAATGAGAGTGGGAATCTTTAGGGATTCGAGTACCTCCAAGGCGTGTTTCTTAGCCAACATGATACCCTCCACCAGCAGGCGAGGATGCAGTCCCTCTGCGATGAGTAGCTCGGCCTGCTTGAGGAGCTCACCGATCAGGAGCACCGTGGACGTGGTCCCATCTCCCAGGGAATCATCCTGGGCTGTGCTGGCCCTGGCAATCATGTTAGCCGTGGGATGGCGTATATTCATCTCGTTCAGCAGGACATTGCCATCCTTGGTGATCCGGATGTCGCCCGCCGGAGAGACGAGCATCTTCGTAGTGCCCTTCGGACCCAGATTGGTGGCCATAAGCTTCTGCAGACCCATAGCTCCAGTTATATTGATTCCTAGGGCCTGGGCAGCTCGGGCGATTTCAGCTTTGGGATTCAGGAGACTTACTGCTGCCATGGTGATTATTTTCTTAATTAATTTGAAAGGTAAGAATTTTTTAGGACTTCTAGTCACCAATAACAAATAAATGTCAAAGTGACAGCTTTTTCCTGGCACACTATTTAAAGGCCAATTAAATTGCAAAAACCCTTTACCACACTAATTTTCAAGCCGCTAAAGGCACTTTCTTGTAGAGTGTTCTTTATGAAAGGGTTTTCTTTTCAAAATCCAAATAATATAAATTCAGCTGTCTTCTCGTATTTTATTTTAAATTTCTCGTTTCCGGAAAAGCTATTTATCTAGCTTATATAACATTTACAGTGCTAAGAATTTTCGAGTGTTATACAATATCCAAGCTGTTTTGTTAATACCAGAAATCTAAAATCGATAGCCAATTTATTTTATTTCCTGGAAATTCTTTGACGTTAAAGAAGGCTTTGACCCACAAAGTCATTTTAATCACACTCGTTTCAGTTTCTTTAAACAACTGCTTTGCCAATATGTCGAGCACGTAAGTATAAGTATTTTCTTCTGGAAAATACGAAATATTTACTTAAATAAAACCATTTTGTGTCGCTTTACAGCAACCACTCGGTGCGAGATAGCAGCTGGATCAGCTGGTTTCTTGGCCTCCATGGTAACGAGTTCCTCTGCCGGGTGCCACCCGATTACCTAGAGGATAAATTCAATTTCACGGGCCTGGAATCGCTGGTGGTGAACTTCAGTCATGCCCTGGACTTGCTCCTGGATCCGGAATACGACAATCAGGGCTGGGATAATGGTGTGGATACGACCGATGCGGAGCAGCTGTATGGCCTGATCCACGCCCGATACATTCTAACGCCGCGTGGCGTGGAGGATATGTGTCTGAAGTACGAGAGGGGCGACTTCGGTTCGTGTCCGAGGGTCTACTGTAAGGGACAGAAGACCCTGCCCGTCGGCCTCTCCGATCAGTTCAGTCAGAAGCACGTGAAGGTCTACTGTCCGCGTTGCCACGACGTCTTCCATCCCAGAACTCGATTTGCTCTGCTGGATGGAGCCATGTTTGGGACCAGTTTTCCGCACATGTTCTTCATGCAGCTGCCGAACTTGAGACCCCAGCCACCCCAGGAGAAGTACGTGGCACGGTAAGTGTTTAGCCCACATGGTGCAGGATCAATTCTAAACCTATCCCCTTTTGCAGTCTCTATGGTTTCCAGCTGCATCAGAAGGCCCTGATGCCATCAGAATCGCCTGAACGAGAGCCCAGAAACTCCGGATCCTCGCTCAGCAAGTCCACCTTTGGAAACCTATCCAGTTCAATGGCATCCTGTGCACCTTCTTTGCATCCCATCAAGTTTTAATGTTTAACTTTTTTCAGGATAATTTGCTGCAATTAAAGGCATTCCTAAGCAGTGCGTTGATATCGCCAGATACACACAACAAACACCTACAGATTATTTAAAGCTGGCCATATCAACCACTTCAATGAGTATCAAACTCGAGTGTCTTAGTCATTAATAGGGGTTATCACCTTGGGATTTAGGAACTGAAGCGACTTTAAGCGGCCTATACATCCGCTTAGAGCAAAATATTTAAGTTATATAAGTTATATTTCTTTCACATGAAAATTTGTTTCTTATTACATTTTCTTACCCAAAATTAATTTCCATACCTCTTCATAAAATTAATAGAAAATCTTTAGATTTTATTGATAATGTAATTTTTTTAAAGAGAAGTTTTTTTCAAAAAGCTTAAATATTTTTCAGCAAAAATGTGGCGGGTTACCTTAAATTACAAATGGAATTTAATATAATTAGGTTCTTTTTTTAAACTATATGTTCTTGGAAATTATAACGTCGACTGAATGAAGATGAAGAGAATTGAAAGAGATTGGAGAAATATTATGTTTTATCTCGGTGTGACTTGTGTACGCTGGATTGTGCAATCAAAATCCACTTGCCAGCACAACCTGCTAAGCCGATAATGGGAATTACGCAGAGTTGAGGCGTTCGCAAGGACTCGAGTCCTGCGAGTCCTGCAAGGAGTCGGCTCCTGCCCCACCGGCATCTCCAATAAGTCATGCCTTTATTATTATTTACTGCCGCCTGGCCGCCTTGTCGCTTTCAGTTTTCAGTTTTCCGTTTGCAGCTTTCCGCGCCACTCTACGCCTTTTCCCTGTCGAGTGGAGAATTGTGCCGACAAGCATTCTCTCCTTTTCTCCTTTTCTCATTTTCTCCATTTCGCCATTTCGCCATCTCTCAGTTCTCGCACTTTTCACACTTAATTTCATTAAGTAATCTTTCATAGCGCTGCTTTTATTGAGTTTTAAACTGGCAGACCGTATAATGAGCATGGCGGTCGGAAAAGCGAGGAAAATGGAAAAGGGGAGCTCTTCAGAGGAAGTGAGCGTTTTGTTTTACATTACAATTGAGCTGGGAATGTGTTTTCTTATTGTCTGCTGATGGCTTTCCTCTGGCGACTCCTTTGTGGCTCCTCGGCCACTTGTTGCTCCAGTCAGCCATCATTTATTCATTACGAAAGCATCAGCCTGCTTGTATTATTTTCAATATTTACCCAATTTCAGAGGGCACACGTTTTGTAGCTCTACTTCTGGTTGGATAAACAAATCCGAACATTCTAGTAAACAACGCACTTGCATTCGATTGTAAACTTCGCTCCAGGATGGCGATTCTATTCCTTTGTTGCCAGTGCGCCGGGCCAAATGTGTTTTCAAGAATGGCCGAATATTTGATTGTATTGCCGCAGGTTCCTCAATTTCTATCCACCATCCCAGCACCACCACCCAATTTTTAGAAAGTGGTTTTCCCGAATGCCGCAAAAGCTTACAGAAGAAATATTATTGTGTGCCGGCTTTCCCTTCGCTGGGCAAACAATATATGCGATTCGAACAACGCCCTTAAAATTTCAATTTTATGTATGGGAAATAGGAGCTCGATTTTAATCCGTTGTAAGATAAAAAATAAACAATATTTTGAACAAAAACATGCGAACATTTCTCAAATTTTGCAGGCCATAATATGGTTTATACAATTGCGAGAGGTATTATAAATTACATTTCCAAGGCAGTGAAACAAATATTTCCGACCTTATAAGGAATATACCATTAGAGCCAAGTCCATCTGTCCGTCGATCGTACTCTGTCAAAAACATCCGACAAAAAATATAATAATCTCTTTATAATCAGATGGAAATTTCCATTGTATAAATGCAATCAAACAGAAGACTACCTAACAATATCGAACTTTTGATCCTCGCCTGAATTATTTTGGTGATAAGTTTCTGGGAATTTACGTTCCATTTAAGTCCGTTATCAAATCTCTCCAAACACCTATAAAAAGCTCATCCACTTGGAAACAAAGAGTCAGTCGTCACTGCAAAATGAAGCTGCTCGTTGCTGTTTCTCTAATCATTCAGATTGTCAGTGGGGGACGTATCCAGGGTAAGTGCTAAGTCGACTTTGGGAAACATCCTGGAGATCAAAAAATAAAACCTATCAAAGGTATCCTGTGCAAGCTGGCTTGATTCCAAGCAGTAAAACAGGAAATTGACAGATCCTGAAATGCATCTTCCTAAAATCAACGTAAAAACTCCGTGTCTTGTTGAGTAAATCGAATTTCTTAAATACGATACGTTTTTTTTTTAGAATCAAACTTTGTAAACGCAATACTTACATTTATTGAACTAAACTAAAAAAAATTCTTTTATTTTCAGGTTCAATTGAGCTTCCTGGTCCTGATATTTGTGGAGTTGATGTCATAGGGCAACGGATCCTGTCGGGCAATGATGAGGTGATTGGTAATGAGTTTCCCTGGTTGGTATTGTTGCAGTACCGTCCCCCAAATGGAGGTGATCTACAAGCTCGGTGTGCTGGATCCCTGATCAATCAACGATACGTTTTAACAGCAGCCCACTGTGTGACATCGTTTGATATCGGAACACCGTAAGAAATCGTTCTTTAAAATAGGTTAAATAATTTAAGTTGAAGCTAAACAAATTTGCCTGATTCGTATGAAAAAATTTATCTATATGCCCTCGAAATAAATCTTTAATAATTAATTTACAGTTAGTTAAATTATATATATAAATTATATTATATATTCGTCTGCTGCGGAAATTTTAAATGAAATCTTTTTATAATGCTTGAATATTTATAATAGTATTTCTGATTTTTCGAGCAACGCTTTGGAATTTTAATATGTTAATTAAATGCTTATTAATATATTCTTATTTTTTAGAGTATCTGTAAGATTGGGCGATAATAGCACTCGTATTGGAACAGAATTTGTAACATTGGACATCGAAGATATATATTACGAATATTGCAGATATAATCCCTTCAAAGATATTGCCTTAATCCGTTTAAAGAGTGATGTTTCCTATTCGGAGAATATAAAACCTATTTGTCTGCCCTCGACTGTGCAACTATCACCACTGCTTTCTGACCAGCTGTTGACAGTGGCTGGATGGGGACTCAATTCAATTCATGGCCGCAGTACCACCAAGCAGAAGGAGCTGGTCACCTGTGATAGTAGATACTCATTTATGCATTTGGACACAAGATTAAATTGCGCCCAAATTCGTAACAGGAATGCCGACTGTATCTCGGATGGCGGAGCACCACTGATGGCATACCATCATGGTGTTTGGGTTCTGCAAGGAATTTTGGCTTCTGGTAGACGTCAATGTGATTCGATGAGTTTGCCTGGAATCTTCACGAACGTTGGTCAATATGATCAATGGATAAAGGAAAACATGAGGCCGTAGTATTAAATCAAATACGTTTTTATGTAGCTTAATATGATTACAATAATTCAAATTATCATCGAAACATCTAACCTAGCCTAATCAACGAAGAATTCACTTTGCTTTACGATTCTATATTAAATACTGATCTCAACGACTTTTCCTTGAGTACTGAAGATAAGGTGGAAATTAATTTTTAGTCTTTGACTATGAGATATAAAATCTTTCCGATTGAGAACATAGAAATCGTATAAAGGACATTTAATAGTTTTGAAAGTCAGATCATTTTTAGTTACCTCCCAAAGGTGTCCGACAGTACAAAATTGTAATTGTACGAGCAAATTCCTCGTGATAAAGAATCTGCGGTTATGAATTTTGAAATGCTATTTTCATGGCAATGCTGATGACGCTTTTGCGTTTCCATTTCTTTTTTGCCAGTGCGCCTGCCCAAATGTGTTTTCAAGAATGATGTGTTTTCTCAATTTCCATCCACCATCCCAGCACCACCACCCAATTTTTAGAAAGTGGTTTTTCCGAATGCCGCAAAAGCTTACAGAAGAAATATTATTGTGTGCCGGCTTTCCCTTCGCTGGGCAAACAATATATGCGATTCGAACAACGCCCTTAAAATTTCAATTTTATGTATGGGAAATAGGAGCTTGATTTTAATCCGTTGTAAAATAAAAAGTAAACAACATTTTGAACAACAACATGCGAACTTTTTTTTTTGATTTTTGCAGGTCATAATATGGTTTACTATACCCTTGCGAGAGGTTTTACAAATTAAATTTCCAAGGCAGTAAAATAAATACTTCAAAAATTATATAAATTATTAAATACTATACATTAGAGCCAAGTCCGTCTGTCCGCGGATCGTACTCTGTCAAAAACCTCGGACAAAAAATATAATAATCTCTTTATAATCAGATGGAAATTTCCATTGTATAAATGCAATCAAACAGAAGACTACCTAACAATATCGAACTTTTGACTTTCGCCTGAATTATTTTGGTGATAAGTTTCTGGGAATTTACGTTCCATTTAAGTCCGTCATAAAATCTCTCCAAACGCCTATAAAAAGCTCATCCACTTGGAAACAAAGAGTCAGTCGTCACTGTTGCTGTTTTTCGGATTATTCAGATTGTAAGTGGCACACGTATCCAGGGTAAGTGCTTCTGGAGATCAAAAAATAAAACCTATCAAAAGTGCAAGCTAGTTTGATTCCAAGTAGTGAATTGACAAATCCTGAAATGCATCTTCCTAAAATCAACGTAAAAACTCCGTGTATTGTTGGGTAAATCGAACTACTTTTATTAATCTTAAATATTTAATATCTTAAATACGATACGTATATTTTAGAATTAAACAGTGTAAACGGAATACTGACTTTTTATTGACTTTGATCCAACTTAAAAAATGATTTTTTATACCCTTGCAGAGGGTATTATAATTTTGGTCAGAAGTTTGTAACGCAGTGAAGGAGACGTTTCCGACCCTATAAAGTATATATATTCTTGATCAGGATCAATAGGGGAGTCGATATAGCCATGTCCGTCTGTCCGTCTGTTTCAATACCGTTTGCGAGCTCAGTTTAAAAGCTAGTGATCTGAAACTTTCACACTCGTCCTAAACCATGTGTACGCAGATCAAGTTTGAAAATCGCCCCGATCGGATGTCTATATCCTATAGCTCCCATAGGAACAATCGGATATATCTTGCAAGAATTGATGGTATTTCGCGCAGTGTAAAAGCTATTGACATGAATCTTTCCAAATCGTATTTTTTTATGCATACCTTGATCAGGATAAAAGCGCGTGACGTCTATATCCTATAGCTCCCATAGGAACAAAAGGGTAAAATCGGTTAAAATTTAATGATTTTTAGGATATTTCGCGCAGTATACAAGCTATTGACATGAATCTTTCCAAATCGTATTTTTTTATGCATACATTTATCAAGGTAAAAGCGCGTGCCGATCGGACGTCTATATCCTATAGCTCCCATAGGAACAATAGGGTGAAATCGCTCCAAATTTAATGATTATCAGAATATTTCGCGCAGTGTGTAAGCTACTAACATACATTTTTCCAATTCTTATTTATTTACGCATATCTTGATTAGGGTAAAAGCGCTTGCCGCTCGGAAGTCTATATCTTAAAGGCTGCGAAAGTATCCCTTTTTTTCTATTTGTATATGACATTTTTGCAGTATAAAAGCAATTGACTTGAAATTATGCAAATCTAGTTTATTTATGTATACCTTATTCCTTTCGCTACTTTTTCACTTTTAGCAATTTCGGCAAAGTCTGCAAGGGTATTAAAACTTCGGCTTGCCGAAGTTAGCTTCCGTCCTCGTTTTCAGATGCAATTGAGCTTCCTGGTCGTGATATTTGTGGAGGTGATGTCATAGGGCAACGGATCCTGTCGGGCAAAGATCACTTGATTGGCAGTGAGTTTCCCTGGTTGGCATTGTTGCAGTACCGTGACGAAAATGGAGATTTTCCGATATATCCGTGTGTTGGATCCCTGATCAATCAACGATACGTTTTAACAGCAGACCACTGTATAACAGCGTTCGATTTCGGAAGAAAATAAATAAAATATGTTAACTAATGAAAATTAATTTGAATCTAAATTCTAATTCTAATTCGGATAAAAACATTTATTTAATTGCACTTGAAATAAATCTTTGGTAATTAAGTTACAGTTAGTTAAATTTATAATTTATATTTGTCTGCTGCGGAAGTTTTAAATGAAATCTGTTTATAACGCTTAAATATTTATTATAATATTTCCGGTTTTTCGAGCTTAGCAACGCTTTAGAATTTTTAATAGTTAATAATTAAATGCTCATTAATATATTCTTATTTTTTAGAGTATCTGTGAGATTGGGTGATAATAGCACTCGTATTGGATCAGAATTTGTAACATTGGACATCGAAGAGATACATGTTCCAGAATTTTATATCGGCGAACCTAATTTCTCAGGAGATTTTGCCCTAATCCGTTTGAAGAGTGAGGTTTCCTATTCGGAGAATATTAAACCTATTTGTCTGCCCTCGACTGTGGGACGATCAACACTGCGTGACGGCCAGCCGTTGACCGTGGCAGGATGGGAACTCGTTAATAACGTCCCCAGTAACAAGAAGCAGAAACAGGGGTTCACCTATTTGGATATCGATCGGTGTCGTCCAAGATTCTCATTTATGCATATGCACCACAATAAAATTTGCGCCCAAGTTCATAACATGAATGACAGCTGTATTGCGCAGAGCGGAGGACCACTGATGGAATACCATCATAGTGTTTGGGTTCTGCGTGGAATTAAATCCCTTGGATACCCATGTGATAGGAATATGCCTGATGTCTTCACGAACGTTCGTTATTATGTGTATTGGATACAGGACAAAATGAAGCCGTAGTAGGAAATCAAATACGTTTTAATGTAACTTAATATGCTTACAATAAATCAAATTATCATCCAAATATCTGCCGACCTAACCAAACCAACGGATAATATCTTTACTTTGCTGTTATCGATTTTATATTAAATACTGATCTCAACGATTTGATGACATAAAATCTTTCCGATTGAGAGCTTATTTAAAAGTTTTAAAAGTCAGTTCATTTTTAGTTATCACCAAAAGTTTTCAGACAATACAATATTCGTGATACAGAATTCGCGGCACAAATCTCGTGAATGTCTTTAATAAAAAGCTTATAAATATATAAGAAAGAAGAGGGAGCTCTCCTTCCAGCCTTCCTTGTCTAATCAATTTTCTTAAATTAATGTAGTTTTAAAATGGTTCTTATTTCCTAATTCTGATTCCCATTCAAATTAAAATCGCTTATTGCCAGTATCCAATTTTAGATCGTTAATGTTGCTTTATCTTTTTGCTCCCCTCTTAATCAGTACTTTAATACAGTTGACGTAATTTTTGGACTTTCTATGATGAACCCCCAGCCTGGGCTAAGCGATTCAGCAATTTATGGTTAATGGCACTAAATTGGTTAACTTTGGCAGCCGGCAAACTTTCTTAAAACTTGCCAAAGGAGAGAAAGAAAGGCCGGTTCCGTTAATTTGGAGCTGAGCGGTCGGTTGACCAAGCCCCAAAGACAACTACAAAGTCCTAAACGCCGGCTGATTAACCCATTGGGACGGATGGACGGATGGACGGGTATCCTGCTCCAGAAGGAGGACCGCCGTAATTATCCTGATGGGATTGGCCGGGCAGCTGGGAAGCGCACTTCGCAGCGGGTTTCCCAAGGTTCATCAGCCTGGTTAGCAGTTCAAATTAAGTTACTACGGTCGAAACGCCGGACATGTCTGCCCGGTAATAAGCTAAATGAAAACAAAAATGGATGTCACTCAGTGTCGCCAAATTGATGAAGATGAAGTAGGTGGAGAGGGTAAGAGTGGGAGAGGTGCTGGGGGAAAACGTAACCCAATAACTTTGGCCACGCATTAATTGGAATTTATGGAGCTGGCCACTCTCCGCCGGAGATTCTGTGCTAAACAAAGCGCGTAATGCGTGCCAAGTGTCACTGGAAAGGGTTACCAATCCCTCAGACAAATGGCAAAAGGAAAATGGAAATGGAAAACGGGCGAAAACAGGAGGAAGGAGGAATTGTGCGCCAAGTTTAAGTGCTTTTAAAAAACCATTAACGTCATTTCCTTTGCTGTCTGGCTCCATTCGATGGAGCCATTTCATTCGTTTTTTTTTTCTTTCTATATTTACTCCTTGCGAACGGACAACATCAATACAATAAGCTCTTGAAACGTAAATTTTGGTAAAATAATGTCCTGGTTTCTTGGTCACTTGGATTTCTTCTTGGTCACCGGCTGCAGGGATCCGGATCCCCAGGTTCCCTTTGGATTGGGCACGGGTGCTGGCCTATCGTTGCCAGTTGGTGGAGGTTTCATCAACGAACTGGCCCTCTTGGAACCTCGATTCATCCTGGGCCTAACTGGCGGCTGGGATTTGGGTAGAGGAAGTTCCTCTTGCGATGTCCTAGCCAGCTTGGATGTTCTGATTTGAGGATCAGCAGGTGGCGGAGGACCTCTCATGCTGATGATTGACTCCTTGACGGTTGGCATTAGCTTGGGTTCGTTCAGCGTATTTATAACCCTTTTAACAACCCCTTGAAAAAAGGGCGATTCCCTTTTCTTAACTTCCGGCATTGCTGGCAGCTTGATGGATTCCTGGCTGATCCGCCGGCGGTTGTCCAGCGGATCGTTGTGGATGACCTGCATGGGACCGGGACAAGCGGCCACCGTGGGAGGATCGATGTAGCAAACGTGTCGGGCGTAGTCGAAGGAATCCCTGCTATCCGTGGCCGGCATTCCGCGTCGATGGAAGCAATTGATGGGACAGGAGGCCACACAGGGCGTATACGGTTTCTCCACTTCCGCCAACTTCTTGATCTTCACCGAGTTGCAGTAGATCTGGTGGCGATCGGCCACCTGCTCCTCGCGGCACATCTCCCGCTGCTCGTACTTGCGGTAGGCCAACTCCGCCTTGGAGTAGTAGCCCGGCCAGCAGTAGTCCCTCAGCCGGCTCCGCTTCACCATCCTGCCCTCCGGACGCATGTCCAGCTGATTCTGCCGCTCGTAGCGATCCACGGCGGTGGCAATCGGATAGAGGGGTCGTCCCACTTTGCGGGACTCCTCCATGATTTGGACCGCCTGCTCGAAGAACTTCTTGTCGTCCTCGAGGTAGGGATCCTCGTTGCAGGCCGCCAGGTTCATCAGCTCGGCGCGCCGCTTCTCGAGGAACTCCTCCCGCTGGCCAAAGAGCACGTTGCGCAGCTCCTCCTTGACCTTGTCCCGCTTCCGCTTCTGGGAGGCATCGAAGTAGCGATTGGCCTCGGCGTTCTTGAGGCGACGCGCCACATGGAAGCGCTGCAGCTCCCGCTGGCGTCGCAGCCTCTCGGCATCCTGCTCCCGCTCCACCAGCTGGTATTTCCTGCGCTCCTGGGCCAGGACCTCCCGTTCGCACTGGCGTCGGTTCTCGTCCACCTGCGTCTCGAACTCGTAGCGGTCCTCCGCGTTCGCCTGCCGCTCCTCCAGCTTCCTTTGCTGCACCTGCTGCGCCCGGCTGACCACCAGAGCCTTCTCCTCCCGGTCCTGGATGCGCTTCTGCCGGATTTTCTTCACATGGCTGCCGTAGCGAGTGTCCAGGTTGCGACTGGCCACGATGTAGACGCAGTTGCGCCTGTCGTCGATGGCATCGCAAATCCGCTCGTCTGGCGAAGAAGAGGTAATTATGAGAGGTTAATGATATATACTGCGAATACCAAATACCCTCACTCTGCGATCCGATTTCAAAACAAATATACTTCTAAAATTCTATTGGCAAGGTAAATACAAAAATGGTACAAGGGTATTTATGTAAAAGAGCTTCATTATTGACTATATGAACTTCCTTGCTTAATAACTTTTGAAATAATTGTTTGTATATTAATAAATGTTGATTGAATAAAATATTAACGCACAAAAATATTGTATCCTCATCAAGTATGTTTTGTATTGGAATTTTAAAAACAATTCGACAATTTTTGTAATTTAATTATGAGAAAATTAAAAATATTTTTGACTATTGGACTGATTAAGTTCGACACTTATGCCTTAAATCCAAATGTCTTATTTTTTAACAAAAGGGGATATAGGATATAAACAAGCTATTTTTGTCATGAATTTAAGTTTAATTCTATAGCAAGAGAAATTAAAACTTTAGCACTTTAAAAACTTTCATTACATTTGCTTCGCTCAAAGTTGTAATAACGGCCTTTAATGGAAGGTTTTTGTGTGTTTCATAAATTATTCCAAATAAAAATTGTTATTTTTGACTATCTACGATCTTTGACCAAACCACCGATATTTAATAGCAGCATTAACGATTGCATTATTCAAAACAGAACCTTATTATTATTATCAGATAGTACTCACGCTCTGCAATCTCGGCCTTCTCCAGGATGGCATCCCGATGAGCCTTGCGGTAGAAGGCGATCTTGCGGGCCTTCTTCTCCTTGAGCGCCTTCTCCTCCTTGTCCTGGAGGCACTTGTACTGCGCCCGTTCCACCTGCACTTCGAAGATCCCCTGCTCCCGCTCGGCATCCCGGATCTTCTCCCGCGCCGCGATGTCCTCGCGCATGAGCTTGGCGTGCTCCGAGTTCCTGGCCTGCTGCCTGGCCACCTCCTCCTCCTCGGTGGCGTGTCCGAAGGGCACCAAGGCCGCCGGACATAGCTCCTCGTCGGCCCGCTCCTGGGCACGAGCCGCCCCGGCGATCTCCTCGTTCAGGGACTCATTGTACTGCCTTTGGTGGATCATCTCGCTCAGGAGGAGGGCCTGGTGCAGGGCTCGTGGTCCGGGCTTCAGTTGGTCCAGCAGGCGATTGGCCCGCAGGATGCGCTGCTTTCGCAATCGCTCGTCCACCAACTTTGTGTCCACCTCCTTGACCACAGTCATGGCTTCCTTGCTCTTGGCCCTGGCCGACTTCTTGATCTTGGGAACCGTGGGATCCGTGAAGAGGCTGCACAGCAGATCGTTGCCATCCTTGAGGTACTGCCGGTACCTGCGCTCCTCCTCGACAGCCTCCATTTGGGCGTGCTTCTCATCCTGGCGGGAACGTCCCTTGATTGCCGCAAATCGCTTGGCGGAAATCACGACGGGATGTCGCGTGAAGCGCTTCCTCACGAACAATCCGTCGTGACCGACTTCCTTGGGTTTGCACACATTCATTTCGACTTTGGTGACATGTAACTGCTCCCTCAACAATTCAGAAGTCGAGAATACGGGCTTGTTGGCGGTGTAATGAATAAACTCCTCCGTTCACTCGATCGGTTTGCTTTGGAAATTCGAATTAACTTATACTAATTTCTAAGACTACTGACGTAGTAGTTTTATCACTAAAATAAATACCTTATACAACTCTTGTGGTGTAAGTAAACCATTTCTTGCAATTAAGTCACTAGTTAAAAAACGTTACATTATAATTCTACTTTTACATTCCATTAAATATTATAATTCTATTAAAACTTTATTTAAATAAGAGAATTTTCGTTGATACGTTTTTGAAATAGGCAATCAACTATGCTCACTCAACTTTTGCTGATAACACCGCTGTCAGAAAGATCATACAATAATTAAATAGTCTTTTGATTATCTTGTTATTGTCACGAAATTGTTTTTTGTATGAACATATAGAAATTGATAGGTAGCTGGCAATTTACGTTTGAATTTAGTCCGACATTAAAAAAAGCTGAACCACTTTGAATCTAAGAGTCGGTTGTTTAGGTGCCTAGAACAGATCGAAGGCGAGAGCGATTAAGCATAGTCACAATAAAATGAAAGTGATCGTTGCTGTTTTTCTATTCATTCTGATTGTCTATCAGGCCATTGGCCAGGGTACGTGTCTACTTCCTAGATATCTAAAATTATTGTATTAAAATGTTTGGTTTGAAGTTAAGCAGTTCAAAAATTTGAAGATCCTGAAATGCATCTACCTAAAATCAACGTAAAAATAAATCTAACTATTTTTAATATTCCTAATTATTGAATATCTTGAATACGATACAAATTGAGGTTCAAATGAGCTCCCTCGTCGTGGTATTTGTGGGGATGATGTCACAAGGCAACGCATCCTGACGGGCAATGATCAGTTGGTTGCCATTGAGTTTCCCTGGTTGGCATTGTTGCAGCTCCGTCCCTTAAATGGAGGTGATCTGGTACCTGTGTGTTCGGGATCGCTGATCAATCAACGATACGTTTTAACAGCAGCCCATTGTGTGATGCGGTCTGAGATCGGAACACGGTAAGAAATTGCTCTTTTCAATTTCTCAAGCAGAATTTCCAGTTAGGCAACGTTTTTGAGATTTTAATAACCATGTTAATTATAGTGTTTAATGCCGTAAATGCTCATTAATATATTCTTATTTTTTAGTTTATCTGTGAGATTGGGCGAGAATAACACTCGTGCGAAAACAGAATTTGTAACATTTGACATCGAAGAGATACATGTTCACGAAAAATTTAACTTATACAGATATAGATACTCTGACAATATTGCCCTAATCCGTTTGAAGAGTGATGTTATCTATTCGGAGAATATTAAGCCTATTTGTCTGCCCTCGAATGGGGGCCAAACAAGACTGCATAACACCTATTTTTTAACCACGGCAGGATGGGGACTCACTCTAAATAACAGCCGTGGTACCACCAAGCAGAAAGCGCTGGCCTCCTTTTGGGATGTCGACCGGTGTCCTTCAATATACTTAAAGATAAACTTCGTCGTGCATCCACTTGCAATTTGCGCCCAAGGTCATAACATGAGTGCCGGCTGTATCGTGGATGGCGGAGGACCTCTGATGGCATTCCATCACGGTGTTTGGGTTCTGCATGGAATTATGTCCTATGGTGTGCGTGTGTGCGTTACGATGAATTGGCCTGATGTCTTCACGAACGTTGGTGAATATGACCAGTGGATAATGGAAAAAATGAGACCGTAGTAGGAAATCAAAAACGTTTTTATGTAACCTAATATGTTTACAACAAATAAATCAAATAATCATCGAAATATCTGCCGACTTAACGGAGAATCTCTTTTCTTTGTTGTTAGCTTCTTTATATTAAATACTGATCCTAACGACTTTTCCTTGATGGAATATTTAAGTACTGAAGATAAGTTGGAAATTGGTTTTAGCGTGCATCATGTAAAATAAAAGAATTCATCTACTTATGTCGGCCTGAGGCTTAAAACACCTGATTTTACATTTAAATTATTTAAATTTCATAACAAGAAATTAAGCAAACTTCGGAAAGCCTAAGTTTATATACCCTTGCAGTTATTACAAATTGACCACATTTCGATTTCTATGCCTATATTACTAAAACAATGAAGCTACCTCGATTTTGCGGTGCATTTTGCAATGGTTTCTATGGCAGCTATATGATATTGTTGTCCGATTTTAATTTAATTAAAACCGTAATTCGAAAATATTTAAATAGTTAAAAACAACAAAGTTATAATTTTATTGAATTATTTTTTCCGATTGTTCCTATGGGAGCTATATGATATAGTTGCCCGATTCGGTTCGTTCAGACTTATATACTACCTGCAATAGAAAGACAACTTTTGGGAAAGTTTCAAGCAGATAGCTTTAAAACTGAGGGACTAGTTTGGGTAGAAACGGACAAACGGACATGGCTAGATCGACTCTCCTGGTGATGCTGATCAAGAATATATATACCTTATAGGGTCGGAAATGTTTCCTTCACTGCGATGCAAACTTTTGACTGAAATTATAATACCCTCTACAAGGGTATAAAAATTAACGAATTTCCCAATAAAACGCATACGAATTTACTTATAAATATTTTGTTGTTTGCCACTTATTCCTTTCATTGCATTTTGTCGATTAATTCTAATCAATATTTTCGCGAATGTTCGGACATTGCCCACTTAATAAATCATTAGGTTAATATCATGGTAAACCCTGACTATAGTTAATAGGAATTATTTCCTGTGGTGTTCGTGTATGCGTTACGATGAATTGGCCGAATTCACCACGAACGTTGGTGAATATGACCAATGAATAACGGAAAATATGAGGCCGTAGTTGGAAATCAAATACGTTTTTATGTAACCTAATATGTTTACAATAAATCAAATTATCATCGAAATAGCTGCTGACCCAACTTTATAAGCGGAGAATTCACTTTGATTTGCATCTAGCGATTTTATATTAAATACTGATCTAAACGACATTTCCTTGATGGAATATTTAAGTACTGAAGACATGTTGGAAATTGGTTGTTATATAAAAATAATTATTTAAAAATATTTAGCTAATAACACTGTTATGCTACAATTATCATAATAATCGCTTGTTATATAACTTAATGAAGCAAAAAGTCCACAAAACTTAGCTGCGTATCGGCAGTATTTCACTGGTGCCCGGCCATGGATCGTGGGATAATAATTTTTGGAGTCTCGATTTTATTTGCTTTTCTAGTCTGTAGTGTAAGGCAAATAAATAATTAAAATTAGTTACAAAAAATAATTATAAATAATTTCTACATATTTTCAGGAGGCACCCTTTGTGAAAATGACAAATGCAGATTGTAAGTCGTATAACAAATCTTGGGTTGCCATTCATTATTGCCGGCTAAAAGCCTATTCGCGGAACAAGACCAGTTTGAATATAAATGCAACATTTTGGGAGCCAGCCAACAATATATCCCTAAAAATGAAGATGATGAAGAAGGCCAGTGGCTATAAGCCATTTCTTTTTGATTACACAATCGACGCCTGCGAATTTATGCGAAAGCGAAACCAACCCTTTGCCAAAATCCTTTGGAATTTGATCAAGGATGTATCCACCGTTAACCACACCTGCCCTTATATGGTAAGATCGCCAATTAAAGAACCGAATACATTTTTCTTCTTTAAAAACATTTATGATTTTGCAGGGCTTGCAGATGCTAAGCGATTTTCATCATATAGAATTTCCATTTCCATTACCAACTGGAGACTACTTACTTTTGTTAGATTGGATATTCGATGCTAAACCACAATTCGCTACAAATGTTTATTTCACATTTGTAGAGGATCTATTCACGAAAAGAACAAATCACAGATGGAAGAACTAACACATTCCTCAATAAAAATTAATTTTTTTGTTTGTTTATACCAAAAGTAACAAAAGTTAACAATAAATAAGTGGTGAAGAGCCCCGACTATAAAATAGACTCTACTTAATCAATATAACACAAATGAAAGTAAATGCTATATATTACCTTTCGGGTGGTGAATTTGTACCGAATTTACTTGTAATTTCCAGTTTTCGAAAGAAATAAACCAATTGGATTGACAATAACACAAGCATTTTACAAATAATATATTTACTTATAAATATTTTGTTATTTGTTATTTATTCCTTTCATTCCGTTTTGTCAACTTTGTATTATTTTGTAGACTAGCTAAATCGATTAATGCTAATCAAAATTTTCGCGAATGTTCGGACATTGCGCACTTAATAAATCATTAGGTTAATATCATGGTAAGTCCTGACTATAGTTAAAAGAAATTCTCCATGCAATTATGTCCTGTGGTGCTCGTGTATGGAACTTAATTTGTTTACAATAAGTAAACAAAAAATACAAAAATAATAGAATTATATTTTTAAAAATTTTGTTGACGTACAAGGACACACAATTACAATTTAATTAACCTTGCCCGACAATGTTTTCCTCGTTCATAATTATCTACACTAAATTAATTCAATTGATTTTGGAAGATTTTTTTGAAGAACTTTCTACTCAAAACAAGTAGAGAAAAAACATGCTTGAATAAACAAAAAAAAAACTCGATCTGTTATTAATAAAAATTAACTCTTTAAAAATATTTATAAATATTTAACATTGTCATGCTACAATTATCATAATAATCGATTGTTGTATAACCTTATGAAACAATAAGTCCACTAAAATTAGCTGAGTATCGGCAGTATTTCACTGGTGCCCGGCCATGGATCGTGGGATTATAATTTTTGGAGTCTCGATTTTATTTGCTTTTCTAGTCTGTAGTGTAAGGCAGATAAATTACATGATCAATATTAGTTACAATAATAATTATAAATAATTTCTACATATTTTCAGGAGGCATATTTTGTGAAAATGACAAATGCAGTCTGTAAGTCTCTTAATGAATCGTGGGTCGTTATTCATTATTGTCGTCTGAAGGCCTATTCCCGTAACAAGACTAGCTTGAATATAAATGCAACCTTTCTGGAACCAACTAACAACATTTCCTAAGAATTAGGGTTATGAAAAAGGCCAATGGCTATAAGCCATTTCTGTTTGATGTCACAATAAATGCCTGCGATTTTATGAGGAAAAACAATAACCCTGTCGCCAAGATCATTTACAATATGGTTAAGGATGTATCCACGGTGAATCATACCTGTCCTTGTGTGGTGAGATCGTTTTTTGAAAAATGTAAAACTTTAACTAATCGTTTTAATTTGTAGGGCTTACAGGTGTTAAGTGATTTTCATGTTGTCACGATTCCCGTTCCAGCTCCAACTGGAGACTACCTACTTTTATTGGATTGGATATTCTTTGCTAAGACGCAGTTCGTTACAAATGTTTATTTTACATATGTAGAAGATTTATTAGAATCTTACTGACCAGTAAACTAATTTAAATCATATTATTGGAGTATTAGATCATTAAACCTTTTATTTCGAAACACATGTTAGATATTACTGAGTTTGACACTGATTGATTTGTTCAAAAAGGCGTAATTTGAATGCTTAATATTTCAATAAATAATGCTGAAAAGTTGAAGAGAAATAAAATGTCAAATGTTCGGACATTGCGCACTTAATAACTCATTAGGTTAATATCATGGTAAGTCCTGGCTTAATTAAAAGAAATTCTGCATAGAATTAGAAAAGACGTGAGACGTTGTCTTCCGCGATATTTAAGTTCTGAAGATAAGTTAGAAATTGGTTTTTATTGTACAACAGGTAAAATAAATCTGTAGCCGAATTGCTCCACTTATGTCGGCCAGGTTAAAAAACCTGGTTTGAACTTTAAAATATTTTTAGGGAAGTTACTGTTATGGGTTGTAACCCATTCAATATTTTCTTATTCTCCAAAAAGATTTTTGTATTCTTCGCCGTCCTGATTTTTTGGAGAACTTTCCTCTCAAAGCAAACAAAGAAAAAAAAATGCTTGAATATAAAAAAAAAACAAGAAAGGAAAGCTAACTTCGGGCGGAGCCGAAGTTGATATACCCTTGCAGAATACTCTGTAAATTATATTCTCCAAAATTATTCATATGATGCATTCTTAATACTCATAAAAAATCCCAACTTCCTAACTTAACAAACACCAAAGTTATTCCGATCAATCAGTTATATGGCGGCTATAGGATATAGTCGGCTGATCCTTATGAAATTTGGTAGGTCGGTTTTATTGGCCAAATATAAAACCCATAGAAAATCCCAACTTCCTAACTTAACAAACACCAAAGTTATGGCATTTCCGATCAATCAGTTATATGGCAGCTATAGGATATAGTCGGCCGATCCTTATGAAATTTGGTAGGTCGGATTTATTGGCCAAATGTAAAACCCATAGAAAATGCCAACTTCCTAACTTTACAAACACCAAAGTTATGGCATTTCCGATCAATCAGTTATATGGCAGCTATAGGATATAGTCGGCCGATCCTTATGAAATTTGATATGTCGGATTGATTAGGCAAAAATAAAACCCATAGAAAATCCCAACTTCCTAACTTAACAAACACCTAAGTTATGGCATTTCCGATCAATCAGTTATATGGCAGCTATAAGATATAGTCGGCCGATCCTTATGAAATTTGGTACGTCGGATTGATTGGCCAAATTTAAAACCCATAGAAAGTCCCAACTTCCTAACCTAACAAACAGCAGAGTTATGGCATTTCCGATCAATCAGTTATATGGCAGCTATAGGATATAGTCGGCCGATCCCGGCCGTTCCGACTTATATACTGCGTGCAAAGGAAAGAAGGGTGTGTGCAAAGTTTCAATTCGATATCTTTAAAACTGAGAGACTAGTTCGCGTAGAAACAGACAGACGGACAGACAGACGGACAGACGGACAGACGGACATGGCTATATCAACTCAGGAGGTGATCCTGATCAAGAATATATATACTTTATAGGGTCGGAGATGTCTCCTTCACTGCGTTGCACACTTTTGACCAAAATTATAATACCCTCTGCAAGGGTATAACAACAAAGTTTTACTTCTGAAAATTTTTTTTTCCGATTGTTCCAATGATATGATATAGTCTGATCCGGCTCGTTCCGACTTATATACTTCCTGCAATAGAAAGACAACTTTTGGGAAAGTTTCAAGAAGATAGCTTTAAAACTAGTTTGCATGGTAACGGAAAGACAAACATGGCAAGATCGACTATCCTGGTGATACTGATCAAGATTATATATACTATATAGGAGCGGAAATGTCTCCTTCACTGCGTTGCAAACCTTTTTATACCCTTGCAGAGGGTATTATAATTTTGGTCAAAAGTGTGCAACGCAGTGAAGGAGACGTCTCCGACCCTATAAAGTATATATATTCTTGATCAGGATCACCTCCTGAGTTGATATAGCCATGTCCGTCTGTCCGTCTGTCCGTCTGTCCGTCTGTCCGTCTGTCCGTCTGTCCGTCTGTCTGTCCGTCTGTCCGTCTGTCTGTTTCTACGCAAACTAGTCTCTCAGTTTTAAAGCTATCGAATTGAAGCTTTGCACACACCCTTCTTTCCTTTGCACGCAGTATATAAGTCGGAACGGCCGGGATCGGCCGACTATATCCTATAGCTGCCATATAACTGATTGATCGGAAATGCCATAACTTTCGAGTTTGTAAAGTTAGGAAGTTGAGATTTTCTATGGGTTTTATATTTGGCCAATCAATCCGACTCACCAAATTTCATAAGGATCGGCCGACTATATCCTATAGCTGCCATATAACTGATTGATCGGAAATGCCATAACTTTCGTGTTTGTAAAGTTAGGAAGTTGGGATTTTCTATGGGTTTTATATTTGGCCAATCAATCCGACCTACCAAATTTCATAAGGATCGGCCGACTATATCCTATAGCTGCCATATAACTGATTGATCGGAAATGCCATAACTTTCGTGTTTGTAAAGTTAGGAAGTTGGGATTTTTTATGAGTATTAAGAATGCATTATATGAATAATTTTGGAGAATATAATTTACAGAGTATTCTGCAAGGGTATATCAACTTCGGCTCCGACCGAAGTTAGCTTTCCTTTCTTGTTTTATTACCCTCTGCAAGGGTATTGATACGGCTCCGCCCGAAGTTAGCTTTCTTGTGTTTCTAAGAACTTTACTCACAAAGCAAACAAAGGAAAAACATGATTGGATATATTAAAGTTAAGTATATAAAAATAATTATTTGGGGATTTTAAGCTAATAACACTGTTTTGCTACAATTATTATAATAATCGCTTGTTATATAAATTAATGAAGCAATAAGTCCACAAAACTTAGCTGCGTTTCGGCAGTATTTCACTGGTGCCCGCCATGGATCGTATAATTATAATTTTTGGAGTCTCGATTTTAGTTGCTTTCCTTGTTTGTAGTGTAAGGCAGAAAAATAACTAAATCAAAATTGATTCTACTACAGTTATACATATTTTTAGGAGGCATATTTTGTGAAAATGACAAATGCAGTTTGTAAGTCGTATAACAAATCGTGGGTTGCCATTCATTATTGCCGGCTAAAAGCCTATTCGCGGAACAAGACTAGTTTGAATATAAATGCAACATTTTTGGAGCCAGCCAACAATATAGCCCTAAAAATGAAGGTGATGAAGAAGGCCAGTGGCTATAAGCCATTTCTTTTTGATTACACCATTGACGCCTGCGAATTTATGCGAAGGCGAAACCATCCCTTTGCCAAACTCGTTTGGAATGCGATCAAGGATGTATCCACCATTAACCACACCTGCCCTTATGTGGTAAGATCGCCAATTGAACAACCAAATACATTTTTCCTCTTTAAAAAATGTATGATTTTGCAGGGCTTGCAGATGTTAAGCGATTTTCATCATATAGAAATCCCAATTCCATTACCAACTGGAGACTACTTACTTTTGTTAGATTGGATGTTCGATGCTAAACCACAATTTGCTACAAATGTTTATATCACATTTGTAGAGGATCTATTAACGAAAAGAACAAATCACAGATAAACGAAATAACACATTCATGAATAAAAATTAACGAATATCCCCATAAACCTTATACGAATAGGTTAATTTATATTTCTGTTTAGTTACACCAAAAGTAACTAAAGTTTGTTAAAAAAAATCCGAAGCAATATCGTTCTGAAGAAAAAGATAAGCAATAAATAAGTAGTATAGTGCTCCGACTATACAATACACTCTACTCAATCAATATCACACAAATAAACGTGAATGGTAGAATATATTACCTTTCGAATGGTGAATTTTTACTGAATATACTTGTAATTTTCAAATATATTTACTTATAAATATTTTCGAAATTTCCGCGAATGTTCGGACATTGCGCACTTAATAAATCATTAGGTTAATATCATAGTAAATCCTGACTATAGTGTTCGTGTATACGTTACGAAGATTTGGCCTGATGTATTCACGAACGTTGGTAAATATGATCAATGGATAAAGGAAAAAATAAGGCCTTAGTATTAAATCAAATCGGTTTTTATGTAACTTAATATGTTTAAAATAAATAAAACAATTTATCATCGAAATATCTGCAAACCTAACTCACTTTGCTTTGCTATTGCGATTTTATATTAAATACTGATCTCAACGACATTTCAATGATGGTCTTATTTAAGTACTAAAGATGAGTTGGAAATATCGCCATATTGATCTACTTATGTCGGCTTGAGAGTTTAAACATCTGGTTGGAACTTTAAATTATTTAAATTTCAAACATACAAATTTTAATCATTTTATCAAAAACAATAGAATTATATTTTTAAAAAAATTGTTGACGAACAAGGACTGACAAATACAATTTATTTAACCTTGACCGACGATATTTATATATCTATAATAAATCATTCCGATTGATTTTTGAAGCCATATCATTTTTAGGAAAGTTACCATATATTGGTTGTAACCCATCCAATGTTTTTATACTGCCCTTTTGTGCAACATTTCTTGTAATAGGTAACTGAGTGACGAGTATCCCACCGTCGAGAAACTCGACTATAGCATTGTCTATAAATTTATAAGCCAAATCAACAGCCATATTCTACGATCTTTTTTATTCCCAAAATTGTTTATTTTGTTCTTCGCCCTGACTTTTTTAAGAACTTTCCACACAAAGCAAACAAAGGAAAAACATAATTGGATATACAAAAAAAATCTATCAATTAAAGTTAAGTATATTAATATAATTATTTGGGGATTTATAGCTAATAACACTGTTATGCTACAATTATCATAATATTCGGATGTGATTATTGCTCCATTAAGTTATATAAAAAGCGATTGTTGTGATCCACAAAACTTAGCTGCGAATCGGCAGTATTTCACTGGTGCCCGGCCATGGATAGTAGAATTATAATTACTGGAGTTTCGATTTTAATTGCTTTCCTCGTTTGTAGTGTAAGGCACCAAAATAACAAAATCAAAATTACAGCTCTAAATATTTTTAGGAGGCATATTTTGTGAAAATGACAAATGCAGATTGTAAGTCGTATAACAAATCATGGGTTTCCATTCATTATTGCCGGCTAAAAGCCTATTCGCGTAACAAGACTAGTTTGAATATAAATGCAACATTTTTGGAGCCAGCCAACAATATATCCCTAAAAATGAAGATGATGAAGAAGGCCAGTGGCTATAAGCCATTTCTTTTTGATTACACCATCGACGCCTGCGAGTTTATGCGAAGGCGAAACCAACCCTTTGCCAAAATCCTTTGGAATTTGATCAAGGATGTATCCACCGTTAACCACACCTGCCCTTATGTGGTAAGATCGCAAATTGAACAACCAAATACATTTTTCTTCTTAAAAAACATTTATGATTTTGCAGGGCTTGCAGATGGTAAGCGATTTCCATCATATAGAAGTTCCAATTCCATTACCGACTGGAGACTACTTACTTTTGTTAGATTGGATATTCGATGCTAAACCACAATTCGCTACAAATGTTTATTTCACATTTGTAGAGGATCTAATCACGAAAAGCACAAATCACAGATGGAAGAACTAACACATTCCTTAATAAAATTAACGAATTTTTTTTGTTGTGTGTTTACACAAAAAGTAACTAAAATTTGGAATATCGCTTTGAAGAAAAAGATAAACAATAAATTAGTGGTGAAGTGCCACGACTATAAATGCACTCTACTCGATCAATATCACACAAACGAATGTGAATGGTAGAATATATTACCTTTCAGATGGTGAATTATCACTCAATATACTTGTAATTTTCACTTTTCGAAGGGAATAATAGTAAGAGACCATTGACAGTAACACATGCACTTACTAATAAATATTTTGGTATTTGCCAATTATTCCTTTTATTCCATATTGTCAACTTTGTATTATTTTGTAGACTAGCTAAATTGATTAATGATAATCAAAATTTCCGCGAATGTTCGGACATTGCGCACTTAATAACTCATTAGGTTAATATCATGGTAAGTCCTGGCTTAATTAAAAGAAATTCTGCATAGAATTACGTCCTTTGGTAGACGTGAGACGTTGTCTTCCGCGATATTTAAGTTCTGAAGATAAGTTAGAAATTGGTTTTTATTGTACAACAGGTAAAATAAATCTGTAGCCAAATTGATCCACTTATATCAACCTGAGGGTTAAAAACCTGGTTTGAACTTTAAAATATTTTTAGGGAAGTTACTGTTATGGGTTGTAACCCATTCAATATTTTCTTATTCTCCAAAAAGATTTTTGTATTCTTCGCCGTCCTGATTTTTTGCAGAACTTTCCACTCAAAACAAACAGAGAAAAAAACATGCTTGAATATAAAAAAAACAAGAAAGGAAAGCTAACTTCGGGCGGAGCCAAAATTGAAATACCCTTGCAGAATATTCTGTAAATTATATTCTCCAAAATTATTCATATGATGCATTCTTAATACTCATAAAAAATCCCATGGCCTTTCCGATCAGTCAGTTATATGGCGGCTATAGGATATAGTCGGCCGATCCTTATGAAATTTGGTAGGTCGGATTAATTGGGCAAATATAAAACCCATATTATTACCTATGTGTTACTAAAACAATTAACAAAACTAAAGGCGTAATTCTAATATAGTAAATAATTACTATATCTCAAAGGAACATTTTGATAAACGGGAAAATAAAAATTTTATTTAATCTTATTATACCCTTGCAGAGGGTATTATAATTTTGGTCAAAGGTGTGCAACGCAGTGAAGGAGACATCTCCGACCCTATAAAGTATATCAGGATTGCGTCCTGAGTTGATATAAGCATGCCCGTCTGTCCGTCCTATACTATATAGGGTAGGAATATCTCCTTCACTGCGTTGCAAACTTTTGACTGAAATTATAATACCCACTGCAAGGGTATAAAAACTATTTCAATTGTCTGTAATTAATAAAAGTGAAGTTTTTAAAAGTATTTATAAATATTTAACATTATCATGCTAGAATTATCATAATAATCGATTGTTGTATAACCTTATGAAACAATAAGTCCACAAAATTTAGCTGCGTATCGGCAGTTTTTCACAGGTGCCCGGCCATGGATAATTTTTGGAGTCTCGATTTTATTTGCTTTTCTAGTCTGTAGTGTAAGGCAGTTAAATTAAATGATCAGAATTAGTTTCAAAATTAGTTACAAAAATAATTATAAATAATTTCTATATATTTTCAGGAGGCACCCTTTGCGAAAATGACAAATGCAGTCTGTAAGTCTCTTAATGAATCGTGGGTCGTTTTTCATTATTGTCGACTGAAGGCCTATTCCCGTAACAAGACTAGCTTGCATTTAAATGCAACCTTTCTGGAACCAACTAACAACGTTTTCGTCAGAATTAGGGTTATGAAAAAGGCCAATGGCTATAAGCCATTTCTGGTTGATGTTACAATAAATGGCTGCCAATTTTTGAGAAAAAATAATAATCCCATCTTCAAGATCATCTACAATATGATTAAGGATGTATCCACGGCGAATCATACCTGTCCCTTTGTGGTGAGATCGTCTTATGATAAATTTGTGACCTAAATTTTAACTAATCGTGTTTATTTGTAGGGCTTGCAGACTATAAGTGATTTCCATGTGCTCAAGATTCCCGTTCCACTGCCAACTGGAGACTACCTACTTTTAATGGATTGCATATTCTATGATAAGATGCAGTTCATTACAAATGTTTATTTAACATATGTAGAAGATTTATTAGAAACAAGAAAGGAAAGCTAACTTCGGGCGGAGCCGAAGTTGAAATACCCTTGCAGAATATTCTGCAAATTATATTCTCCAAAATCATTCATAATGCATTCTTAATACTCATAAAAAATCCCAACTTCCTAACTTTAAAAGCACCAAAGTTATATCATTTCCAATCGTTCAGTTATATGGCAGCTATAGAATATAGTCGGCCGATCCTTATGAAATTTGATATGTCGGATTGATTAGGCAAAAATAAAACCCATAGAAAATCCCAACTTCCTAACTTAACAAACACCAAAGTTATGGCATTTCCGATCAATCAGTTATATGGCAGCTATAAGATATAGTCGGCCGATCCTTATGAAATTTGGTAGGTCGGATTAATTGGCCAAATATAAAACCCATAGAAAATCCCAACTTCCTAACTTTACAAACACCAAAGTTATGGCATTTCCGATCAATCAGTTATATGGCAGCTATAAGATATAGTCGGCCGATCCTTATGAAATTTGGTACGTCGGATTGATTGGCCAAATATAAAACCCATAGAAAGTCCCAACTTCCTAACTTAACAAACAGCAGAGTTATGGCATTTCCGATCAATCAGTTATATGGCAGCTATAGGATATAGTCGGCCGATCCCGGCCGTTCCGACTTATATACTGCGTGCAAAGGAAAGAAGGGTGTGTGCAAAGTTTCAATTCGATATCTTTAAAACTGAGAGACTAGTTCGCGTAGAAACAGACAGACGGACAGACAGACGGACAGACGGACAGACGGACATGGCTATATCAACTCAGGAGGTGATCCTGATCAAGAATATATATACTTTATAGGGTCGGAGATGTCTCCTTCACTGCGTTGCACACTTTTGACCAAAATTATAATACCCTCTGCAAGGGTATAAAAACAAACAAATAACAAAAAGTATATATCACTAAAGCCTTAACAAACTTACTGACCACTAAACTAATTTGAATCTTATCAATACAGACTTCTTGATTTTGGGAATGATATGCACAGTTGACGGTGTAATGAATAATCTCCTCCGCATACTCGCTCAGTTTGCTTTTGAATTAACTTATTCTAATTTCAAAGACTACCCAAAATACGTAATTTATATAACGATTGTGGTGTAAGAAAAACATGTTTTTTAGTTAAGCTACTAGTTTAAAAACGTTACATTATCAAAATATATTATTATTCTACCAAAACTATAAATAAGAAAATTTTTGCTGATACGGTTTTGAAATTGGCACTCAACTATGGCGTTCCTTATTGTTATTTTTTGCTGTCAAAAAAATCCTACAAAAATTAAATAGTCTTTTTATTATCTCGTTAATTTAACGAAATTGTTTTTTGTACGAACAGATGGAAACTCCCATCCATCAAACAGAAGTTCGTAAAGGCCAACCTACAAATATTTTACTTATGATTCTGACTTATTTTGTTGATAAGTTTCTGGGAATTTACGTTTTATTTAAGTCCGACATAAAATCTCTCCTATAAAAAGCTCATGAACTGGAAACTAAGAGTCAGTTGTCGAGAGTAATCAAGCACAGTGATGAGGGTGATCGTTGCTGTTTCTCTAATCATTCAGATTGTCAGTGGGGCACGTATCCAGGGTAAGTGCTAAGTGGACTTTAGGAAATATCCTAGAAATCAAGAAAGTATCCTGTGCAAGGTGGTTCGATTGCAAGCAGTAAAAAAGGAAATTGACAGATCCTGAATTGCATTTTCCTAAATTCAACGTAAAACCTCTGTGTCTTGTTGAGTAAATTATTATTCCTAAATATTGAATATCTTTAATATTTATTATATTATAGAATCAAACTGTGTAAACGCAATACTGACATTTATTGACTTTGATATATTGGGATGCACGCCCAACTAAAAAAAATGATTTTATTTTCAGGTTCAATTGCGCTTCCTGGTCCTGATATTTGTGGAGGTGATGTCGTAGGGCACCGGATCGTATCAGGCAATAATCAGGTGATTGGCAGTGAGTTTCCCTGGTTGGTAGTGGTGCAGTACCGTCCTCCAAATGGAGGTGATCTGCTAACTCCGTGTGTTGGATCCCTGATCAATCAACGATACGTTTTAACAGCAGCCCACTGTGTGACAGCGTACGATATGGGAAGACCGTAAGAAATTGATCAATTATTTTTGGCCTAATTCGTATAAAAACTATAATCTTATTGGTCTTGAAATCTTTGGCTATTGTTATCTGTTAACTGTTAAACTGTTAAATTTATAATATTTATTTGTCTGCTGGAGAAGTTTTTAATGAAAACTTTTTATAGTATATTAATATTTATGCAGTATTTTTGATATTCTCTAGGATAATCATTTAATTTAATACTTTACATAATCAAGTTAATTCTAGTGTTTGCTCATTAATATTTTCTTTTTTTTTTAGTGTATCTGTGAGATTGGGCGATAATAGCACTCGTGTTGGAGCGGAATTTGTAATATTGGACATCGAAGAGATCTATGTTCACGAAGATTTTACCAGATCTAATTTCTTGAAAGATATTGCCTTAATCCGTTTGAAGAGTGAGGTTTCCTATTCGAAGAATATTAAACCTATTTGTCTGCCCTCGACTGTGGGCCAACTAAGACTGCGTGAAGGTCATCCGTTGACCGTGGCAGGATGGGGACTCTTAAACGACGTCCCCAGTACCAACAGGCAGTATGAGCGGGTCACGTATTTGGATAACGATCAGTGTCGTGCGAGATACTCACAGGTGGACATCGTCGTGGATCCAAGTCACATTTGCGCCGATCATTCCAGGGATACCCGCTGTATTTCGGATGGCGGAGGACCTCTGATGGCATACCATAATGGTGTTTGTGTTCTGCATGGAATTATGGCCTTTGGTGGACGTCCATGTGGTGTGAAGAATTTGCCTGATGTCTTCACGAACGTTGGTGAATATGACCAATGGATAAAGAAACATATGTGGCCGTAGTGGGAATTAAAATACGTTTTTATGTAACTTAAAACGTTTACAATAAATAAAATTATCATCAATGTTTTTATATTGCCCTTTTGTGCAACATTTCCTGTCATAGGTCACTCAGTGAAGGGTATCCCACCGTCGAGAAACTCGAATATAGCCTATAAATTTATAAATCAAATGAGCAGCTATAGTCCACAATATTTTCAAATTCTCCATTTTTTTGAGGATTTTATTGATGAACTTTCCACTCAAAGCTAACAGAAAAAAACATGCTTGAATAAAAAAAAAACTCGATCAATTGTCTGTAATTAATAAAAATGAAGTTTTTAAAAATATTTATACATATTTAACATTGTCATGCTACAATTATTATAATAATCGCTTGTTATATAAGTCAATGAAGCAATAAGTCCACAAAACTTATTTGCATATCGGCAGTCTTTCAAAAGTGCCCGGCCATGGATCGTAGAATTATAATTTTTGGAGTCTCGATTTTAGTTGCTTTTCTAGTAAGGCAGATAAATACTGATCAAAATTAGTTACAAAAAATAATTATAAATAATTTCTATATATTTTCAGGAGGCACCCTTTGTAAAAATGACAAATGCAGTCTGTAAGTCTCTTAATGAATCGTGGGTCGTTTTTCATTATTGTCGTCTGAAGGCCTATTCCCGTAACAAGACTAGCTTGAATATAAATGCAACCCTCTCGGAACCAACTAACAACGTTTTCGTCAGAATTAGGCTTATGAAAAAGGCCAATGGCTATAAGCCATTTCTGGTTGATGTCACAATAAATGCCTGCGATTTTATGAGGAAAAACAATAACCCTGTCGCCAAGATCATTTACAATATGATTAAGGATGTATCCACGGTGAATCATACCTGTCCTTATTCTGTGAGATCGTTTTTGATAAATGTGTGACCTAAATTTTAACTAATTGTGTTAATTTGTAGGGCCTGCAGGTGGTAAGTGATTTCCATGTGCTTAAGATCCCCGTTCCTCTGCCAACTGGAGACTACCTACTTTTATTGGATTGGATATTCTTTGCTAAGACGCAGTTCGTTACAAATGTTTATTTTACCTTTGTAGAAGATTTAATAGAAAAAACAAACAAACAACAAAAAGTATATAGCACGAAAGATTTAACAAACTTTCTCATCACTAAATTAATTTGAATCTTATCAATAGAGTATTAAATCATTAAACCTTTTATTTCGAAACACATGTTGGATATTATTCAGCTTGACACTGATTGATTTGTTCAAAAAGCCGTATCTTGAATGCTTAATATTTCAATAAGTTAGATTCGAAAATGATTTTTAGAATGCAACAGGTCTTCGACCATGCAGCTCAATTGATCCAATTATGTCGGACTGAGGGTTAAAACACCTGATTTTTTAAATTACAAACCTAAAAACTGTAATCATTTAATCAAAAATAATTTAAACATATTTAGCTACCTTCTTGATTTTGGAAACGATATGCACAGTTGGCGGTGTAATGAATAATCTCCTCCGCATACTCGCTAAGTTTGCTTTTGAATTAACATATACTAATTTCAAAGACTTCCCAAAATACGTAATTTATATAACGATTGTGGTGTAAGAAAAACATTTTTTTTAGTTAAGCCACTAGTTTCAAAACGTTACATTATCAAAAAAGTATTAATATTTTTCCAAAACTTTATATAAATAAGAGAATTTTCGCTGATACGATTTTAAAATTGGCACTCAACAATAGCGCTCCCCATTGATTTTTTTTGCTGATAACAACGCTGTCAGAAAGATCATACAAAAATTAAAAAGTCTTTAGATTATGTTGTTGTTGTCAATGGCGCAACTACAAATATTTTACTTATGACCTTGACTTATATTGTTGATAAGACCGTCACCAAATCTCTTCCAACGCCTATAAAAAGCTCATCCATTTGGAAACTAAGAGTCGGTTGTTTACGAGAACACCTAGAACAGATCGAAGTCGAGTGTGATCAAGCACAGTCGCAGTAAAATGAGGGTGTTCGTTGCTGTGTTTCTGATTATTCAGATTGTCAGTCAGGCATTTGTCCAGGGTAAGTGCTAAGTAGACTTTGGGAATCTTCTTAAAAATTTTAAAAAATAAAACCAATCAAAAGTATCCTGTGCAAGTTAATTTGATCCCAAGTATTTCAAAAATTGGCAGATCCTGATAAATTAAACGTAAAAACTCCGTGCCTTTTTGAGTAAATCGAAGCTTTTATTATTCTTAAATATTAAATATCTTCAATACGATACGTATATTTTAGAATTAAGCTGTGTGAACAAAATTCTGACATTTATTGACTTTAATCCAACTAAAAAAAATAATTTTATTTTCAGCTTCAATTGAGCTTCCTGGTCCTGATATTTGTGGAGGTGATAGTGAGTTTCCCTGGTTGGTAGTGGTGCAGTACCGTCCTCCAAATGGAGCTGATCTGCTTACTCCGTGTGTTGGATCCCTGATCAATCAACGATACGTTTTAACATCAGCCCACTGTGTGACAATGTTCGATATGGGAAGACCGTAAGAAATTGTTAATTACTCTTGTCCTGATTCATATACAAATTATCTTATTGGCCTTGAAATAAATTTTAGTAATTGTTTATATGTTTGTTAAATTTATAATTTGTATGTGTCTGCTGGAGAAGTTTTTAATGAAAACTTTGTATGGTATATTATTATTTATGCAGTATTTTAATATTCTCTTGCATAATCATTTAATTTAATACTTTATATAATCAAGTTAATTCTAGTGATTGCTCATTAATATTTTATTTTTTTTAGTGTGTCTGTGAGATTGGGCGATAATAGCACTCGTTTTGGAGCGGAATTTGTAATATTGGATATCGAAGAGACCCATGTTCACGAAAATTTTATCGGCGAACCTAATTTCTTAAACGATATTGCCTTAATCCGTTTGAAGAGCAAAATTTTTTATACGTGGAATATTATTTGTCTGCCCCCGACTGTGGGCCAACTAAGACTGCGTGAAGGTCATCCGTTGATCGTGGCAGGATGGGGACTCTTAAATGACGTCCCCAGTACCAAGAGGCAGACTAAACTGGTCACGTATTTGAATAACGATCAGTGTCGTGCGAGATACTCACAGGTGGACATCGTCGTGGATCCAAGTCACATTTGCGCCGATCATTCCAGGGATACCCCCTGTATCGTGGATGGCGGAGAACCTCTGATGGGATACCATCATGGTGTTTGGGTTCTGCATGGAATTTTGGCCTTTGGTGGACGTCCATGTGGTGTGAATAATTTGCCTGATGTCTTCACGAACGTTGGTGAATATGACCAATGGATAAAGAAAAATATGAGGCCGTAGTGGGAAATAAAATTTGTTTTTATGTAACTTAATATGTTTACAGTAAATAAAATTATCATCGAAATATCTGCCGACCTAACTTTATAAACGGAGAATTTACTTTGCTTTGCATCTAGCGATTTTATATTAAATACTGATGTCAACGACATTTCCTTGATGGTCCTATTTAAGTACTAAAAATGAGTTGGAAATGTAGCCGAATTGATCACTTATGCCGGCCTGATGGTTAAAACACCTGGCTTGAACTTTAAACTATTTAAATTTCAAACATACAAATTTGTATTATTTTATCAAAAATAAAAGATATAATATTAAAATACAAAATTATGATTATATAAAAAAAAACTGTTACCATACAAGGACAGACAATTACAATGATTTAACCTTGACCGACAACGTTTTCCTCGTTCATTATTTATATATCTAGACTAAATCATTCCGATTGATTTTTAAAGTTTACCGTATTTGGGTTGTAATCCATTCAATGTTTTTATATTGCCCTTTTGTGCAACTTTTCTTGAAATAGGTACCTCAGAGACAGGTATCTCACCGTTGAGAAACTCGAGTATGGCTTTGTGTATAAATTTATAAACCAAGTGAGCAGCCATATACTACGATGTTTTTTTATTCTCCAAAAATATTGTTGTATTCTGCGCCGTCCAATTTTGTTGAAGAACTAAAAGCAAACAAAGAAAAAACAGGCTTGAATATATAAAAAAACTTGATCAATTGTCTGTAATTAATAAAAGGAAGTTTTTAAAAATATTTATTAATATTTAACATTGTCATGCTACAATTATTATAATAATCGCTTGTTATATAAGTCAATGAAGCAAATAAGTCCACAAAAATTGGCTGCGTATCGGCAGTCTTTCACAGGTGCCCGGCCATGGATCGTAGAATTATAATTTTTGGAGTCTCGATTTTAGTTGCTTTTCTAGTCTGTAGTGTAAGGCAGATAAATACATGATCAAAATTAGTTACAACAAATAATTATAAATATTTTCTATGTATTTTCAGGAGGCACCCTTTGTGAAAATGACAAATGCAGTCTGTAAGTCTCTTAATGAATCGTGGGTCGTTATTCATTATTGTCGTCTGAAGGCCTATTCCCGTAACAAGACTAGCTTGAATATAAATGCAACCCTCTCGGAACCAACTAACAACATTTCCGTTAGAATTAGGCTTATGAAAAAGGCCAATGGCTATAAGCCATTTCTGTTTGATATCACAATAAATGCCTGCGATTTTATGAGAAAAAACAATAACCCTGTCGCCAAGATCATCTACAATATGATTAAGGATGTATCCACGGTGAATCATACCTGTCCTTATTCGGTGAGATCGTTTTATGATAAATGTGTGACCCAAACTTTAAATAATAGTGTTAATTTTTAGGGCTTGCAGATGTTAAGTGATTTCCATGTGGTCAAGATCCCCGTTCCTCTGCCAACTGGAGACTACCTACTTTTATTGGATTGGATATTCTTTGCTAAGACGCAGTTCGTTACAAATGTTTATTTTACCTTTGTAGAAGATTTAATAGAAAAAACCAACAAACAACAAAAAGTATATAGCCCGAAAGATTTAACAAACATACTGACCAGTAAACTAATTTGAATCATATTATTGGAGTATTAGATCATTAAACCTTTTATTGACACAGATAACCGATCACATGAATACTAAAAATAAAAGACATTTCTTCAAAAAGCCTTATCTTGAATGCTTAGTATTTCAATAAATAATGATAAAAAGCTGAAGAGAAATAAAATGTCAATTTTTGGGCCACATTCATTTCGTGTTTTCTGCGAACTGTTTTATATAATTATACTTATTAAATAAACATTAAGCATTGCTGTATTAAAATCATCCATAGTATCAATTATTATGTCTTGTAATTGTTTTTTAAATGCACACCTATTATTTCGTTAGGCTTCCGATATCAAAATCAACAATAATGTTGAAAAACAATTAGTTTAGTTCTGTTGGAAGTAGAAAGGAAATTTGAATATCATAGAAATGTTTATTTTAACTTCGTAAAAGATTTTGAATACAAAATCACATACACAAAACTAATGTTTTTCAAATAACTTAAAAAGTGGTACATTATTGAAAATATTCGTTGAGCTTTAATTCATTGGAAATCGAAATTGTTCTTTCTTAATATAATTTATAACTAATTTATAGTTATAATTTATACTAGGTCTAATGAAATATTTTGTTAGCTATTTTATCTATTAAGAATTACTTAAAATTTTTTCTAATGTTACAAAGTATTAAAAACTTTCCTCTCCAATTAAATGACCAACAATAAAAAGCCGAAAAATTATACAGCCTAATAACTTCTATGTCACGGGAGTTTTGTATAATTTCCGCAATTAATTTCCGTCATTATTTGTTTCTGAAGCCTGCAAACGGTTCCATTGCAGCACATGATACTTTGATACTTAGGCCATCCGCAATTAGATGAACCCCAATTAGTGTTAATCAAATTAGGCAAAAACCATGGAGGAGAGATTCGTGGAGCAGGAGTGCGAGACCAAATGGTGCACAATCCAATTCCCGGCAGGCGTCAAATTATACAGAAAACTCAGATGGCGAACAAATGGGAATCAAGAAAGAAAAAGGAAAAGTTGACTTTCATGCGAAAAGTTTTTTCGGTTGTGCGGCGTGAATTTCTGCACCGAAAATTTTCATTGGGGGCAATGTGGGCTATTCGCGGGGGCGCTGTAGGCGTGGTCAGACGCCAAACACCGGCGATTATTGTTACAAAATGCAGCGAGGCGTGTAATTTCTCGGTAACGAAAGAAACGCAAAAGAATCCACATCCAGATTCAGTTTGAGATTCAAATTGCCAAAGAAACCAGTGGCCCTTGGGTGGTGGAGGGGGGTGGGGAATGCGGCTTCTGAAAATTGTTTTGCGAAAATTAGTTTTCAAACTTTTCTTGTTCGTTTATCTTGCATTTTCCGACGGTCTCGTCCTTTCTTTTTTTTGTGTTTTTTTTTGCCTTCGTCCCAGGCAAATGAAAATCTAAACGCAGTATGCGATATTAATTTGCATTTGGGCCTTGTTGTCATCTGGGGGCAGTGGGATTCGTGGAAGCTCGGTGGCACAATAAAAATCAAATTTAAATAATTTTTAATTTATTTAGCAACGGTTCGACCGAGTTTCGTTGGTATTTTTTTATGTAATTGGCATTTCTGTTGTTGTTACTTTTTAGGATCCATTTGTTGGCTTCCTTTTTAAACGGTTTCGTCGTAATTGCCATGAAATTACCTTTTGAGTGAGCCAGAGCGGCAATTTTTGCAAAGCAGTGGGAAAACAAACTTTATGCAAATCGTTTTAGTGATATTTATTTATTTTGATTTAAATCCATTTTTTTTGTTTTGCGTATTCAATACATACATTACTTATTAAACATCTCGCGTTTAAATAACTAAAAATAGACGTACTTAAACTGTAAATTTATTTTGCATTAACTATTACATTACTTAGCTACAAATTAAAAATGATTTAACAATAATGTTCACATCAACCGACTTAAATTCTTGACAATCACAAAGTTAGGATTTGATTTTGATTCGTAGAACAGTGAGTAATTTGGTATACGACTGCAGCTATGGAACTAGAACTATGATTAACCACAACGCTTTAAGGTCCGCCAATATCAGAGACTACATTTGATCCTTATACGGTAAGGAATTGAGGAGGAAGTGATTTCGAATTTCTAGCAGGATCTGAGAGGAAAGTCTGATATCTCTTTGTTTTATTATATCCTTGGGTTTCTGAGTGCACGGCAGAGGTCAACCACGTTGACCTAAACCATTTACAATCTATTCTATATTCGATTAAGCAGATGCACACGCACAACACCCAACAATTATGATTAATTTATGTATATATGTATGTTTGGCTGGGAAACTTAGGGTATCACAAACATTGAATGAACACTTACTATGGTTAACATCTGCTTAATTTGGCTGATTCCGATTGGAGGGGCATAGTCGTAAAAGTAGCTTATGGAAGGCAAAAGCTTAAAGTAGAAAAAGTAACAGTCTAGCTAATCAGATTTGTAAATTAAAAAATTCAAAGAAATTATTGCCAATCCCATGCTTTTAGGGGTCTTCATAGGCTTTGCATTTTCACAGATTTTATTAGATTTAAATTTGTTTAATCAAAGGAAAGTAGCTGATAATGGAAAATGGCATTAACCAAATAAGCTACATTTAAAATAACCTATTCCAGTGGCTAAATAAGTAAAAATTCTAACATTAAATGAAGCCAAAATTTCTGTGAAACTGAAAGCCCGACTCGCAGTTCTTAAGCCTAATAGACAACACACATATTATGGTTTGCTCATGCGATATTATATAGACACTCACACGCACATACACCTAATGAAGCTTATGGATACTCGCTCGATCTCACTCCCCAATCCCCGCCTGGTTGGACCTTCCCCCCTGGGGACTCCCAATCCTACTTGCGGTACTCGGCCAGTGGAAAGCCGGACTTCTCCGGCGGCGGACTGTGGCAGGCGGCCCGAATCCGGCTGAAACGCAGACTGCCCGTGTGCGGATGGGTCCTAATCTTGGCCTGCTGGTGCAGCGGATGGTGGGAGCACTTCTGGGCCTGGCGGGCCAGCAGCTGGCTCTTGGCCAAGATCACATCCTCTGCGTACTAAATGTCCGGAATGCTGCGCCCACAGGCCAGTTTGCCGGAGGACTCCAGATCCAGGACTCCCCCTCCATTGGCGGCCTTGCTCTTGGCACAGTTGACATCGTGGAAGAGGTGCTCACACAACTTGGGCTCCGAGTTGGAGAACTTGCCCAGATCAACGGCCGTGGCGGCCTGGCTGAGATTCAGATTCAGCTGCAGATCGCTGGCCTTGCTGAAGGAGGTGGTCTGCTGCTGGTGGTGCTGCTGCGGCTGGTGGAGCTGGTGGACCAGGTGGTGGGTGTAGGGCAGGTGGGGCGGCAGGTTCTTCTGCATGGCGCTCAGATTGCCAGAGCTGACGGTGCGCTCCAGGATCTCGCCCCAGTACTTCTCGGAGAGGCCCTCGATGTCGGGCCGTGTGGCAGAGAAGGCCTCCGCCGCCTGATGGCCATGGATGCCACCGCCCATCGTGCCACGGATGTACTGTGAGGCACTGCGGCTCAAACTGTTTGCCCGCGAGCGGGCACAAATGCCCAAAACAGAGCCACCAATGGAACTGGCCACTCCTCCTCCGCCTCCTCCTCCTCCTCCGCCACTGCCTGCTCCTCCGCCACTGGCCGAACCTCCTCCTCCTCCTCCTGGAGGTCGGGATGATGGCGGTTCCGGGGGAATCGGAAGCGTTGTGATTTCGAAATCGTTAGCATTGATGTGACAACAGCCTGATTTGTGCTCGGGCGTATCCTCGTGGGGGAAGCACTGAAACAGAGAATGGAAAAAGGGGGAGGACATCATAAATTTCGACTCGCACAAAAATTAATAAGGATTTTAAATTCGCATTTATTCCGGCACAGCACAAGGTTGTGCCATAAATATTCCACGGACTGACCCCCGGGTTCTCCGGAAGTAAATCATGCAACTTGACTGCGTTTACCCAAAATAGAATCAAGGATTTTCGGGGATGGGGGCCATGTGGATGTAAATGCCGTTTTGGATTTGCTCTTTCATAATTCAAAATCACTTTGCAGGACCTGTTATTTTTGTTGCTGCTGCTGCTGTGTCTGTTGATTGTTTACTTTGCCGGAGCCAGTCTGCCAGCTTCCTGGGGCTTACACCTTCGGTTTACGGATTTATGGGGGTTTTCCCAGAGTTGGGAGCACTCGCATACATAGCCGTTTTTGTTCTCGCAAAGTTGTCAGTTTGCATCCAGAAAATATGCGAGCTGCAGGATGTGCACTTGGGTGAAATACCCATATTTGGGATTCGGGGAGGTCAATGAATGTGCGGCTGGGGTGTTTGGAATAGGGATAAGCGAATCAATCAATCAGGGCTTATGACAGATTTGCTGCTGAAACAGACACTGAACATCACTTCGGATCGGAGATGCTGTAAATTAACCCCCGCAAAAGCAAAAGGCAAACTCACTTTGTTGGGCATCAGTTGACGACTCAGTCGGCGGAAATCGGAGTTCAGCAGCCAGTACATGAAGGGGTTCCACAAACTATTGCTCAGTGCCGTCCAGGTGACCAGGAAATCGAGGAACGGCGGCAACTGCAGGTTAACACAAATAACACAGATAACACAGAATGTCACAAAATCAGAACTGATGAACCAGACGTGGCCTCATTACGTATGCGCCGCGTTGTACGCAATGGAAAGCCAATGGGACACTTGCCTTGGATCCAGTGCAGGCAGTGACTATCTCCTGAATTGTCCACGGAGTGACCATCACAATGAAGCCCAGCGAGATGGCAGCCATCGAACGTGAGGTGGATCCGCTCGAGTTCTTCTCCTGGATGGGAACAATCTGGGCCAATATGTGGGGCAATGCAATTAAAGAGGTAACAATGTTACAATTGCTTCATAACATATTTTGATGATAAGAGGGGCTGACTCACTCCCCTCATTTTGTTCAATATATTTAACCTAATTTTTGCCTTTTATATTTTCTCCTTTCTTTTTTTGTCATTCTTTATTTGAAAGGAACTCATATTTATATTATATTATTAAATATTCCCAGAAGGCGTAACCGAATCTACTTTCATTTTAGTTGCTGCAAAACTATAGGAACTTAATTAATGCTGTTTTATTGAAATATGTAAAATTAACAATAAACTCATAACTTATTTGAAACTTCCTATTTCGATCTTATTGATTGCATACAATTTTTTGCAGAAAATGAACAATGCATAATTAGAACAGCGTTTATATTATGTTTTAATATTCCTCGTTTAAAAAAGCGGAAATGATATCAATCTAATTCTGGAACTTAGATAAAAATGTAAATGTATAAGTAAAAAATTGAACCTAAAAACATTAAAATTCTCATTCAACCATTTTAGATTTCTTTTTTAAAATATTTTTAAAGGTTAAAGTATAACTTTTGAAATTTAATTTGCTAGTAGCTATTACCAAGTGAAATTCAATACTTATTTATAAGCCTGTCCTAAAAACGAAAAGTCTTTAAGTTTTAAGTATGCATACGGATAGCTTTAACAATTTGTTAGCCCGTGCAGCCAAAGCCAGTAATATTTACTGCTAAACTTAATCCCCAACTCGCTCGCTTGAACAAACTGTTTTGCAGCCCGCCTCCTTTTGGCCCACTTGGTTCACTTACGGACTCACCTTTTTGGTAATCTTGTTTGTCATGTTCGGCATTCCGGCCAGTCCCATGCTCATGGCCATGCCGAGATGGCCCATGGGGTGGCCATGGTGGTGGGGGTGGCTTGGGTGGTTTGGGTGGTTTGGGTGGTTTGGGTGGTTTGGGTGGCTAGGGTGGCTAGGGTGACCCGTGTGGCTTGGATGATGAGGATGGTGCGAGTGGCCGTGGTAGAGGTGCGAGTGCAATCCCGCCTGCTGATGGTGTTGCTGCTGCTGCTGCTGTTGGTGGTGTTGATGCATCTGCAACTGCTGGGCGGCGGTGGGATGGGGATGGGGATGTGGGTGGTGGGCGGCGGCCGTGAGCGGCATGGTCGGATCGTTCAGCCGGAAGCGGCTCATGTGGAAGCTGGAGCCGTAGCAGTACATCAGCACCATCGTCGTGGGAAAGTAGAGGGCGCACGTCGACAATATCCGATACGAGGGCTTGCTGTAGAAGGGCTCGCAGGCCATTAGCCCCGTATTGTTGAAGTAGTAACCTGCGCATAAACATATACGGTTTGACGTGTTCGAGAGCATATTGATGGCTGGCTAATCACGATGGGGGGCTCACCTTTGGGCAGCACCAGAAAGCCAAACACCGTCAGACTGATAATCCAGGTTAAACTCAGTATGGCAACACAACCCTGCAAAATGAATACACAATTAGTGGAGCCCATTTCCGCCAGATGTGAATTGATTTATGACTGGCGAAGCGGTTGAAAGCACGTTTCTGGCGCAGTTCAGGAGATATGTATCAAATATCAAGCCGAAATAACATCTGTTCGGGGCTATTATTGGACATTAGGTGTTTCGAGATTCGGTGTTTAATAGATTGAAAACATATAATGGTGGGTGCCACAGAAATCACACATAAAGGTGTCTAAAAGTATGCAACAGTTCATTGGATATCCTGAATCCGAGGTTTATTTATTCATTGCATACTTTTAGACACCTTTCCAAGCGATTTAAAAACTTTAAAGATTTTAAAATCCCTAAATGTTTTACATATTTTATCCTACATAATTTCTACTTCAGTCCCAAATTTATAGAACTTAAATGTCAACTTTTGTCTCATTTAGGAATATTTCTTTCATCTGACAATCAGGAACGAACCAAAAAAGACCCACAAATAAATGAAAATCTTTTGATTATGTTGAAAACATTTGGTGAAGGGTGCTGACCACAGAGGGAAAGCGATACTTCCGTTTTTCGGAAAAGGAAGAAGTGCTGCCACAATCGTAACTGACTGACTGAGTTACTAAATGCAGCATTCTGACAGGGAAAATGGAGGAATACTGTCCTGTCCCTCAGCGGTTGCCACCTGCACAAAATGAAAATAGCCCTACCATCCAAAGTGCCAAAAAGTCCTAGCAAAAAAACGGAGAAACAACTTTTGTCTGTGTCTCTTTGAAACGGACCATGGCTGTGATTCATTTAATTTACGCTATTATATTTAAAACTTTTGCCAAGCGGAAAACCAACAGTCTGAGGGGCCAAACAATAAGGGAATATTTTTTGAAATGTAAACATTTTATTAAGCTGCAATGCCGAAGTTTTTCGTAGAGCACATCCCAGTGGGAGTTTAATTAATACGGGCACTCGGAAAATTCACTTACAATTATTAGTTTTGAATTTTAAAATAATTTTATTACGAAATGTGATTGATAAATTAGTCAAAGTTTAAGTTATACAACCGAATTCGTTCGATTTATTTAATATTTACTTCTTGCTTTTACAAAAAAAAAGTCATAAATTGAAATCATTTTTCAAGACTGCATTTGAATTTATGGCACTTTTAAAAGTAAGTAAAAACGAAAGTCAAAAGTTTCTGATGCCATTACCAAGTTCCACCGAGCATTTCTTTTTCTTGCATTTAAAGTATTTCCCATTCAGCATCCATTTATTAATTTTCGACAGTCCGCACACTATTTTCACAAAAATGGGGGCGTGGCAGTGTGCCAATTTCGCCCACTTGCCCCATTTTGGAGGCCAGATGGCCAGAAAAAACGCAAATGGCGCCGATTTTTGAACCATAAAAAATTGCAGAGCAATTTTATGTAAATTTATTTTTCACTATTGGTATTTCTCTGTTTCCCCATTGTTTTATTAAGCCTGATTGTATTTTCTTTTATTAGTTTAAGATACAACTTTTTCCAAAAAACCGAAAGACAACAAAGAAAATTGAAACTTAATCTGGGGGAGAAAGCCATTGATTACATTTTGAGAAATTGTTAATGCTCTTTTTTCTTTTTTTCTAGGAATTTAATTCAGTTGTAAATAAATATGTTAGTTTTTTAAATGATTTTTACGTGGGTTAAGTTACTATAACATTTTAACTGAGCGATAAACTCGATTAAGGATTATAAAAAACGACACCTTAAACATTTTGGTATTATTTGAGTATGGTAAATTTAAGTTCCTTGCACAAAAGATTAATATTTGACAACAAATTGTTAAAATGTTTAAAAGTCCGAAATGTTTAGTTTTTTTCGTAATCCAACCAATTTATATTGCTTTTTTTCATTTATTAGGTACAAGGACATTTGTGATTCGGTGTCCCTAGCCTGTCTTCTAGTTGTCTTTTTGTTTACAGTCCGGGAGCCATAAATCAGGTTGCTGGGGAATGGGAAATAGAGTTGCTGGCTCGTTTGCTGCTTTTTGGCCCTGCCTGCGGTTTCCGTGGGAGGTGCCGCTTCATTTGCCTGCCTTCGTCCTGGAAAAAGGACTTTGCTGTGGTCGTCGCCCCTTTGCCGAAGTCATTGCGCGTAAAAAATCTCTAGGCCAACTTTTCCCTCCTTTTTTTTTGTTCATCCTCATTTTATACACTTTTCGAATGTCTATACGACTTGGCTCTCGTATATTTTTTGTTGGTTTTTGCCAACTCTGCTTTTTCATTCTTCGTGATGCTTTGTTTTGCACTTGCTCTTTGGCGTTTCCCCCCTCTTACCAGTTTTGTTGTTGCTTGTTTAATGACTGTCAAGCAGCTTAAAGCCCATTATCCTTATTTATGCCTGCGTAATTGGCTCGCCAACCATATTGTGTAGATGTTGTTTTCCTCCCATTGTTATAGTCGATTTTTATTGGCGCGTGATTTCTTGTAATTACGCCAACGCTTTGTTTATTGTCCTTGCGCGAGCATAAGAATAATAGGATAAGGATCGAACCAGCGCGTGTCTTATCTGAGTAACCCGAAAAAGAATTCCCATTCCGATATCTATATCTATGTATATAGAATCTTACCTTTTTGCTCGAGTGCTGGTAGTAGCGGCGCGGATGTAGAGCACACATATATCTATCGACGGCCATGCAAACGAGGATAACGGCGCTCTGCTGGGAAAGCGCGCCGCGCAGCAGGGCCTGGAAAATGCGGAAAATGCGTTAGTGCTAGTTTAGAAGTTTATTATTTATATTATGGCTTTTGGCCCCAAAACTTTTCCGCTGTCCGAGGCGAAATGAAAAACTTGTAATGGAATTTTTCTGCCGGCGTCCCGGCTAATACGTCGAGATTATTAATCGTCAGTATGTGTTGAATACCAGTGAGTTATGCGGCGAACGCGTGTATGTTTTGCCAATAACCTTACTGGGGCAATAAAAAAGCTCATAAGTTTTAATAGAAATATGAATCGAAAATGCCAGCATGACAAAACTATTTTTATGCCCCGCCGCGTTTTAGGGAACAAGCTATGAATTATTACATAATAAATCAAAAAATCTTAGATATTTGAATTCATATTATGTTAGTATGAAGTGAATTATTAGGTTATTCATATTTTTTTTATTTTTATACTTTCATTTGGTTGGGTTAATTAATTTTAGTTAAAAGAAAAAACCCTTTATTGAAATTCCTTGAACATGCATATTAATTTGAGTTTCTTTAATCCTATTAGATCTTCAATAATAAAGTAATTTCTTTTCGTGCATTTGTTAATTAACTAATTAAAAGGGTTAACTGGATATTTATCGAATAATCAGCAACTGGGACCATGTTATTCACCACTTAATTCTACACACACTTGAATATGTTTACATTAGCATTACACATTGTTCCGGCTGATAATCGGGCTTTCCCGTTTTCATCTCCGCCACTTATGGCCTTCAATTACCGTGCATTGTGAAGAGAGAGTTAATTGACCGCATTGGGCCAGCAACAACAACAGGAGGAATCCCGGTATTCTACAACAAATTATCGTACTTCCGCCCCACCTGTTGACCCTGTTACCTCTCCCAGCCCCAAAACCACCCAAAACTCACCTGTATCTGACAGAAGATCTCTCCGTACGGCCAGCAGTGGAACAATGCGGGCATTAGACCAAATGGTGTAATTAACAGACCAATTGTCAGGTCATTCAGGGCCAGTGAGGTGAGGAGATAGCGGGGCTGCCAAAGGATAAACACAGGATACAATGATGGGGGGGGATGTTACTCAGCCACCTGACTCATCCACATCCATCCTGGGATGAGATGGCTCCCATCTCACCTGTTGGTGTATGTAGGCCGCATAGCGACGATTGTTGATGACGAAGATGACCAGGCAGTTGGCCCCGATGACGCCCAGTGTCAGGACCAGAATCAGTACCGCCTCGATGGTCTCCGCGATCCCAATGTGTGCGATGAAGTTGTGGCCGGAGTAGCGCGGATGCGAGCAACTGGAGTTCTTCACGGCGGGCGCAACCAGGAGAGAGCCGGTCTTTAGATCCATGGCAGGGCTGCAAGAAAGGATGCGGAATAAGACAGGGTTCTTATCAAAAACCAGAGTAATTTTATTTAAGCAAAAACTACCTTAAATGTTTGGTTATTTTAATTCCCATTTATTGATTTTTTCTTAAATTGATTTTATTTAAAGTTCACAAATAAGAAAAGTAAAAAGTAAGTTGTTGGTCATTTTGTCTACAAAAGTAAATGAAGCAATTTTCTATTATATACCTTTTTGCCAAACAAACAATAACATTTTCTATTTAAAAAAATTGTAATTTAAGTATAATAAATTAGATTTCCTTTTTGTCTCTTTAAGGTGTAGCAATTCTAAGCAATTAATATATTATATTAACAATTAGAATGAAGATTTTCATTTGGTCTTGATAATTTGTAATTACTTAATTAAGTTGGTGTTAACTGTTTATTTCAAAATCTACATAAATAAGTAAATGAAAAATAAGTTGATTTTCTTTTTCATAATTAAATTGTAAAGAATTTTCAATCAAAATAATACAATGATGACCTGCATGAGTCACAAATTAGCTCTACTCCCATACCAAAACAATGTTAATAGGCTTATCATATTTTCGCTGTCGCCTAGACATGTGTATAAATTAGATGAAATTGTCTATATGTCCTGCGACCATTGTGCCGTCCGGCCACAAGGCCCAGTGCGCCGTTTCTTTCGGAGATGCCTTCCGTTTCCGTTTCCCCGGCGAGGAATGCAAAATGCCGGCGATTTGTTAGGCCATAATGAAGTCAGAGCATGTGAAAGGGAAGCCGCGTTGACGATTTATCAGGCGGAGTCCTCGAAGGGGAGTAGCTAAGGCGACAGGATGAGTCCTGCCGACGAAACCGCAGTGTTGTCACTCCGCCGGAGTGCTCTGCATAGACAATGGCGTAACAATGGCCCAATATGGCGGCACATCCGGTTGCCGCCATCTTCCCCCCGAAAACAGCACAGTGACATAATGAAAGCTAACGGTATAATTGGATGGCTTGGGCATTGCCGGCATTGTTCGCAATAAATCAAAATACTCCCGTCAGAGTCACGTTGATATCTCCCTTTGGCGATCCCTCAGCGAATGAAATCTATATAGCGCGGTGAAAAATGTCTTGTGCAGCGAGGCAGTGGCTTTAAAGAGTTTTCCCCCTACCCATTTTCCATTTCCCACTTTCCGCATTTACCGCTTCCCACCCCCGCAACTGTCGCCGTCTGTCGTCTATCTGTATCATTTGTTTGTTGTCGCATCTCTTATTAAGTTTCGCCACGCATACGGAGCCATATATATATGCACTATATCCCCGAGCTACCAACCGAGATCTGCGCCTTGATTTATCGCGACCCGTCCAAAGTCGCCAGAGAGTCGGGATGTCGCCCGGCCGCTTGGTTTTATGCTAAGTCCACAAATCACCGCATGATATATAACCGTGCCGCAAAACATTAAGCTCACCCAATGGCCCCGATGTCTAGATTTAGTACGCTAATGTGTCTCGGTTCAACTTCAGGTTTTTTTCATTAACAAAACGTTGTGCTGGCGGCAATAAATCCTTAACTTTGGCTGAATCAATTAGGATCTGGTTAGTGAGTGGTATCCGCCTTAACCGCTTCAGGTTTCCACTCGTCATGTGTGTGTGAGTGTGTGTTTCGGTTGTGAAAACCAATTTCAATTTCCAAGTAATGAAAAGAGGAAATTCGCTTAATTCCTCGCATTGTTAAGTCTAGCGTAATCGAAGAGTAGCAACTGCAAAACCAGAAAACCCAGAGGAGCGACAAAGCGGAGCAGAGGGCGAAGGTCCTGGTGGAAAAAAGGATACCAAAGGCAGACGCAAATGCGAAACCGCGTAATTGTTTTAAAATGCACAACGAAAATGGCAATAAATGGCAGATCCAACTGGTGAAGCTGGTAACTGGTAACTGGAAACACAATCCGGTCATGGGGCAATGCCATTAAAATAAACGAAATTTCCATGCCAAATTTTAGGGATATTCGGCGAAGGGAAAGCGGCAAATAGTTATCAGGATGGCGCGACCGCAGCTCCGTGAACCCAATTCGATGACATTGCCAAAGACAAATGCAGAATAAATAATTTAGCTGCCGGATTAGAGAGCCGCAATCCGCTTTTGAATTTACACTCAAGTAACTGCCATTAGTGGCGAACTGTTGCATATCATTAGGCGCCACCGCAGATTTGCAGCTGCAACTGCAACAGCAATTGCAACATCAACTGCGGTAGCAACTGCAGTCGCCCCCAATCAGCGTCCATTGTGCATCCGCAGCATCCTAATCCGCAGCCAAAGTTATTGCAGTTACTTGCCACTGGATTTGGCCAGGATGAAAATAACAACTCGCAACGCACTCTCGTCCAACCGCTTTTTGCCCAGCCAAATGGCTAAGAAATGTTCAACCGTTTCACGGCAAACTGGGCACCAGGTTATCCTCTGCACTGGGAAAAATGGTTTCTAACATTCTAATTTTTAAGCAGAAAATCCATCTCAATTTTAAAGTAATATGGAGTAATTAATGCCATGCTTTAGTATATATAAGTGGAAGAAAATTTAGTGGTAGATAATAGCAGAAAATGTGTGATCTTATTGTAAATCCTGGAGTTTCATCTTAGATGGTTTATTCCAAAATCAAAAGGCTTAATTTGTATTTCTTTATTATTTGGTGTATAAAAATAAATTTAAATATTATCAAACATGCAAAATTTCTACTTCTAGAGCAACGACGGAAAACTCAGAAGAACACAAATACTATAAAAAGTTAGAAATCATTTGTTAGATCAAAAAAAACCTCAGATTTTGTGTCTAAGATATTTTAATTTTGTGATGGAAAGCTTATCATTTAGTGACCTAGTTTTTTTGAGATTAATAAATAAATGTTTAAAGAGAATTTACTATTTATAGTAATTTCATTTAGCACACTTGCAGTGCGGTGTATTCACCCCCGAAAAAGGCAACCTCGAAAAAGGGACACACCGAAATTGCTGGGCATAAAAAACAATGCCACAGGAGCAGAACAGCAGAACACCGACGAGCAGAAAGGACGCAGGATGCGGGGGACCGGAAGTGGACAGGGGTGAGGGGAAGGGACACCACTTCCACATTCACAGTGCGTTTTGTCCTCCCAAAGGACTCGTGTGTGTGTGTGTGTGTTTCTGTTTTGGCCCTCTGTGCGTGCGTGTTAATGCACGAAACCGTAACGCCAGACAGAGAGAAAAAAGGGTAAAGCCAGCCTGACGATGCATTTCATGCACATTTACACTGTGGAACCGAAAAACTGGGAGAATAACACCAGCAACTCAGATCTTAAGCCAATGCTGACATGCCAGAAAGAGTGTGTGCTTGGCAGCAGCATTTCGCATGCAAATTTGCTGCTGGGAGAGTATCCCATTTTCCCTTTTTTTTTTTGGTTATTTATAAGACTTGCGTTGAGGCCACTCACTTGGCACATGGGTCGAAGCTGATTTCGTTTGACAAAATGCCCCAGCAGCCACCCGTTGACTGATTGCCACGCCCCAAAAAACGCCCACCAGCTTGGGAACATGGCAAGTGCTTAAGCGAGATTGTGGCGAAATGTGGATTCTGGCTGGGAATTTGAGTGCTCAGCTGAAGAGCTGGCCTAAATTGACTAGTTAAGCCACAGATTTTCCAAATTGCTCGACATTGTCAACTGGTTTTGCTTAAATAATTTCCCATTGATTGAGTTGAGACACCTGGAAATGCGTTAATTAATATCCTGCAGATGTCATCTGCCGCCAACGTGTCGTATACGTGTTGTAATCAACACAAGAAAAGGCAAATTAATTATGAAATGAGTTTCATAAAGGCAAACATTATGCGTATGTCACTCTGTTATGTCAAGCTGTGTTTACTTTTAAATAATAAGTGATTGCTTAGCATCAAGTCAAGATGTTGCCAACTGAAACATGAATAATTTGTAGCTACTTAAAAAGCTCTTGGCAAAAATTAAAATAAAAAGTGGTATTATTACTATTTAAAAGGCGCTTTGCATAAATTACAAAGTCACTGTCAGGCAATAAATACATGTAAATATGAAATTCTATTTGAATTGGTTCCTTTGAATATTACTCTTTCAAAAAAGAAGTGTTCAGTCTGTTCACGGGATTTCCATTTGCACCGCTCGATATGCAAATTGAAACTTGTTTCAAGCACTTCCTTTCTGCCGTGTGGAAAATGCATGCAAATGAATTAAATCACATTAGCTCTTTTTAATGGGGTTACGTGCCCAAAAACTGACGGCTGATGCATACGAAAATCAGTAGCATATTAAATTATTGATTCAGAGCCAAATAATAAACATTGAAATATTATTGCTGGCCTGGGTGATACAGATTCGATTGGCATGCAAAGTGGCTTCTGTACAAAAGAAATATACAACAAAAAAAAGGCAGAGGAACATTCACGTATTTAGGGCGGATACAAAAGTTTATAAGCCAAAACGGTGCAAACGGAATTTAATAAATACGTGCAAGGCATTTGTAATTTTTATTCGCACTCGCAAAGCATTTCGGCATTGCCATAGAAGCTAAAAAACTTCCCAAAATAATCACCCGCTTGGCTGCAATTAAAGAGCTCCCCGCAGCCATAAAGTGAATCCCCTAAGAACACACTGAATGTGTGTGTGTGTGTGTGTGTGTGTTTTGGGTGTGTATTTTTGGGTAGTCCTGGGTACAACTTTTGCGTTTGCCATGCGTGGTCACGTACACGTGAAAATGGCGTAAATGTTTTAAAAGTTGCATCAAACTTGTTATGAAGTATTTGCCCCACAGAAATGAAAGGAGCAACCATACACCCCCCTTCTCACCTGCCCACTTATCCCCCGAAGTCACCTCACAACTTGCCAAGAAATTGCAATGCATGTGCGACCGTCGAAAGAAATTAGCAGCAACATTTTTGGGCTTCAAGAAGGAACTTAGACTTTTTGTGTTAATGGAAAGCTGGCAAAAATCTTGAAAAGGTTGGCAGTGTCAATTTAGTTGTTATAATTGTTGTAATTTCTATTGAAAAATTTTCATTTGTTATGAATTAGGGTAGTGGTTTTGTGCCTAAGAGATTTAGGTATGTATATTAGAGGTCCAAAATCAGTTTAGAAAATAGAACATTGATAAATCGCTTATATTTCAGTCATTAAAAAAAATTTAGATCAAGGGACGATTAATATTCTGTATTTATTTAAACAATACTTGCCAAAGGAAAATTTTAGACATTCGGAAGCTACAAAACTTTGCACATTAAACCATAATTTTCAGAAATAATTAGACATATCTAATAACCCTTATGCTACTTTAAACTTAACTTTGCTAAACACTTAAAACCTTGTTTATAAAGTTTATAAATAAAATCTTACTATAAGCTATTGATTTACAAGTATTTTTACATATTCTATTACATGTTTCCATTAAATATTTTGGGGAATAAGCCCCAACTTACGTAGAAATTTTCTTAAACCAACAAGGCTGATAAAACTTTGTTCATGATGTAAATGTTCAACATTTTGCAATGCGCCGTCAGGTTAAACTGCAATGCAAGTGCAGAGGAATAGGCCAGGAAAATCGGCAACCGCAATGACAACACAGTGTACAAAGTTATCTTTGGCTCCCGGGGATCGGGTTCATGTTAGTTTTCAAGTACGAAATAAGTAGAGTTTCCCGTGCCGGTTTACTTTTCCCAGCCTGTGGCGGCACACGCAGGTGAAAATGGTGAGGAAAATGGGGGAAAAGCCCTTTCGGACAGTGTTTCTTTTAAAGCCACTACATGCAATTAAGGCAGAGCCATTGGCATTTTTTTTCGAAATTATACTGCCTTTGCCAGACAGTGGAGATTATTGACAGTAAATGTTAATTAAGGTCTGAATCGGAAGTAATTTTTCCCTTTCTCGATTTCTTGGCTTTTGAGCCGTACGATATTAATTCCCAACACATTCGGCATGTGTTTTCATTAATTAAGTGTGCGGATTGCAAGCTGCACTTCAGATCTCTTTCCTAATTATGATTTCTCTGGATTTGATTGGTTATATCCTTTCAGTCGTTTGCCAAGGCCTCAAGTCGAAGGATTGAGGACCGCCTTGAATTAAAGCTTAATTGGAAAGTAATTAAAATGAAAAATGCCTTAAAGCCCGTGTTCTTTTGTTTGGCAAAACAATGGGGCGCCTACATTTTCTTCTTCAGACAATGAAAATAGTTTTTCACCAGCGGACATTCGTCGTAATAATTTTCAGGCTGTCAATATAAATAATTTTTAAATTGCCAGCGGCCTCGCTGCATTGTGAATTATATTTTTTAAATTTATGCATTTAATAAATACAGCATACTGCACTTTATAACGCATTTTGACTGATTTGATTCCGTCGGACAAATTGGAAAAGTAAGCCAATGGCAGGCAATCATTGACAGATATGTAATTTGTATATTAAATGGGGAAATCCGAGTGATGAGCTCCGGCATAAATGCTCCCTCATTTGCAGCATTCGGCACCATTTTTAATCCGTCCGAAAAGGGCTTAAATGGCACTAATTAAGGGCAGGACATGTTGGATTGGCTGGCAAGATGAATGTCCGCAAATGCGGCAAAGAGAAGACCATTAGTCATGGGAATATGTTGGCCGAAAAGAACATGGAATTCGGGAACCCAAAAAGTGAGGGGGTACAAACCCCTGATTGAGTTCACTTAACACATATCGTTTATTCAACGACCTGGAATATTCATGTGTCTAAGGCTTAAGCAAAGTATTATGGAATTACAATCGGCAATTATGTGTATTGTTTATTTGGCCAGGGTAATTTTAGTTGTTTGCGATAATTACAAAAGGTCTCCTTTTGTGTACACACCATTAATAAATGCAGTTTGTGATCGGCTTTGGCTGGTGGATAAATAAACGTTGGTTTATGGTTCCCCTATATGGTTTTTGGTGATTCGAGTCGGTCTATGCATTTTGCCAAAGGGCATTTTGGTAATATTCAAGTGGCGTCGTCTGGCCAAATGGCCTGTAACCTTTCCGAATTATATCCGCCTGTACGCAATTTCACGATTCATCGCGTGCCAGACGTGGAAATATTTCAATCTGAGGCCTGAAGGAAAATCGTGAATTTTCACGATTGACGACATGGGAAATATGACTTAAAACGCAGGACTCTTTAAATACGGTTGGTAATTAAAACAGCAGTCGCTCACACTTCACTGCAGTGGCTTCCATGTAAATTCTCTCCTCTTACATTATTAATAACTCTCGAATATTCATTGAAAGTCAACGAAATTCGGTATGCTGCATTCAACTCGGATCGCATCGTATCGAATCGAATCGAATAAATTAAATGTCAACATGTGTCGAACGCTCAGCACTTTGGTCACTTAATCACGTCGAGCGATTTCCCAATCGACTCCTTGAACTCCTTTGGCAAAATGATGAATGCGGCCTTTCAACACGACCAGTAATCTGATGGCATAATCCATCCACCATAGAACATATTTACAAAAGCCATCGCTATTTGCTGTTTCCTTTTTTGAAAAGATCGCATTTGCGTTTAGCGGATTTGGAATTCAGTGACAGACAAACCGTAAATATTTGCACCACATTGAATAACGAAACACCAAAACAGCAAAACAGCAAAACACAAACAATGAAACATGTATCCCGGGAGATTAAATGGTGACCAAATACATACGTAAGGCCCCTGGACAAATGCCACTGCCCCTGTGGCAACAACAGGTTGAATGAATATGGCCAATTCGAAACTAAAACAATGCCGAAATATTTACCGAACAATAGGCGCATTAGCAAATACCATTTTATTGTGTGACTTTGCCATTTCCTGCCTCGTGGCAAAATTCAGCGCCCCTTTTCGCACTTTCGGAACATTTTATAGATTGACTAAACAACAATGAACATACGTGGGTACACAAAACAGATTTGAAATGGCAAAATATTTATATCGATTGTGCTACGGCACCAAATTTTGTACTCGATTTGAGTATTAATTTTGTCAATTTGTAATGTAAACAAAATTTAATTTAAAGGTTTTTCTTTGGGGTAATCAACATCAATACGATTTAAAAGTTAATTTAAATCTTTTATGAGCTTTTCCTATTTTTATGTATTCTTGATTACGACACCAAAAGTTGTATTCAATTTAATTATGAATTTTGTCTATTTTGCAACATTTAATTTAAAGGTTTTTCTTTGGGATAATCAACATTAATGCGATTTAAAATCTGTTTTAATTCCTTTAAGAGCTACTTCTATTTTTATGTATTCTTGATTACGACACCAAAAGTTGTATTCAATTAGATTATACATTTTTTCAATTTATGTAAAATAATTTAAATTTAATTTAAAGGTTTTTCTTTGGAATAATCAACATCAAAGCGATTTAAAATCTGTCTTTTAAGAGCAACTTCTATTTTAATGAATTCTTGATTATTCTTAAATTGCCTTTTCCTTATTGATTGTAGTGTCGAAATAAATGGATACTAGCAACAGAAATAAGAATCACCAATTTACCAACAGGCACGCTGTGAGATGTGAGAACTTTAATTGCCATTATCTTTTAATTTTTTCCTGTAATCATCTCTTGCTGTTCATTCATTCAGTGGTTGGTTATTTTTTTGCCGAACTGACAACCAGCGGAATCGAGTTGAGTGGCTTCCAAAGAACCAAAAGCCAAAGACCAGCGAAGATTAATGAGTGTGGCGGGTCCAATTGAGAGGTCGTTTCATTCAAAACGCCAGTAAAGCCCCCGAAAAACAACTGACAACCCAGTGCAATATTCGAATGCCGCACTAATTGCCGCTTTGATGCATTTTCCGGATTTGCAAGCGCTGCATAAACGGATTAGTTTGCGTTCGTTGGGCTTTCCCGAAATTTTCCCCTGAAACCAATTTCAACCTCGACTCATTTGCCTTAATTGCATGCAATTTAATTTTTAGTGGGATAAAAGGTACAGCTCAATTAACTCTCAATTGACAACTATTTTTTAGGATGTTGAACTTCTCCTTAACTTCTTAAATTTTTGCACGACAATCAAAATAAAGTCCGAACCCAAGGTCATGTGTATTTCGCCGACACTGAAGCGAATCCGCATAAATGTAATATCGTTCGAAGGGTCCAAATCCCTGACCACATTGCGAGCCATAAAAAGAAGGGGCTTCAGATTGGAGACATAGTGAAAAGTTCGCCTCTGACTGCAAGTGGATCGAAGGGGCACTCCGTGATTGTCCAGAATTATAATGTCACGACCTCCGCGATGACCGAAAAGGGTGACGAATGCATCATCATCATAGGATCTATCGCGACTGTGGGTGACCAGAAATAAGTGAAGTTTTTATAACTTTTTATATTAAAATTAGGGATTGCCACTTACGGCGCCGCCTTTTTTACGACTTGAGCTTTGGTGACTGTTTTACGCAGATTTTCTGAAGTCGATAGCCGGGAATTTTTCGACATTTTGCTTGTTTATCAATAACACAGTGTATGTTTCACAGCCAACTTGTTTTTCGAAATTAAAAATTCAAATTGAAGTGCTGAGAAAGTCATTTTAGCAAAGCCACTTACATTAAAGTTAAAACGAGAAATATATAATTGTTTAGCAGTCATATAAAAGGGTACCCCTTTCAGTTCCGATTATTGGGCTCTGAAGTGCTGGGTTTGGGTCACTCCTTATTGGATATTCCAAATAACTAACTTAAATGTTAGTTTTTAGCAAATTAGGCTATTAAAATGAGTCATTTTATAGGTCCATAAAAGAAGACATTCTTCTAAGCCATTTTAAGCATTTACAAAACTATAATGGTTTTACATTGGACAAAAAACACTTCCAAATTTTATTCGTATACAATAACAATAGTCTGATTTATATGGGAATGCGGGTTCGCAAGTAGCTCAGCACCGACTGAGTTCCCATCGAAAGGATCTGATGACGTGGCTGGCGGAAGGGATTGCCCCACAGCTCCAATTTCTGAAGCTTACGCATATTTCCCAGAACTGGCGGTATAATTTGAATATCATTGTTCTTCAGATTCAGAGTTTGAAGTTCGGGCAGGGCGTACAATCCCAGAGGACTGGCATCAATGCCCTTGATCTTGTTGTCGTTGGCCAACAAGGATTCCAGGCTCTCCAGTTCGTAGATTGAGCGTGGCAGAAGATCGAACCGATTGTGGGAGATGTCCAGTTCCCGGAGCAACTTGAGTCCACCCAACTCCATGGGCAAGTCGCACAGCAGATTGCCGGAGAGATTGAGGACCGACAACTTGGAGTACTGCGATATGTTGGTGGGTATGAAGCAGATCTGGTTCTTGGTCAGGATCAATTGGTTGAGCAGCTCGCTCAGCATATGTAGATCCTTGGGTATTTCGCGCAGCCAGTTGTCCTCGAAGCTCACAATGTTCACCAGCTCCTGGCGAGCCGCCTCAAGGACCTCCATGGGCACCTCGGTGATTTGGGCCTTGGAGATCCTAAGGATCCGGGTATTACGCATGATGTACTTGTCCGGAAATGGCGATTGTGTCCCCTCGGAATAAGTTTTCCCTCCCTGCCGCCGTGGGCTATTCAATCCGTCACCAACCATTGTCATCTCGAGGTTACTCTAATACTGAACAGGTTAATTGTAGAAGATCGGGGATATTAAAATCTTACAGAACTTAAGATAAAATATAAAAAGCCTTAAGAGTTGCTTCGACTGATCCAAATTTTAAACTGAAATATTTATTCATTTTCAACAAGGACACCCATTTTAAAATGACAGTTTTTGCAAAGGCAATTTGATTTGTATATTTTAAATTATGTTAAAATATGAGGAAAATAAAATAAAAATGGTAGAAAGATATTAAATATTTAATAAGCTCCTATTCGCTTATCTTTCAATAAAAGCTTGAATTCCTAAAAAAGACTTATATCGGATATAAGTAAATTGGTTTTGATTATAAAATAGACCTTCTTAATAAGGTGAGTTTTTGGATAGATTATTCTTTCAGGTAAAAACTTTATTTTAAACAGCAGCTTCTTCTTTTTTATTTAATTTAATATTTTAAATTTCCGCTTTCCCTTGTCAAATGAATTGTAGTTAGGATCTACAAGAAATTTTAGACTTGTTTAGAGCACGCCACAGTCCGTCAGCGAGATCATGTTGTGGCTCATGGGCAGGTGTCCGATGGCCTCCTGAATCCTCTCCAGGAGCTGCATGCCCTTGCGCACCTTCCCGAAGGCGATCCTCCTGCCGTTCAAAATGGACAGCGGTTTGAAGCTGATGGTGAAGTTCACGGCGGTGCGGGCATTTCCCCGGACATATCGACTGGGAAACGAGAGGATGCCGGCATCCACGCCATGGTTGAGCACCTCGAAGTCGTGCTCGATGTTGGTCAGCTCGGTGCTCCGATGCGGATCCATGGCCAGCCGACCCTCCATCCAAATGGGGGCCAATGCTCTCGTGAAGACGATGGCCCGGTTCCGGTTCTGGGTGCAGACCCTCATGAACTCTAGGACCACCTGCGGACAGGCCTCGGTGAAGAGCTGGATTTCCAACCGACCCTGGATGCGTGTCTCCCGCACCTCGATGTCCAGGAAGATCTGCGGCCGGAGCAGCTTGCACAGGATGCCCACATCGCACTGGTCGTCCATCAGCCGCTCGTAGCGATTGATCACATGGAGCGGGATCTCGCAGCTAAAGGATCCCGATGACTTTGGCTTGTAGCGCTTCGATTTGCCCGCCTCCGGATCGAAGAGTCCACCGCCCTTGTGGAACACCTTGTTCTTCTCCAGCTGCCGTCGCTCCTTTTCCCTGGCCAAGTTGGCATTGCGCCACCTTCCGGCAGCCAGTCGTTCCGGGGATTTGGTGAAGGTGCGCAGCGTGTTGTTGCTCTTCTTGTAGAGAGCCGTCAGCATCTCCATGTAGGACAGCTCCATGCCATTGCCCTCGATCTGGACTTTGGGTGGCGGCAGGTAGGTGTTGACCTTTCCCTTAATATTGGACATGCGAACGCGATGCTGGCGGTACAGCTCCCGTTGCTCGTTCATCACCATGTGGGATCGGGTGTGGGGCATCGACCTCCGGGATGTGGGCACTGGAATTAATCGCTGGTGATGGTGGAAGTTGTTCTCCAGCGCCTGTTTCTGCACATTGAAGGTGTGCTTGGGCCGCGGCTCCTCCACCTGGCCATCCAAACCCACCAGGTTGGGATTGTGGCTGTTGTACACCGGATTGGTCATCGTGTAGGGACCACGTTTCACCGCAGCCACATAAGAGGTCATCGAGCTGGGGATCTGGGGGATCTTGCCCCGGGAATTGCGCGGTACATCTCCTCGGATAAACATGGTGGCTAAATAAATGTAAATCTGTATACTTGAATTTGAATTTGCTAAGCGGATTTCCGGCGACCTTTTATGGTGGACTAAAAAACTTTGACTGATGGGATTTAAATGGTAAGAGTCGAATTAACTGGCGTAGGTCACCCAGTTCAATCACAAAATACAAAGAGAAACAGGCTCAATTGAAGCGCATGGCAACATAATTATCTTCCTAATACCAATTTCATTAACTGAAACATACAAGCTGCCAAACATAATGAAATGCATGCTATGCGTGCGGCTTTTTATTCTTTGATGTGGAAAACAACATGAAATTGCAAAATTTGTGCATTAATTATTTATTTGATATACATATTATATATATATGCACATGTATATTGCTGTCGACGCGTGAAATATAAAGTTCAATTTAATTATTTTCAACTATTTCCACCGAAATTAACACTGCGGTGGGCTCATAAATGCCAACTTATATTCGCGTAATTAGTAATTTAATTAAAATCAGCAACTATTCATGTCATTAAAACCGAAATATTTGCATAGTTGTTGGGCGGCACTTCTAATTTGCGGCACAAGTTACAGCTAGTTAACAATTTACAACCGATTATTGACGTTTCTTAATGTTACATATTCATTGAATGCTCATTTATTCAATCCGAAAGCGGCTTTGGTTTTATTTTCACTCTTTTGACTTTTTGTAATCGGCCATTTAATGGGGCATAAAATGGTTTTGACAGTTTTGTCATTGGCTATTGGTATTTTTGTAAGCCCATTGAACCGTTAGGAAAATGGACATTAAACCGTTGGGAAAATGGACAATTAGCGGCCATAACACTTGAATAATTGTGTGACATAATTTGAATAAATTGCAGTGCTTCAAAACTACTCGATGGCTTTAAAATATACTAATTTTTCCAAGCCTTTGTTTTACACACATTTTGTTTTTTGAATAATTAAGCTAGTGTAAAAAAAAAACACTCATTTAAATATGCACCTTTTTTCAATGGAAGCTGTATTAAATCAATAGCAGTGATTTACTTTTGTTCAAAAAGGATTAAATGATATCAATGGCATATGGTGCTCATATTGGTATGCAGATAGTGGGAATTATACGAATAGCATTAATTGATTGTTAATATGGTTGGGCTTTTGCGGTCACAATTAAATGATTAATGCGATTGTGTGCGGTGTAAGGGGCATGAATTAAAGACAATCGAGCTTTAGCAGTGAGTATGAATATATGTTTATGTATATGTGTGCAGCAGTCGGGATAATCTGATGCATTAATGGCCTCCACTCAGCCGATTATGAGGACATCAACTGAAGGACATCCCTTGGCTGGGCAAAGTAAAGAGTGTCGGGGCAAAGTGTCATTAGGGCAACGCTCTTATCGCTCAACAATCAACGTCAACGTGGGCGGATGGGTGGTTTTTGGGTGGCTTTGGGTGGCTAAGGCCATAGACATTGAACCACTTAAGCGTTTTTTCTTCTCAAGTGTCTCGCCCATCAGTGCTCGTATCATCCAGCATCCAGCATCCCTAGTCCCTCTCAACTTTCACCTCCACGACGTGTTTTGTACTTTCTCTAGTGCCAGTGCGCCATGGCATTCATATATTTGATATTCATATTTCAATGTACATCTTAAAAATGTGTCAACAATAAACCCACACACCCGTGCGGACAAGTGACTGCAATTTGATCAAATATAGTACATACGACACACGTTGCAGCCGAGCTATTTTATTTATTCAACCCACAATGCCCTGTGACAAATATTCAGACTGGAATGCTTGACATCTTCAATAAACCACCGTACGCATATTCACATTGCAATGTCGCTCTAAGGTCTGGTTATATATATGAAATACTAAGATCACCCTTGTGAAATACTTTAAAAGCATCCGTTTTAGATAAAGGGGGTCAGAAAAATGGCAGCTCTTTATAATTTGCAAGTGCACTTCACCTTTCGATGTGCTGCAATTGTAAATCGATAAATCAAACCAATAGAAACCGTATATAAAATTTAAGGTTTAACGTTTGGCAATAACAATAAAAACCAATAAAATGTCATTTAGTGCAAAAATGTTAACCTATCCTTACAATCATTTCAGGAACAAAGCCTTTAGCTTTAAAATTCATATATATTTGTTGGGCTATTTGTTTTCAATTTAATATTTGGTATGATTTTAAGTTCCTTAAGTTTTTTTTGTATAGTTCAAAAAATCTTATAAAAATTCCACATTATTTAGGCATTGATGAAATACCCCAAATAAGTAAATTTTTCTATGAGCTATGATTTGACCTTGTGGCCATTGCCCGTATATTCTCCTATTATTTTCGTAGTCATTTTTTTATGGACGAAAACAAAAGCCGGGACCGTTAGTTAAGAGCATAATGGATCATAAATGCTTTGGCTGCAAAGATGTGATTTTATTTTGTCTGCTCCGACGCGTCCTTTGCCTCCATTATTCCAGCATCTGGCTTATGGAACCTGTCTTATTGCTGCCCCGTCCCCCGGATTATACTTTCGTACACTTTCGCATGGATATGTACATGGCACAAGTGTGTATTTTTATGACATTCTGTTTTTTCCCCATCTCGTGGTCGGGCGCACTTTGTGTTTGTCATATTCTCCTACCGCCGAGATGTCACGGGAAAAAGCCAGCCAAAAAGCAAAGGTCGAGGAGATTTTGGTAGAACAGGCGAAATCATGTAAATGGAATATGTGAGTATTTAAGCTGAGATTTAGTGAAGGAAAAGCCAAGGTTTGGTAAGAGGTTTACCATAGAAAATTAGAAGAATTTAAACATTACTATCCCATTTTTAAAAACATTAACTACTTGATCATTTCTCTAAGACTTTAAGGCAGCCACCAATTTCCATCCAGTCCATTTAATCAGCTCTAATTAGCCCATTGCCTCTGCTTAAATGCCATCAATTTCAGTGCTGTGTTTCCCAATCCAACGACAGACGTTGAGTGTCTGAATTGGCTAAGCCATTTAGCCATCAGTTAATTAATGCCATTAATGTCTTAGCAGTAGCTCTCGAAACCAGTAATTAACCGAGTTGACAAATCAAGTTTGCCCCGAAGGACGAAAACGTACGACAGGGGCATAAAGGATTGGGTTATATCAGTTAGCAAGGAGGCTTAATTAACAATAAGCTAAGGTGTTAATAGCCCGACGACAGCAAGCCCAAAACTTCGCATCCCGCCCAAAAATTTCACTCCGCAAATATTTAATCCAATTCACGGACGAAAGTGAAGGCAGTGAACCATGGGCAGGTCCTTCGTCCCCACACATTAAAAAACCATTTCAAAGGATTAGGTTTTGGGCTCACAGCCCCATCCCCATTCCCATTAGCCAACTCATCGCAAAGTTGCTTACCTTTTGGCAAAGCCAAAAAGGTAAACGTGGAAAAGTTGTCGTGCCAAAGATGAAAATGCTCAGATACAATTTGAAGTATCCATGTAATCCTTGAACAATTTATTAGCCAGGGAAGCAGTTAAATAGAAGAAGCCAATTAGGTTAATGTGTCGAATGAAATCGAAGCTGCACCTAAATACCCCAATTTAAGCTTGCTTTTAATAATTTCCAAAAAGTGTGGCCTTCATGAAATGTTGTATAACAGAAGCCAAAATCTAGAGTTTGTCAACACATTTGCATTTTGTTTGTGATACTTTTAGCAAATTTATTTGTAAAAGGATTTATGTAGTGATGCTTTAGCAATGCCTTAATTAAATGTATAAAAGGGACTGGCCAACTCCTTTGGTTCCAGCTGCAAACTGCATTTAAAAGCGGACATCTGGGGATTGTAAACGTGAGGGTACAATTTAGGGTTAGACTCCTGCCTTTTGCTTTCTGCTCCTGCAATTTTCCGGGCAAACTGGCAGGGGGCAAAACACGAGTGTTCCTGAGACACTCACAAAGGGCTTGGCACGCCAACAGAATCGGGGCTTACATGCGTTCGTTCTCGTTCTCGTTCTCGTCCTCGTTTCCCAGGAAAATGGCCACAGAGTTGGCTCTGAAAAGCCATTTATCAAGACATTGCATAACAATGGCGCCCTGCGCCCGGCCATAAAGGATATTCAAAGCGAGTTAAGCTTTATGATTTGAACACGTGTTAACAACACATAAAAGCAAGCAAACGCTTTTGCCAAAGGCAAAAAGCGACCAGATTCCAACTAAATATCTTTGAATCCTAGATGGATTTAGTGAGGCAGAAATAACTGAATCGCCGCCATCTAAAGACTCAAAGTGTAAACTAAAATAAATGCTTTCGCTGAGCAAACACCACACTCACTGGTTTCATAATTTATACTGCAGCCAACAAAAATAATAACTTTTGAATAGGTTGAAAATAGTGCCGCTGGGCATGCGCCTGAATGCAGCTTGAAAATTGCACGGATCATAAATTAAAATCAAAAGCAAAGACTCCAGACAGGAAGCGTAAATTTGCCAACTTTAAGTGGAAGTCTGGTGCGGTGACTTAACCTTAAGATATAGCTCACTCAGTCTACTTATTCTTTTCAGGGTTATGGTAAATCATTTCCTGTGATTTATGCAATGAGTTCCTAGATTTAAGTTGTGAATAGGGGTTAGTTATTATAGATTCCTCTTGCCACGAGGCAATATTATCCTTACTTTGATCACTTTTTTAAATAAGTTATGAATATGGGTTAGTTATATTTTTCTTGTAGTGACAATATTTTCCTTTCTCTGATCACTTTTTAAAATAATTATGAATTAGTGTTAGTTATATTTTCCTTGTAGTGAAATTATTTTCCTTTCTCTGATTACTTATTAAAATAAAACTTTGTTCTTTAATGTATATCCCTACTAAAAATGACAGATCTAAAACTGTCCTGTCATTTTTTAAAATCATTATTCTTATGTGCACCTAATTCCCACATTTATAATCATCTTAGGGCATTTTTAATTTAATACCCGACTTTAAAGAAATGCAATCCTATATGTGATTTTTAAGTTTCACTTTTAAGAACGAAAGTTCTGAAAGATCCGCTTTACTTCCCATCAAAATGACTTCCCCAGCCTGTTGCATACATCCGCAGGAAAGTAATATACCCTTAGAGCTAACGAGTACCGGG